GAGAGGGCTGGAGGCAGTGGGGGAAGGACGCAATTTTATTTTTTGTTTTTTTGTTTTTTTATCCTCACCCGAGGACATTTTTCCATTTTTTGTACAGATAGAGTGGGTGGGAGAGAGAGGAAGAGAGAGAGAGGAACATCGACGTGAAAGGGACACATCGAGTGGCTGCCACCCGCACAACCAACCAGGGCCGGGGACAAACTGCAACCAAGGTACATGCCCTTAGCGGGAACCGAACCCGGGTCTCTCCGGGCCGCAGGCCGATGCTCTAACCGCTGAGCCAAACCGGCCAGGGCAATTTTAGATAGGCTGATCAAAGAAGGCTTCTCTGAGGAGGTGACATTGGAGCAGAGACGTGAGTAAGGAGAGCCATACGTATAGAGTGAAGAGAGTTCCAGGAAGTGGAATCAGCTGGTGCAAAGGCCCTGTGGCAGGAGAGCACTTGGCATCCTTGGGGAACAGCTAGAAAGCCAGTGGGCCTGGAGAGCAAAAGGAGATGAGGTCCAAGAGGTAGGCAGGTTGGCAGCAGATTGTGTAAACCTTATAATCATGGAAAAGATTTCAAAGTGCCTAAAAGACAGAAACAGGGTCACTGTCCCACCTTGTCTAGAAGGAGCAGAAGCTCAGTGACACAGGCCTACCACACCAAAGCCCTGACTTTGGTGCAGTTCATAGCAGCAGCTATAGCAGCTGCTGAACACTTACTCTGGGCCACGCTTTATGCTCATTGCTTTACACGCATGATCTCAGCTCATTCTCATCAGAAGCCCATGGGAAAGGCACTGTCGTTTTTATTTTATAAATGAGGACACTGAATCTCAAGGAGGTTGAGTCTATTTCACAAATTCTCAGAGCCAGTAGGGCACAAGGTCCCAGGGCAAAACAGAACCTAGGGGCTCTTGCTACACAGCTCTGTTTGAGCAGTGGGGTATGTGAGTATTCCCTTCTAAAAGTACCTGTCTCTCTCCAACTGGCCTGTTACAATTTTCACACACAGTGAAGGCGGATTTCTCTATAAGAGGGCATTCCGAGCATCCAATGCTGACACAGCAATTGTCCTGAGAGACTGGACGTCCTGCAATCTGGCTGTTTGCTTCAACGCACATCTGCCAAACCCCAGATTTATGTGAATCTCATTTACTAGAAAAAGTGTCCCTGAGTCAGGGATGATGCAGAGCTGGGAGGGTTGCTAGACAGGAACTGGGAAGCAAGGCTAGCAGAGATCATAATTTGGGGAAGTAGAAGTCAAATGCAGCAAGGTCAAAGGTCAGCAAAGGTGGGAGGCCAGGGTGTGTTTAAAAAAGTCATTTCTGGTGGGCGTCAGGAACCTGGCAGGGGGAACTAGCTGGGGAGCAAGAAAGACGTATTCACTTATTTACCATGCACCGACCTAGCTGAGAGTCTGCGTGGTGTGGTACCAGTTATCCCGCTGCAGTAACTCACAAGTGAATATGAACAAACACTTGGCCACAGCAGGCGTCCAGTCGCCTTTCAGGGTTGCAGCTTCCTGATCACTGTCTGTCCCGCATCCCAGCTGTATAAACTGATTTCTATGTGCTTGCAAATGATAGAAATGCACTTAAACTCTTTTAGACAAAAGGAGTGTACAGTGTATTTGGCTCCTCTAAACTGGGAAGAGTTGGAATGTAGCTGGGCCTCAGGAGCAACTTACACCTGGCCGGTCCTTTCTACCATCTTTCATCTCATCTCCCATCCATTCGTCTGAGTCTAAGGGTCCATTTCATTATCTCCTCCATAATGAATGGGGACCAGGCTACCCCAGGGCCCAGGCTCACACTCCTAGTTTCAGAGAGGTCCTGAAGTTCCTGCACAGCGAAGAACTCGGATTGGCCCAATGTGTCAGGCACTAACTCTGATTGGCCCAGTGTGAGTCAGGCACTAACTCTGATTGGCCCAGTGTGAGTCAGGCGCTAACTCGGATTGGCCCAGTGTGAGTCAGGCGCTAACTCTGATTGGCCCAGTGTGAGTCAGGTGCTAACTCTGATTGGCCCAGTGTGAGTCAGGCGCTAACTCGGATTGGTCCAGTGTGAGTCAGGTGCTAACTCGGATTGGCCCAGTGTGAGTCAGGTGCTCATCCTGAGACCAATAAAAGGGTCATGTGAGGAAAAGATGGCCGCTTCCATTTGAACTACATGCTAAGGAATGAGGTGAGGCTCCTTCCCCAGGAAATAAAGAGGGAAGAGGTACGAAATTGTCAAAATAATAGATGTTCACTATAGTCTACTCTTTGGTGACCAGTATCCACACCTAGTTTCTCCCCAAAAGTGGAATTCCAAGTCCGTCTTCACCTAACACCACACAGCCATTCCATACACGACTGTGAGTGAGCACCCCCCCCCCGCACCCCCATCCCCACCCCAACAGGAGACTTGAAGCCAAGTACCGAGCCTGGGGGACGGGCTGTCTAGGGACAGCCTTTCCTCTCCACCAGTTGGACCTGCAGGGTCATGATCCTGAGAATCATGATAATGGTTAGTGAGTTAAATGATTAATTTAACTCCTCCTAAGTTGTCAATAATGGAGAGACAGAAAATTATACGAGGAGATAATGACCAAACAATTTGCAAATTTGATGAATACAGGCGGAAAAGGCTGCATAATCACAATGAAGACTCAGACTTCGAAGGGAGAGTGACAGAGAGGAGCAGACCAAGCCGAGGAAACACATACAGTGACTGGAACAGGATGGCTGCTTATTTCTCTCTCATCTAAGCCCAGGGGTGGGCTGGAGGCAGGGGCATACGAATTGCTCTGCTCTGCAAGGTTGGTCAGGAGATCAGAGTCCTTCTGTCTTGTGTCTGCCATCCCTAGTGTGGTGTCTTAATCCACGTGCTCCAAACAGACACATATCATCATCACATCCATGTTTCTGCCCCTGGGGAAGGGAAAGATGAAGTGGGCAGCAAGCTAGAAGTCACACCCATTACTTCCGCTCACATCCCATTGGCTAAAACTGCAGGACTCCATGAAGCCTCCAGGGAGGCTGGGAAATGTAGTCTCCAGCTGGGTAGCCATGTGCCCAGCTAAACTCCAGTGGAGTCTGTTGGGAAAGTGAACACTGGGAACAGTCTTTGCCACCGGGTCCCCTGTGGCCCTCTGGGAGCTTCCTCCTTGACCATTATCATTCTTGGCCACATACCTGAAATGAGTGTTGGAGAGAATGTCCTCCTCGGGGGCACACAGCTCTCAGCTCACTTCTGCGGGTCGAGTTTGGGGGGCCAGGGATTTCTTAGGTACTGAACAATCACAGGGTTTTGGAGACCAGACTTTCAGCTTCTTGGCTACCCAAGTCTATCAAAAACTTAGGAACCTTCTGATTGGTTTTCTGTCACTTTCATACAGTAGTACCACACCTCACAATCCTTTCTAGGCATAATTTTTAAGCCTGCGAGGTTTTTTTTTGTTTGTTTTTTTACTAACTGTTTTTCCTGCCTGGCCCATCCCTGCTGCCTCATTTTAGTGGTGGTTACCTTGAGGCACCCAAAACAGATGAGAATATGACCCTCTCCATCAGATCTTTGCCACCGGGCTCAGTCCCGTGGCCACGTGGAGAAATCCTAGTGGTAGTTACATGGTCTGCCTTTCAGGTGAATGTAGGGTGGGGCTTTGCAAATACTCTGTCACAGAGTAGCAAGCGTAGCAGCTTTGCACCTTGCTGTGTGTTTAGACGTCTTTGTTAAAGCTGCAACTCGCTGTCAACATAAATTTCTACATTCGGTATAGGTTAAACTGCTGTCACAAAAATCCCAAAACACAGTGAGTCAAACATGACAGAAATCCCTTTTCCTCTCGCGTAACAATTCAGAGTAGGCAGTTGGTCCAGGGCAACCAGGCAACTCAACTCTGCTCCCAAATCCTCTGTCATGTTGCTTTTCCTTCCCTGTGGCAGTGAACCATGCAGTCAGAGGTGTCCCGCCCCATGCCAGCCTGTGGAGGGGGAAAAGGAAGCAAAGGGCTAGCAATCTCTACGAAACATTTCATCCAGACGTTTCCCACCTCCCTTTGGCCACATCCCATGGGCCAAAACCTAGTCACATGGCAACACTGTGCTACCTGGGAGCCTGGGAAAGAGAGTCTCTAGCTGCCTGGTTACGGGGTCCACATGCTGGAAAGGGAGTCATTTGTGTTACTTAAAGGAAGGAGGAGGAGGGGAAGCTGGAGAACATCTATGCCTCAAGGAGAAAGGCAGGCTACGAAGAGCAAGAGCGACGCATATTGATGGTCAAGGAAAGTCCAGACTCTGGGCCATTTCCTCGTGGTCTCACCTCCTTGAAAATGGAGATTTCTTCATCAGCCAGGCTGTTCTGTCCATTGTCCCCCAGGGACACCCTTGAGAGGGGCCCTGGGAGGATTCCCTGAATGTGGGCTGTGCCACCTCAGTGCCCCACCTCCACTGGAGAACTGGGGATTGCCTTAAGGCTTGTGCAATCACAGACACCTTTTGCAAAGCCAGTGTTTTATTAGTTTGTTGATTTTGATAGTTTGCTTTGCAACACTCACAGAGAAGTTGGCTAAACCCTGATACTAGTAACCAGCATCAACAATTTTGCAATGGCCCAATCTTTAAATAATGAATCCCCATCCCCCACTCCCATGACCCCACCCCCGTGGCTTCTGTCTCTTGGATCCAGGGCTGGGGCCTATGCTCACCTTCTTAAGCCTCAGCATCTCCCTTGGCCTTGACCTCTGCTGGAGAGATGAGGCTGGGTTGATCTGCCCTGTTATACTGCCCCTGCTCCTAGGGTGTGCTTCAAGACGGGGATACTGGTAAGTGATGAGAGCAGGAGGCTCATGGGAAACCACTGTAGCAATGGGTCAGAGTCTCCCAATGGTTTGAGTCAAATTGCCCTCTTCTTCTCCCCACCTTGTTCAGAGCAACTGGTCCCTCCCTGCACGGGAATGGAGAATGCCTCTTACTCAGTACATGCAACAGAAAGTGATTCTGCTGGAAATACCACTGGGCTCTCCTCTCTTCTCAGGGTGCAACATAGAAAACGCCTGCTACTCACTGGGCACCTGTGCTGAACGGACCGCTATCCAGAAGGCCATCTCAGAAGGGTACAAAGATTTCAGGGCAATTGCTATTGCTAGGTGAGTGGGAAAGCTGGGTCATAGCCATTTTCAGTCATTCATCTATTCAGCTAATATTCACTGTGCACCTGCTATTCATCCCTTCATTCATCTAACATATGTTTATTCTACACTTCCTATGTGCCAGGCACTGTAGACTCTGGGTTGAGTGCTGAGGATAAGAAGATAAATAAGAAAGGATTCTGCCCTCAGAGAGCCTACAGAGCAGGTATATAACCAAGGCAGCTCTAAGACAAGGGCAGGTGTCTTTGTGTTCTCATAATAGCACAAAGCACAACAGAATCATTTCGAGATGTCATAGAAAAGCAGTGTAGAAACCTAAAGCTGGAGGGACCTAAAATTACCTGGCCACCTAGACTCCCTCGTCACTACCCCCATGTCACAGCTGAAGAAAATGAGGCTCAGAGAGGTTGAACAATTTTCCTGGGAGTTAGTGGCAGAGCCAGGACAAAACCAGATCTCTAGAGTGTCACCCCAGGGCTCATTCCACTGCACCATGCTGTGCCAGGAGGTCAGACGCTCTTCCCTGCTCTCCTTGAGTTGACACTGGGATCCGTGACTGTGCATGTTGACCCCTGCACTTGACAACACTCTAGGTCTCAAGAACCAGGATACAAAACGACAGCCAGGCATTCCTGGGTTATGATTCCAACTAACCCGATTCCAGCCCAGAGCTAACACGAGCACTAATCAACAGCTTCTGTGCCTTAAACATAAATGTCCAAGTTCCCACAAGCATGCCTCAAAGGGAGCTCGCTGAGTTGTCAGCCCTGGACCCAGACTCAGTGGTTTGGGTATTAGAGCATATGAATGGGCTCGTTTATGAATTTGGACCCCATTTGGCTTCTGATTTTTTTTTTTCTTAATCCTCACTTGAGGGTATTTTTGCATTTATCTTCAGATAGAGTGGAGGAAGGGGTGAGAAGAGGGAGAAACATGGATGTGAGAGAGACACATCGAGTGGTTGCCACCCGCACGACCCCAACCGGGGCAGGGACACACTGCAACCGAGGTACGTGCCCTTAGCGGGAACCGAACCCGGATCTCTCTGGTCCACAGGCTGAGGCTCTAACTGCTGATCCAAACCGGCCAGGGCTCAGCTTCTGATTTAATGGCAAACTGCTCATGTGTGTACCTCTGCATTGCCTGTGAGAGAGAGTTTTCTTAGCAAATGAATGGTGCCAAGAGCATGACACAGGAAAGAGACCGCATGGCTGACCAAATGGGGGTCTTTCAGGACATCTGGCTGCATGGGTGGTTATGAGTAGGAGTGAATTCTCTCTCCATCGTGGTGAAGCTGCAGGACCTTTTTGGCAGAAATGTAAGGGCCTGGAGCAAGGACAATGTGGGGCGTAGGACAGAAACAAGTCCCCATTTCTTTGATAAGATTCTCAACTTGGCCTCGGTCTGGCCCCGAGGTGAACCAGGTTACTGAAGGTTTTTTCCTTGAGTAACGGGAGCCACTTATGGAGAAGGGCCCCAACTTCCCAGAGCCCTGCCGGTGCCTGAGGTCTCTCCTGGCTTCCCACAGCTTTGGGGGGAATCAATGAGGCTGTGCTGGGAACATTTTGTGTGGATGTACAGAGATCAGGATGTGAATTATACTTTATACAAAAAATAAAATAAAATAAACAAGGATGGAAAATAACTCCATTTCAAAGCTCATCCAAGAAAATAATGATATTCTGGGGGGAAAGAGGCCAAAGTCAAGAAAAGGTTAATGGCACAGTAGTCCTGCTCTGTTTAGAATATTTCCAGTGAAAGGTGTTTTCTCTTTTTCACGATCTACTTTTAAACATGACTGGGTATTGCTAGCGGCGATTCGCAAATACCCTTATTTAGAGAAAACCTGCATTTTTCCAGCACCCGGCTGCTCTACTCTGGATTTGCAGCCTGCACCAGCATCCCCGAGCCAGAAGTGCAGTCATTCTGCATTAGTGATTTGTTAAACTGAGAGCATAGATTTAGAGGATGAATGGAAAGTGCCAGCTCCCTTGTTAACGTTGACGACTGTGAGCCGTCTAAGAGAGCCCCTTTGAGGTCTATAAAAGAGGGAGTGCAGAGCCCAGAATGGGATTTTGCTAATGGGGAGATAAGTCTGTCCCACTGGGGTCCCAGCTGTAGTCATCAAAGGCAATACGTTTCCAGCCTGTCGAGCCCGATAAGCCTGGCCTCAGCGTGCGACCAAGATCAGCCAAGCCACAGGAAACCCTCCACAGCCAGCACAGGAAGGAGATGGACAGAGAGTTTGGAAATGCATGGAGGGAATGCTCCGAGGCACCCAGCCCATTCTGGGGTGCCTGTTCTTTCAAGCTTTTACTTCTTACTCTTAGTGGAATATTGAATAATGGTTAAAAGCTCAGGCTTGGCACTATTGAGACCTGGTCTCAAATCTGGCTCCACTATCAACCTCAGGCACGCTGCTTCAACAATCTGAGCCCCGCTTTGCATCCATAAAGTAGAGGAGAATAACACCCACCCATTGGGTTGTTGTGAAGACTCAGGAAATGACTTCTGTAAAGTTCCTGGCACGGAGTGTGCAATAAATTAAAGCTATCGCTTTAATGTTATCATTATTCCTCCTGCAAGGTACAAGACTACCAAAGGCAGAGTCCACAGATCCTGGGTTCAAATCCTGGTTCTGCCACTTACCAGCTCCGTGACTTTGGGCAGGTCATGTCACCTTTCATGATCTGTAACACGTGGATAATAAAAGTACTGACACAGCACCTCTATTCTAAGGTTAGGAGAGTCGATGAGTTAACATACATGAGGTCCTTAGCACAGAGAATGGTGATGTTAAGTGTGAGCCATTATTATTATCAGGCTGTCTCCCAGTTCTCAGGGTGCACCATCTTGTGACTTTTGAACCCAACTCCCCAGTGGAATTCACATTCCCCCACCCCCTTGAAAACCCTGATGCAGGTCACCTTGTCCAGAGACATCACAGAGCTGAGGGTCTAGAAGAGCAAGGATGACAGTGGCTGCTGGTGTAACCTCTGGGGCTCCAGCAGGCTTGGAGCTTCCTACAGTTAAACCCACTTTCTTTAAGCGCCATCTTTTGTCCTATTCAGAGCTGGACGACTGCCTGTAGGTGCCCTAATTCGAAGAGACAACCCTTTGGCTGTAAACTCCTCCAGAATTTTTCAAATGCAAGGAGCTCAGTTTTCTCTTCACTCGCGTACATTTTATTCTTTCATGCCTCAGGGTCTTTGCACATACTATTATCTTTGCCTGCAACACAGAAAAAACAGGGCTTCAGAATAGCACCTCTGTTACTTCATCGCACTGGACCTGTTTCCTTGCAGGTAAAATGGTCATTTTGACACTCGGGTTGTACCGAGAATTAAATGAAATAATGTATGTTGAGTGCCTGATCCAGAGCATAGTAGGTGCTCACTAATGGTGACTTATGAACTCTACACTTCCTCCAAAGATCGGGCCAAATGCCACCTCCTCCATAACATATTCTCTCTCACTCCATAGGCAGAAATCGTCTCCCTCTTACCATGCATGCTTCCTGCCTTTTGCTTAAAATGACAGTTTTCTATTCCACCTACTGGACTGAGCAATTTCTTTTTTTTTTTTTTTATCCTCACCCGAGGACATTTTTTGATATTTTGTTCAGATAGAGTGGGAGGGGGAGAGAGAGAGAGAGAGAAACATTGACGTGAAAGGGATACATCGAGTAGTTGCCACCCGCACAACCCAACCAGGGCCGAGGACAAACTGCAACTGAGGTACGTGCCCTTAGCGGGAACCGAACCAGGGTCTCTGGGGACCACAGGCCGACGCTCTAACCGCTGAGCCAAACCGGCCAGGGCTGGACTGAGCGATTTCTTAAAGGCCAGAGACAAATTTCCCTTAAGTCTTGTGTCCCGAGGGTGTGGTGACAGGAAGTGCTCCCTAAACACTTACTAAATGTACTAATACAAATAACAGTCCTGCCCGTGGCCTTGCCGTTGCGCACATGGGACCTGCCAACAGTTTCTCAGCTTCCAGGACACCGCACGTCTGTGAGTCAGGAACTGCCCGGCGGGGTTTGACCTTATCTGAAGGGGCCCGAATCTCAGCAGCTGTCCTCATTTCTCAGGAAAAACTGAGCCACGTTTGATTTTCTATTTCCCCAGTGACTTGCAAGATGATTTCATCTCACCTTGTGGGGCCTGCAGGCAAGTCATGAGAGAGGTAAGAGGTTCTCTTTCTTTCTGGAATGTAAACTGGACGCCTCCTGCTTTCCCCAGGCTGTGGGAGCGAAGCCAAGCTGCCAGAAGACTGTCTTGTCTGCTCAGCTGGCTGACTTCAAAGGCCCTTCTGGGCTTGCATGAATCACTGGAAATGATTCTTTCATTCAACAGAGACTGAGTGGATGTCTTCTCGCCCTGGGGACACAGCCATGAAAAGGCAGGCCAGGCCCCGTCCTCACAGAGTTTATAGGCCAATGCAGGAGACAACCATAAACCAGGAGCAAACATTGCCCTGGCCGGTTTGGCTCAGCAGTTACAGCGTCAGCCCTCGGACCACAGAGTCACGGGTTCGATTCCGGTCAGGGCATGTACCTCGGTTGCGGTTCGGTCCCTGGTCCTGGTCGTGTGGAGACAACCAATTGATGTGTCTCTCTCACATTGATGTTCTTCTCTCTCCCTCTCCATCCCTCTGTTCTTTCCACTCTATCTGAAGATAAATAGAAAAATATCCTTGGGTGAGGATTTAAAAAAAACAAGGAGCCAAATAAATAAACGGTAGAATTTCTGAGAGTGAGGAGGGCTATGGAGAACAGAATGCAGAAGGAGTCACAAGTGACAGCAGGGGCAGCAGGTAACACTCTAGATCAGGGTCAGAGGTCAGCAGACAGTAGCGCATGGGCAAATCCAGGCCAAAGTTCTTGTAAATGAAGTTTCATGGGCACGCAGCCTTGCCCGTTCATTGCCTGTGGCTGCTCTGCCCCCCCCCCCACCACCACCACCACCACAGCAGAGATAAGCCATTACGCCATAGACCTCATGGCCTGCAGGGCCAAAATATTTACTATTTGGCTGTTTATGGAAAAAAGTTGGCCAACGCCTGCTTTAGGTGGCCAGGAAGGGCCTCTCTTTGGAGATGACGTTTGAGCAGGGAAACAAATGAGAAAAGACAAAGACAAAGGCCCACAGAAGGAGATTTCCAGGCGGAGGCGCGGCAAGTTTAATGCCTGTACACTTCCTGAGTTTGACAAGTCATGGGAAGGCCAAGGAGGCCAGAGCACGGCAACGGGAAGTGAGCGACAGCATGTGAAGTCCGAGAGGAACAGGGCCTGGTAGGCCACGGGAAGGAGGGTGTATTTTATAGGAATAAAGGGAAACAAAATGTAACTTAAAAATGGTTAAGGTGATAAATCTTAAGTATATGTGAGGACATTAAAACAAAAGTTGGTAAAAAGAATAAGGAGATTCATTGGATGGTTTTAAGAAAGGCCTTAAGGACTCCGAGGTACTTTTTATGAAGATCATCCTGAAGGAAGCCCTGAATTTTTTCAGCTCTAAAAGCAAAGGGTTTTTAATCCATGGTGGGTTCTTAATCGGGGTTCAGGGAAGTTTTTTGTTCTTTTTTTTTTTTAATCCTCACACGAGGACACTTTTCCATTTTTTGTTCAGATAGAGTGGGAGGGAGAGAGAGGAAGAGAGAGAGAGAGAGAAGCATCGACATGAAAGGGACACATCGAGTGGCTGCCACCCCATGACCAACCAGGGCCGGGGACAAACTGCAGCTGAGGTACATGCCCTTAGTGGGAACCGAACCCAGTCTCTCTGGACCGCAGGCTGACGCTCTAACCGCTGAGCCAAACCGGCCAGGGCTCGGTGGAAGTTTTTGATGTGTATCTGTGCATTTGGGGGAGAGGGATGTCAGTAGCTTCCGTGGACTCTGAAAGAGATCTGTGTCCTCCTAGGTCCCCAAAGGTTAAAGCCCCTAGTTTCAAGAACATGCAAACCCCTGAGCTCTGATGTGACATCATCAGCCCCTGTAAACATAGCATCTCGTTCGATCCCCACGCTCAGCCTAGGAGGGGAGAGTGGGTTGTTATCCTACTTCTCAGAGAAGAGAAATGACCGGCCGAAGGAGCGGGGGTCACCGCCAGTTCAGACCTGCAAAGCCTGCTCCTCACGCGGACTCCTGCCTTCATGGTACTATAACGGGACAAATTCATTCCAGCTCTGGAGGAGACGTCATGGTGCTTGGCAGAATAGGAGCTTCCACCAGGCCTTCTGTTATGGAGGTTGATTAAGTTTGGGGAAGATGGAATTATTTCAGTTTTGCTTTTTTGCCAGGACTACAAAACAGAACCCAGTTCCCAAATCTAGGTGAAGAATGCCGCCATGAAGGCACCGAGGTGGACTTCAGCGCACGTGGGGGGCAGAGATGGCTGCCCCGCTCCACGGAGAGTCCAAGGCCATAGAAGGAAACCACATCAGGACATCAGTGCCCTGGCTCCTGAGGCCTGACTTGAGTCCATTGCTCCTTGTTGTTTTCTCCAAACAGATTAGAGGTTGACAAACAAGAGAGAGCAAATGAAAAGGCTGAAGGTGGGAGGGGCAAAACTGAAAGCAAAAGGCTAATAATAAGAGACGGAGTTTGGGGGCCAGGGACCTGGCACTGAACCTCGGTCGGCTTTCACCCATACCCTCGGGCCGAGCCTGCCAGCACATTCATCTCGTTTACTTATTTTTTTAAATCCTCACCTGAGGATATTTTCCTATTTATCTTCAGATAGAGTGGGGGACAGAGAGAGAAACATCAATGTGAGAGAGACACATCGATTGGTTGCCTCTCGTATGGCCCAGGCCAGGGCTGGGGATCAAACCTGCAAGCCAAGTACGTGCCCTTGACCCGAATCAAACTCACAACTCTTTGGTCTGCAGGCCGATGCTCTAACAGCTGAGCCAAACTGGCCAGGGCGAGCACATTCGTTTTAAAAAGCCAAAAGACCTATTGTGCCTGGGAATAACTTGGAGATTCAGACAGAACGTGGAAACAGCAAGCCGCAAACCTGAGCGTTCGTGAGCAACTGCCAGCAATCAATGGGAATGGCTTCCAACAGTCGAGCGTTTACTCTGTGCCAGGAACTGCGTATGCGCACTTCACACCATCATCCGTATCTGCAATCCCCACAACACCTGGCCAGGCAGAGCCCTGGTCTGTGGACTCCAGCCGCAGGGACTCTCCATTACGTCACAGTCGATTTAACTCTCCACTTGGCTTCCTGCCTAGTACACTCTGCCTCAAAACCATTTCACAGAATACGATACTGAGACCCAGAGAAGTGAGTCATTTGCCCAAGGTCACACAGCAAGCAAGTGGTAGCTCCTGATAGTGTAAGAGAAAGATGTGGAGACAGATTTGGGCGAAAAGTCTGCTTTGCTGACACTGGCCTGCTAAAGCCTCAGTATCCTTATCAGTAAAATGGAGATGACAATAGCACCTACCTCAAAAGAGGAAGCCATATCTGTGCGTAAGGAGGCCCGCGGGCAACTTCTCCTGGTTGAGGAGTAAACAAGATGCTATAAGGAAGGGAAGCAGGTATTAGTTGTTTTTTGTCATAGGAGGAGGACACCGCCCCAGGGGTTAGACATTGTTCTTATAAAGCCCTGGGTGAGTCCGTAATTACATGTATTGCCCATTAACAATATGCTAAGCTCCGTGCTCACTGCTTACCACGCAGTCTTTCATTGGCTCCTCCCTCAAGCTCTACGAGCCAGGTGCAATTGTGATGCCCGTTTTACAGATGAGAAAACTGAGGCACAGAAGAACCATTAGAAAAGAAGAGGTAGAGCCAGTCTCAAACCCAGGTCTATCCTAACCCCTCGGTCACCCTGCCTCCCTCACGCTAGCTTTGCCTCTTTTGCAGTTTGGCACCAACTGGACTGTCTACATGACCAAGCCAGATGGCACCTATGTTGCCAGGACAGTCCAGGAGCTACTGCCTGCCTCCTTTGGGCCCAAGGACTTGCAGAAGATGCAGTGAAAGGTGGAGAATGCCCAGCACCTGGGAGAGCCTGGGTTCCCACACGCTCCAGGGGACACCACCTGGAGAACTTCATGAAGACGTTCTCACAGACCTGGGACACCTGCCCAATGGGCCCCAAGCCCACAGGGGCTGGGCAGAGATGACTTTTCCAAGTGACACTCAAGCACTGCAGTCTTCTGATGTGATAGAGGGTCTCACTCCAGCCTGGGCACCAGCCCCCCTATAACCCACCTGTCCTCCCCAGACAAGAGCACCTCATTCCTTCCTTTCCTTCCTGCAGACCATCTCTAAAATCCCAGCCAAGTCTGGGCAACTTCCCCATTAGCCTTCCTGAGGTTCTAGCCTGTTTTGAGTGACTTTTCTCATTATAAACATCACTGCAACCCTGGCCGGTTTGGCTCAGCGGTTAGAGCGTCGGCCTGCGGTCCAGAGAGACCCGGGTTCGGTTCCCGCTAAGGACACATACCTGGTTGGGTTGTGCATGTGGCAACCACTCGATGTGTCCCTTTCACGTCCATGTTTCTCTCTCTCTCCCTCCCTCCCTCCCACTCTGTCTGAACAAAAAATGGAAAAATGTCCTTGGGTGAGGATAAAAAATAAATAAATAAAATAAAATAAAAATAAATAAATAAACATCACTGCACATCCCGACTCGGGAGAGCACGTTTTTCTCTGTCATTGCGCACAGCTCCTAGGAGGGACAGGGCGATTTGTCTCTACAGAAAACTTGGGTGCTTTCTGCTGGGAGAGGAGATGGGCCCCTTGTCACTCTGCACCCTCAGTGTGGAGAGAGGAAGTTCTTAGGCTTGTTGCCCTGTGTTCACCAGATGCCCCCGCACCCTGGGGCTGGGTCTGTCTGTCCGTGGTGGCCATTTCTAGTGTCTGTTTTGGGCTCCTCCTTCTTGCGGATGAGGGGCTGGGCTTCAGTGAGGCTAAGGAACTTGCTCTAGGACCATGGCAATGTTCAGCGGAATCCGGGTCCTGAAACTCCCTCTATGGTCTAGAAACAGTGCAAGGTCTTTGCCGGTCACTGTGCTATGGTGTTTAACACATGAACCCATTTGGTCCTCACTTATCAAGTTCCGAGTATATTGCCCTCCGTTTTACCAATGAACGAGGCGAAGCTCAGAGGGGCTGAGTCATTTGCCCAAGGTTGCACGGCTCATGTGTGGCAGGCTGAAATTTGAACCAGGTCTAATTCCAGGTGTTTTTCCCACTCCCTCACAGCTGATGTCTGGCTGCCTTTATTTACCCAAGTATCATTTATATGACAAATATTGCAGAGAGGAACATAGATAAGAAACAGTCTCTGACCTCGAGGAACTTGCCATCTGACAGGAAGAGAGAGGTGTAAACAGATCTACGGCACAAAATACTATGATCCAGGCGGGTCCCAAATGCAAGATGGGTTCTGTAGGGGCCATGCCACCTCCTATGCTGTGAGGAGGGTCAGGGAGGGGATTGTCTGTTTCATTGGTGCATTGGTTGCAACACACATGCACGCACTTAGGAAAGTGAGGATTGAGTGAGGGACAGAGCCAGGCTGGCCCGCTAAAGGGGCACAGCTCTGGGTGTCCTCCCTGGACGAGTTGGCCTTGGGGCCAGCCTGGGTACTAGGGTAAGAATAGAGCACAGGCGTCCTCTTCCCTAGGCAAGCAAGTCCCTGGGCGTCCCTGCTACTCTGATCCAACGCATCTACGCATGTGTCTGGGAAGACTGGCTTCTCCACAGCCCACCCAGGCCTACCTGCTGCCACTTGACATGATGAAAACTCCACTCCACCTTTCTTTAGACATGGCTGTCGGGGTCTGAGCATAGTCTTCTGGGTGTCTCAACAGAGGGGGTGGAGAAGGAGACAAGAGAATGCTAGAATGACAGAGGCCAAGATGTTAGCATCAGTTAAAAGTCTGCTCCATGGGAATCTAGATCAGTGATTTTTTTCCCTTTGTTCATATCTGTATCTTTTACATTTTCCAAAACGTCTTTGCATTTAATAAGAAAAAAAAGTGCTATTCCATAATGGTTGAAGATTTCAACTTTGGCGCTGGACAGCCTCGAAACTGTGTGGCTTTGGACGTTATTTTATTGCTCTGAGACCCAATATTATCATCTCTGAAATGGAGATGACAGGAACCACCCCGTAGAATCGCTGTGCGATTGAATGGAATAATGCAGTATAGAGAGCCTGGTGTTGGACCTTCAGCAAGATCTTGATACATGTCAGCTGTTAAGGTGACAAATGGTCCTTTGAACGTGGATTTGATTTTTGCAAACAGGCAACAGTCTTACAGAGCCAATCTACTTACTCATTTACAAATGATTTATTGAGTGCCTACTGCTCTGGGGCTGGGGCCACACTGTGGGTGCAGCAATGATGGGGCAGATAGAACCCCACCCTCCAGCGCTCTCAATCAGTCTGCCTGTGAAAAATGCCATCTAAATGACGCCAGGACTTCATGACAAGTGTCACCCAAGGGGAGCACGTAGCAGGAGGAGAGGAACTTGCCTAAGAAGGGGCAAGGCATCCCCTGAAGAGGGGACGTTCCCACCAGGGCACGAGAAGGGTCATCCATTAGGGAACAGGGCTTGGGGAGGGGCAGAGAATGAGGACGGCCCAGTGTCCTTACCTACGTCTTGGGAACAGACTGCGGAAGGCAATTCCAAGAAGAGGATCCCAGAAATTATTTAAATAATGTCCACTTGGAAGAACAGCACTCCTTTGGCTGGCGAGAGGCTGGGATGTTCGTTTAGAATACACATCCTTTCATTCCGTAGTCCCGGTGCTCTGGGGCCTGCGATGTCCGAGCAGCCCGCTCCACTGCCCGGAACTGTCTGGTTGTTGGGACCCCACAGCGGAGCCCCAGATGCCCAAGGAAATAAACAGAAACATGCGCACTTCTGCTGCTCTTGCGAGCTGCTGCTCTGTGCTTATGTAAACTACCAGATTCTTGAGGATTTCCTTTTGGCAGGGAGGAGGGCACAACTCAGATACTAGGGGTACTTTGGGTGCCGGTATCAGAAAGGAAGCCAGAAAATGCTGTTCAAGAATGAGTCAAGGAATAGCCCAGTAAGCCTCCCACCCACATAATATTTTGCATATGATTATATAAGCACAGAAACAGGCATAAAAAAACACCCAGTCTGTTCGTTTTTGAGGGGTATGGGAAGGGGAAGTTAAGGTGGGGGGGATGAAAAACTCTACAAACAGCAACAAAAAAATGGCATAATGATGCATTAGTTATCTTTTGCTATAGAACAAATTATGCCAAAATGTAGCAGCTTGGGACAATAGAAATGTGTTATCTCCCAGTTTCTGCAGGTCAGGGATTTGGGCAGAGCTGGGTCCTCTGGCTCAAGATCTCATACAAGGCTACAGGTAAGGTATCAGCTGGTCTGCTGTCTCATCCAAGGGCTCGGCTGGGGAAGGGTCCACTTCAAAGCTCACTCGCATGGTTGTTGGCAGGATTTAGTTCCTGTGGGCTGTTGCTGTGACTATTCAGTTCCTGGCTACATGGGCCTCTCCACAGGGCCATTTACCACCTAGCAGCTGGCTTTCTGATGAAGAAGCAAGCAGGACAGCGAGACAGGGTAAGCAAGACAGAAGCCAGAATCTTTTTGTCACCTAGCCACAAAGGTGACCGCCCATCACTTTTGCCAGATTCTATTCCTTAGAAGTCTTTAAGGTCCAGGCCCCAGTCGAGGACTGCACAAAGGCATGAAACCAGGGGCTGGGCACTCTCAAGATGTAAAAATTGAAAGTGCACGTGGACAAGGAGCAGCAAAGAAAACAGAAAAGCAGGTGAGGGTGGCAGGAGGGCTGGAGGAAGCAGCCTGGTCAGCCCCGTTGAGTTGACCTTATTCCAGAGGGCAGCCCTCGGACTCGGGCAGCAGGGTTGACGTGGTCAGCTTTGTGCTTTAAATAGCTCAGGCTGCCAAATCAAGAGCTATTCAAGATCTGAAGGAAACCATAGAAAAAATAGCTGAACAAGTCAAATATTTTTTTCTCTGAGCTTAGAAGGAATTAGAGAAGGAGATCATTGCTTTTCTTTTTCTTTTTGTTATATGTTTTTATTGATTTTTTTAGGGAGAGAGAGAGAAACATCGATTGGCTGTCTCCTGCATGCCCCCCATTGGGGATCAAGCCTGCAACCCGGGTACGTGCTCTGACCAGGAATCAAACCGGAACCTCTCAGTCCATGGGAGGACACTCAATCCACTGAGCCACACTGGCCCGGCAGAGATCATTGCTTTTCATGAGGACCTTATCTTTCTATCTATATAGTTAGTGTTTTTAAACCATGTATACTTTTTAATTTTGAAAAACAAAAAGGGAATAAAAAAAGAAGTAATAGAAAAGATATTCATTTATCAATTACATAGTATAAATTCGAGAGCTCGAACGGGGTAGGTGCTTCTGTTGAGGGTAGGGGGTGAGCTCTTCCGCATTGCTAAGGTTTTCCTCTGGCTCCTTCTGGCTCACTGCTGGGAAGGAGGGAGTCATGTGAGTGGGAGTTCCAAAGGAGAGCCCAGCCCCTTTCTCTCCTCCTCAGGAGTGAGCCTGCGCACTGAAGGCTTGTACTCCCCAATGACTCTCAAACAAGGGCTGGGGTTCCAGGAGGCCCTGTGCTGAGAGCTGGGGGAATCAAAGGTTTAAAAATCACAAATCCCATCTTTACAGAACTCGCAGTTTAGAGAGAGAGAGAGGAACATCTAGCCCAGTCTAGGAAAGGTCAAAGAAGGCTTCCTGGAGGAGGTGACCTAAGGTAAGAAAAGGGATTCTTTTAAGAGGTAAATCGAGACAGGGGGATCAGGCCCTGGCCAGGTTGCACAGTTGGTTGGGGTGTCATCCTGTACTTGATTCCTGGTCAGGGCACAGGCCTGGGTTGTGGGTTTGGTCCCCAGTTGGAGTGCAAATAGGAGACAACCAGTTAATTTCTCTCTCTCTCTCTCTCATATCAATAAAACATATCCTTATATGAGGATAAAAAAAGGGGGGGATCAACATGATGCTTGGGAGGACAGCAAGTAGTTCAGTATTACTGGACCGTAAAGGTAGGGAAGGTGGACAGCAAGAAGGATGCTAGGGCCAAATAGTAAAGGACTTTCTGGGCCAGTTAAGGAGTCAGGCTTGGCCCTGAGGGCAACAGGCAGGGGCAGAGACTGTGTAGGACTTTATGTAGCAGGTGACATCGCCGTATTTTTATTTGAGTAATCACTGCTGGGCAGCCCATTTATTGGACAGCACAAACCACAGATTGTCCGAATTTCTCAACAACACAGCATCTCCCTAATCCACCACCAGCACGTTTTCATCCACCTTGTCCAGGCAAAACAGAGACGCTTCTTCCCATTGAAATCTCCCTCTCTGCCCGCTGCTGTGTGAGTCTAACCTCCAAAAACTGCTCCCGGGGTTTCAAGAGGTCATCTGGCAGCAGCTTTGCTCGGTCAACAGTTTTAGCAAAATAAACTCCTTCCACCTCTGCTGACTGTTTAGAGAGAGCGTTTCTGAAAGGCACTATGGATAAAGGATGTTGCTGCCCTGGGAAAGCTGTCTGTCTCCCGCCAGGCGGACACAAAGAGTATCGAAATGGTGCCAAAAGAGAAGGTCAAAAAGCCCTTGACAGTGTTTTTTGTTTGTCGTTTTCTTGTCTTCTTCCATTTTTACATTAGCGTCAGCTTTTCCCCACACCATGTCCTTTGGGGGAAGGTTAAATGATGCTTCTTAGGAATATTATGTACTTTGCTAAAACTACACAGTCTTGCTGCCTGGAAGAAAAGGAAGGATAACAAGGAAGATGGTAGGGAGCCCACAGAGCGGAGTGTGCAGCAGGGAGACTCCTGTGGTCTCTCCAATAACCCCCTTCCGTTCTCTAATTCTTGGGGCTGAGCCTATCAAAGCCTGCCTGGCACCTAGTGATGTTTAATAATGGTCTTGGAATGAGTGAGACTCTCCCATAGAACGTTAAATCTTCAGTACAAGCAGCTATCTCGGCAGAAACCATATACTACCATATCCCAACTTCCCCTTCTTGGGAGACCACTAAAGAGATGGAAGATGTTATCAGAGAACCTCAGGAGCATCCCTTGCGACCTGAGACTTGGTATCACTGTGGAGGTTTCCTTCTCCAGAGCGCAGAGGGGGACAAATGGGATCGGGGCCATAATCCCTAGGGAAGGTAGCTGCATGTTCTTCTATGATAAAGCTGTATCTCTGCCCCACAATGGAGACTACAGAACCCCTGTAATTCCTACTGGGAGCTTCTCTGGGTAGAAACGAACTTGCTTGCCCTTTCCATCTCTACGGCTGCTGAAGAATCCAGCCTCATACTGTGCTGGTTCAGACCTGTCAGAGAAACTTCAGTTTTTCTAAAGAAGAACTGAACCAGTCCAGTGCCATCTTGACTGGAAGCCCAGTGCTCTCCGTTGAACAAGAAACTACACAGCCCACAGCGGGGCATTAACATCAGTCTGGAGGTTTTGATTTCACGAGTGGGTGAGTGAAGCTTCACAGGTCTGGAGAGTTTGTTTGCACCTTACGGGACTAAATCCGAAGGTTGATTATAAATGCACTCCTTAATTCCAAACAACCCATACAATATCCCTTTAGTGGGTATGTCTCACCAGCTGCTTCGTCGTCACTAGCCTCATGGCAAACTGTTACATTCCTAGAAGAGTAAAGAAAATCCTTTGTACTTAAAACTAAAGATCTCAAGCCTGACCAGTGTGCCTCAGTGGTTGAGCCTTGACCCATGCACCAAGAGGTCACCAGTTTGATTCCCAGTCAGGGCACATGCTCAGGTTGTGGGCCCAATCCCCTAGTAGGGAGCATGCAGGAGACGGCCAATCGATGTTCTGTCTCATCGATGTTTCTACCTCTCTCCCTCTCCCCTCTCCTCTTAAAAAAAATTGATAAAGAAAAAATTTATTTAAAAATACTAAAGCTCTCAGAAAACCTCTTATTCCCCCTCAGTAAACACTGAAGAGAAGAGCTGTAATAATAATGACACATATCAGATGAGTAGATTTAAACTTTAAATGAGACTTTTGCCCCAACTAAGTTTCCACAGGTGAGCCTGTGGTCACTGGACTGCGACGTTTCTTCTATCTTCTCTTCCTTATCTTTCTCCAAAGGACAGTTTCAACAGAGCATTTTAAATTGTAATTTAAAATTCTCTGAGAGCAATAAAAAAAAAATTAAAGACAATATCTGATTTCCATGTGCTTATGTGTCAACATAAGAAACATCCAAACCTGTAGAGAATTTTTAGGAGTTTATTTAAGCTAAACTAATGACAATTGCCGGGAAGCACGATCTCAATGGATTGAGAAAATGCTCCGGAGAATGGCAGTTTTGCAGCTTATTTTATACATCAGAATAAAAGGAGGAGACGTAGGAGGGTTACATGAAATCCACTGGTGGTAGATTAAGGGGGCGGGAGAAAGCAAAGAGGGGGGATCGCTGGGATTGAATAAAAAGCAAAATGGAGCCCTGGCCGGTTTGGCTCAGCGGTTAGAGCATTGGCCTGCGGTCCAGAGAGACCCGGGTTCGGTTCCCGCTAAGGGCACGTACCTTGGTTGCAGTTTGTCCCCGGCCCTGGTTGGCTGTGCGGGTGGCAGCCACTCGATGTGTCCCTTTCACGTCGATGTTTCTCTCTCTCTCTCTGTTCCTCTCTCTCCCTCCCACTCTACCTGAGCAAAAAATGGAAAAATGTCCTCGGGTGAGGATAAAAAAATTTTTTAAAAAAAGCAAAATGGAGAAGTACATGCTTCTCTTACACTGGTAGGTACAAGATAGCTAATAATTAACATTTACAGCACACGAAGAAGGTATGCAGGGAACAAGATTAACAATGAGGGGTCTGTGATCTCTGCTCTGGAGCAGCGGTTATCCCTGAGGGGTCTGAAAAAGGAGATTACTATGACATTTCAAAGGTATGTTTTCCTGGATGCAAAAAGACAGACTGCTTAAGGTAAAGAGTGACCTCTATCAAGAAAGCTACAGGCCTAGGAAGGGATTACCCACTGTGATCGCTTTTAGTTAGGAGTTTTGGCTGTTCCACGGGTCACACTCACAGCCCTGCCAGACTACCACTGCATCAAACTCTTGCTGCCACTGTAGCTGCTGTCGCCCCTTAGCTTGAAATCGATGCCACCTCTCCACCTGCGGATGCTGCCAGTAACCAGGACTTCCTGCTTGATGTTCACTCTGCCTGTTTCTATCATATAAGCGCCCCCTTTCTGTGTATAACTTGCGTGAGACTCTGTTGGCTTATTGGGGAGGGCCTCCACTAATAAAACTGGCATTGTGGAGAGACACAACGTGTGAGTGACTCCTTTTGGAGATGCCCCCTTGCTTGTAACACCTCTTCTTTCTATGGGGCATGAGAGGGCCTAAGTGACATATTACTGTGGCTTGACCAGAAAAGTCCATGCTGGTTGATTAAGATTGTTTCTAGCCCTGGCTGGTTAGAGTGTTGGCCCTCGGGCCAAAGGGTCTCAGGTTCAATTCCTGGTCAAGGGCACGTACCTAGGTTGCAGGTCCGGGTCAGAGTCATGCAGGAGGCAACCAACTGATGTGTCTCTCTCATATCAATGTTTCTTTCTCTCTCTCTCTCTCTTTCTCTCTCTCCCCCTCCCTGCCTTCCACTCTAGCTAAAAATTAATGGAAAAATATTCTTGGGTGAGGATTAACAACAACAAAAAAGATTATTTCTGAGGGAGGTTGAAATACAATTAGATCAGGTATTAAATCTGGATTTGGTATCATGGGTTTTTAGCAGGAGTGGTGCCATTTTGGGCCTGTGTTTTTTCTTCTTTAACAGTATAGGTAAATAAAATAGTGACCATTTATTGATCATTGTTGAAGCTGGTAAATGGGTACATGGGGTTCATTATACTTTTCTATTTTTGTGTGTGTTTGAAAATTCCCATTAAAAAAAAAAAAAAAGGCAAGAAAAAAAGAAATCACTCAGTATGAATCCCTTTATCAGCCATTTCTAAGAGTTGGTTTGGATGACAGGGCTCTGCCACTAACAAGCTTCATGACTTTGGGCAAGTCCCTCCACGTCTTAGGGACTCAGCTCACCCATCTGAAAAATGTGGCCTTTCGGTGATATTTCTCTTGGGAGCCTAAGAAGCTAGCAGGGGCTGTGGGCTTGCAGAGAGGTGCCTAAGGGCCTTGGTGGGGGGAGGATGCAGTAGTCAAAGCAACATGAACTTTAACCTCAGCTCTGACACTGTGATCTCTGTCACTGCTTATCTATAAAAATGATATTCTTTTTTTTTTTTTTAATTCTCACCAAGGATATTTTCCCATTTATCTTCAGATAGAGTGGGAGGGAGAGAGAGAAACAGCGCCATGAGAGAGACACATCGACTAATTGTCTCTGGCAGGTCCCCAACCCAAGGAAACTGAGGTTCGTGCCCTTGACTGGACTCAAACCCAGGACCAGAATCCAACGCACGACTTGGTCCTCGGGCTGACGCCCTAACCGCTGTCAAACCAGCCAGGGCTAAAAAGGATACTCTTATCTCATTAGTGGGAAGGTTAAATAAATTAACAGTAGCCAGAGTCTGGCACGGTGGGCTGGGACATACTCAACAAATACTAGTTTCCCTGGCCCAGCAGTGTTCGTCCAGGGCTGTCTCACACGCTCCTCCACCGCACTGGGTCCAAAGTGCAAAAGGTAAGCAACGACCCACCGCCAAGTTCGCGCACAGCGCCCTCGCGCGTCCAGCGCTGAAACTGCCAGACCCGACTGCCCATCAGCCCCCGCGACTCCTCCGCGTCCGCGCCTGCGCAGAGGCGCCGCCCCCGAAGTTTGTTGTTGTTGAGACCAGCGTCTGGGTGGCCGGCGGCGCTACCATGGCGGTGCGACAGGCGCTGGGACGGGGCCTGCAGCTAGGTCGAGCGCTGCTGCTGCGCTTCACGGCCAAGCCTGGCCCGGCCTACGGCTGGGGGCGGCCCGAGCGACCGGGTCCCGCGGCGGCCCGGGGCCGCGGAGAGCGCCCAGACCAGGTCGCGGGACACGGCGCGGAGCCGCGCAGGCTCGGGCTCGGGCTCCCCGACCGCTACCGCTTCTTCCGCCAGTCGGTGGCGGGGCTGGCGGCGCGACTCCAGCGCCAGTTCGTGGTGCGGGCCCGGGGCTGCGCGGGCCCTTGCGGCCGGGCCGTCTTTCTGGCCTTCGGGCTGGGGCTGGGCCTGGTGGAGGAGAAGCAGGCGGAGGGCCGGCGGGCGGCCTCGGCCTGTCAGGAGATCCAGGTGAGCGGCGGCGGCGCCGGGCGGGGCTGGGGGCGGGGCTGGGGCGGGGCCCTGAGTGTTGTGGGGGCGGGGCCGGGAGGCATTTGGTGACAGAAGCCCTGAATTGAGGCAAGATGTATCCTCCCCAGCCCCAGAAATTCCTTGGACATCACCCGTTCAGGCTCATTTTCAGTGTTACTGATCTTCTGGAATGGAGACAGCACCTCACATTTGTCATACTGTTTTCCCTCCCTCAAACATCGTGTTTTGGAAGATACGCCGCTAATTATACCTGCTGTTGCACCATTGCTGATGGCTTTGTGTAAAGTTTTAAAAATTTAATGACAAATCATAACACACTGTTCCCGAGGTAGTTGTCATCCCCAGTTTGTGGATAAGGAAACGTTCTCAGAGAGGTAAAACTACTTGCTCGAAGTCACACAGCTAATAAAGAATAGCGCCCCACGTCTGACGCCCCGAAGCCTGTGCCCTTCAGCACCGAGCCAGGCTGCCTCCACCGCTTAGCCAGACAGTTGGTTACAGCTGAAGCCAAAGTAAACGGCAACAGCAGGAGACAGCATCACACCTAACGGATTTTAGGTAACCTGTGTGGCGTTATCAGGAGTGAGTGGATATGTAGGGGTTCTTAGGCTTTTTAAAAATGCTTAAAATAGTTCAGAGACCTCTTTCTACTCTACTAAAATCGGTGGAAGTCAGGGTTTTCCAGAGGAATAGAACCAATAGGATGTGTTTATAGAAAAGGAGATTTATTTTAAGGAATTGGTCCTCCAGTTCTGGAGGCTGGCAAGTCTAAAATCTTCAGGATAGGTAGACAGGCTGGAGACCACCCAGGCAAGAACCATTGTTGCAGGTAAAGCTGAGGGTCATCTGCTGGAAGAATTCCCTCCTCTTCCAGGGAGATCAGTCTTCTGCCTGGGGTTTGGAGCCACAGACTGAGTACAGCCCCTGCCTGCAATTTACAGTTGAGGGACGAGGGGCTGGAAGATGGAGTGACTTGCCCAAGGACATAGCTGGGTAAGGACCACGCAGTGCCTCCCGTTTCCTGGTTTCCAGCCCAGTTCTTGTTACTCAGCACTGCAGCTCTGGCTAGTTTGGGGTGACAGGTGACATCTGGCCTAGTCCCCAGGCACTGCCCTTGTCTTTTGCAATGGCTTAACTGGCAGAAGCCAAGGGTGGGAAACTTGATAATCCTGCTTAGAATTATGGAAGCTTTTTTTTTTTTAACTGAGGAGCTCGATCCTCCTAAGCTTACCATCTACACGTCCTTTTCTCACTTCACCTTCCTGTGTCTTAAATTTTTTAATTAGTTGACAATTAGTTTTTAAAATTCAGGTGTTTGCTTTCTTTAGGGGAAACAAATCACCAGGTCTGGCACCTCTACTGCTAAAATTCCTTCTGGTATCAGAGTAGAATAGTGGCTGCTCCTTTTAGATGGGGGCATACGGAGGGGGGAGGGGATTCAGTTATAAAACAGGCAAAAGACATGTATATTTTACCAAGAGGAGATACAGATGTCACATATGTATATGAAAAGATGTTCAACGTCACTAGCAATTAGGGAAGTGTAGGTAAAAAACACCATGTGATATCACTGCATACTTACTGGAACAGTTAAAAAAAATAGTGATTATACCAAATGCTGGTGAGGATGCAGAAAAGCTGGACTGCTGGTGAGACTATAAAATGCTATAAACACTCTTAAAAACAGCAGTTTCTTTAAAAAACAAACAAACAAACATGCATTACCACATGACCTAGCCATTGCAGTCTTGGGCATTTACCCAGAGCAATGAAAACATGTTTACACAGAAACCTGTATGTGAGTAGCTGATGTGGAAAACAGCATGGCAGCTCTCCCCCAGAATAAAAACAGAATTATCATGTGATACAGCAATTCTGCTTCTTGGTGTATACACAAAAGAATTGAAAGCAGGGACTCGAACAGGTATTTGTGTATGTATGTTCATAGCAGCCTTATTCACAATAGGTAAAATGTGGAAGCAACCCAAATGCCCATCAATGGATGAATGGATAAGCGAAATATGGTAAACACACACAATGGAGTATTATTCAGCCTTAAAAAGGAAGGAGATTCTGACACATGCTACAACATGGATGAACCTTGGGAACGTTATGCTAGGTGAAATAAGCCAGTCACAAAATGACAAATACTGTAGGGTTTCACTCATACGAAGTTCATAGAGACAGAAAGTAGGATGGGACTAGCAGGGACTGGAAGGAAAAGGGATGGGGAGTTATTGTTTAATGGGTATAGAATTTAAGTTTTGCAAGATGAAAAAAGTTCTGGAGCTAGATAATGGTGATGGTCACACAACAATGTGAATGTACTTAATGCCACTGAACTGTACACTTAAAAATAGTTAAAATGGTCAGTTTTATGTTTTGTTTTGTTTTTTTATCCTCACCCGAGGACATTTTTCCATTTTTTTGTTCAGATAGGGAGAGAGAGGAATTGAGAGAGAGAGAAACATCGACGTGAAAGGGACACATTGAGCGGTTGCCACCCGCACAGCCAACCAGGGCCGGGGACAAACTGCAACCAAGGTACGTGCCCTTAGCGGGAACCAAACCCGGGTCTCTCTGGACCTCAGGCCGACGCTCTAACCGCTGAGCCAAACTGGTCAGGGTGGTCAGTTTTATGTTTTTAATTTTTGTTTTTCTCTGTTGATTAGAGAGAGAGAAGCATCAGTGAGAGAGAACATCGATTGGCCTCCTCCTGCATGCCCCCCACTGGGGACTGGGCCCACAACCTGGGCATGTGCCCTAGGCGGGAATCAAACTGTCGACCTCTTGGTGCATGGGTTGATGCTCAACCACTGAGCCTCGCTGGCTGGGCAATAATAATTTTTAAATCCTGTCGTGAATCTTAGCAGCAGCATTCATAATAGCAAAATTTCCAAATGCCCTTCAAGTTAAACAAACTGGTATATCCATACAATGAAATACTAAGCAATAACAAGGAATTAACTATTGATGCAGATAACAATCTAAATGAACCTCAAGGGCATTATGCTTAGTGAAAAAAGTCAGTCTCAAAAGGTTATACTGTGTGATTCCACTTGTATATTATTCTTTAAATAACAAAAGTAGAGATGGAGAACAGACCAGTGGAAACCAGGGGATAGGGATGGGCTGGGGGTGGTGCAAATTCAAAGAGGTAACACAGTTCTTTTGTGGTGATGGCACAGTTCTGTATCCTGATGTGGTGGTGATTATACAGATCTGTTCATGGGATACAACTACATGGAGCTACACACACACCAATGAGTGCCTGCCACAGAATCCTGCCCATCCACAGCTCCTGGTAACCATCCAGTAGCTGCCTGCCAAGGTCTTTGCAGAGAGCTGTCTCCATCACCAGAAACCTCCAACATTGTGCTGGGTGCTTGACAGGCAGCAAAGGAGTAGTATGTGTCAGCTGCAGAATGTGGAAGTTCTGACCTCTTAATTATGTTCATTGGTGAGCTGTCTCTGATGCAATCATGTGACAGAGTTTGGGAAAAATTATTCTGAATAATGAGAGAGAGAAGCAGGATGGCCTGAGCTCAGGTTGAGCAGTGAAACCTAATTGGGTTATGATTTTAATAGCTCTCAGTCTTGTCATTGAAGACCTTGCCCCACTATATTTCTCCTTCCCCATTTCCTGTCACTTGAGCCCTACTTGTCTCCCTCATTCATGGTGCATGCTGTTTTTCCCCATAGGCAATTTTTACCCAGAAAAACAAGCTGCTTCCTGACCCACTGGACACTAGGCGCTGGCAGGGCTTCCAGCTGGAGGAGTATCTAATAGGGCAGTCCATTGGCAAGGGCTGCAGTGCTGCTGTGTATGAAGCCACCATGCCTGTGTTGCCCCGGAACCTGGAGGTGGCAAAGAGCATCCGGCTTCTTCCAGAGAGAGCCCCAGATATCATCCCACCAGAAGAGGAGGGGCGAGCTCCACAGCCCCGTGCTTTTCCCTTAGCCATCAAGATGATGTGGAACATCTCGGTAAGGATGGGCCTACCATCTTCAAAGTGCCACTCTTGGGGGACCTGATGCTGCTTTTCCCAGGAATTAGATAGGGAAAGCCTGATTCTTCACAGTCCACCTGCCTATGTAGTTAGGCTTCCTCACCCTCTCACACAGGAGTGAGGTGGCATGTCTCAAAACGTAATATGCCCACGAATCACCCGAGGATTGGCAGATTCTGATCAGCAGGTGTGGGGTGGGGCCTGAGATGCCCCACCAGGTGATGCCCATGCTGCTGGTCTGTGAAACACACTTTGAGTAGCAAGTGCCTAAACCATTGGTTTCTCACCTGGCAGTCCTAGCTGGTCAGTTAGTTAATTTTGGGACTGACTGACCACCATCCTCCCCCCTTCCCTTGACCTGCCTCACTGGAGAGGAGGAGCCACACTCCTTAACTCTAAACTCACCTTGCACCTCACCTCCAGATCAGAGGCTTGCTTGTCACCACCCTGCTGTCAACTCTTGGAGGACTCCAGGCTTTCGGAAATTGAGTATATTCCCCCTGACAAAAACAGATTTCTGTCTATTGGGAGTAATTTCTTCTTTTGTAAATACCCAAGGATATTTTTCCATTGATTTTCAGATAGAGTGAAAGGGAAGGAGGGAGAGAGAGAGAAATATCGATATGAGATACACACATCAATTAGTTGCCTCTCACAGGATCCCAACCAGGGCTGGGGATCGAACCTGCAACTCAAGCACATGCCCTTGACCAGGAATCAAACCTGTGACCCTTTGGTCCATGGGCCGAGGCTCTAATCACTGAGCAAAACTGGCCCGGGCAGGTTATCTGATCTTGAAGATGAAAACCAATTCTAGGCAGTACCTTTTCTGGTCTGGATTATGAGGAGGGCTTGGACTTGGCATTCTGCTTGGGTGTGTATAACTCTAGATTCATTATAGATATGTGTTTCAGGCTGGCTCCTCCAGCGAAGCCATCTTGAGCACAATGAGCCAGGAGCTAGTCCCAGCTAGTCGAGTGGCCTTGGCTGGGGAGTATGGAGAAGTCACTTACAGGTAAGTGCCCATCTGCCCACCAGACTGACTATGAGTTCTTTGAGAGCAAAACCATTGTCTGTATCCTCAGCACTCAGCAGTGTCTGACACGCAGCCAGTAGTAAATGCTTACTGAATGACGTAGTGATGGATTTTCAGTTGGTGGGTAATTGGGAAAGATTGTGGATCATCTGCCGATGAACACTGGAGTGGGAAGAGAGGGCCGTCCCCAAATGCCCAATTCAGAAAGTGGAAAATTGATCCGATTTCTGATTCTTCTGAAGTAATGCCCAGGTGGAGCACCAGCTCTCCATACCAACTGAACTCTGCCCCCAGAAGAGGTAACTTACATTCATTCCTCTGGTAGCTGCAGTGCACCTGAGGTGCCAAGACATTTAAAAGAAAAAAAAGTGGCCTGTCCTCCAAGAGTTCTCCATGGGGACGGACATGTCAGGTGTCGTAAGTTCTCGAATGGTGTATGCTCAGGTGCTGAGGGAGCCCAGAGGAGTATGTGTGGCAGTGTGGGGCCATTCAGAAAGGCCTCTTGAAGGGACAGTTTGTGCTGCTTTTTGAAGGGTGAATCGCATTAGCTCAGCAAAGCAGTAGGAAAGGAGGCATTGTTCCCAGGAAAGAGCGGTGAGGGCAGCCCGCTGACAGGGCTGTGTAAGTCCCATGTGACAAAGGCCTGTGTGCTTACTGGAACATCCGTAGACCACCAGGAGAGGTGAGCCTGCTGCAGTTTTGGTAATTTACTAAGGGTTGAGTTATAGATCTAGTTCTGTCAGAAGCAGGAAGGTAGAAATAGGGACTTAAAGAACTATACATGAAAAACCCTTTCCATTGCTTGGAAGGCTCCAGTATAACTGAGGGTCCGGGCAGGTCTGTGGGCTCAGCACAGCCTCTTCTCCTGCCTCCTTTGTAGGGAAAAGTGGACCACTGAATGTCAGCTGCCTTTGGGGACCTAAAGTTATCATGGTGTCAGCTTCAGCTGCTGACAGGGTGCTGTGAGCACTGATGTCTGCCGCAGAGCCCTGCCCAGACCTCTCATCTGAAATAGTCCCTGCCACTCTCCAGTCCCTTGCCCGGCCTTAGTTTCTTCTCAGCGCATTGATCACTATCTCAGCATAAATCCTAGATGTCTTTTGTCTGTTCACTCTCTCTTAAGCTGTACTATATGCTGTCTGAGGCTAAGGCTTTTAAGTTTTGTTTCCTGCATTCCCCCACAGCTCATTGTCTGCTGAATGTGGCTGAAGGTCTGTTACCTAAAGTACTGGTAACATCTTAACACTGTCTCAGGAGACACACTCTTCCCTGAGAGCACCCTGGGCCTATTGCTACTGAGCCTTTTTGCTCATCTGGGGACCTCAGATTCGGCTCTTTGCATCTGTTCTCCTTGCTTCTTGTCCCACCTGATTTCTGATGTCATCCCATTTACATGCTATGCTCCGCCACACTGGATTCCTGCTGCCCTTCCCCAAGGCACCAGGCTCCTCCAGGACTGTTGTCTCTGCATGCAGGTAACTACTGAGCTGCCCTCCCGACAGCCTCGTCCCATTCCAGGTGTCACTTCAAACACACCCACACGCAAATGTCCCCAGCACAGCCACACTCTTCCTCTGGGCTCCTGTGACAACTGGGCAGAGCTTTCCCCTGTGGCACTGATAGCCTTGAGCCATGATCCAGATTCTTCCACTAGCCCCAGTGGCCCAGGGGTACAATGCCTTGACTCTTGATTGCACAGAACAGGGCCCAGGGGGGTGGACTGAAGAGAAAGAGCAGTAGAAGGCCACATGTGGACTCGCTCTACAAAGCTCGGGAACCGAGGCAGCTCGGAGGACAGGGCAGGCATCGTGTTCCCAGAGATTGTCTTGATGTCTCTGGGCTTCTGCTCCATTCTCTTCTCTCTGCCACCCGTGTTCTTACTTCTTACCCCCTGGCTCTTGTTTCTGCACACCTTTGACTTGCACACCTCCTTGGCATCCAGGGCCCCAAGCAAATCTCATGTCCTTTCACCAGCTCCACTGCTGACTGCCAGGTCACTGCCGTGTTTCCTCACTCGTACCCCTCAAAGAGAGAATCTGACTAGCCCCTTCCCTTTTCCTGCCAACCATTGGGATCTCAGATATGGCCAGGCTCATTGCCCTTGGGTCAGGTACTACCCTTAGTCCAGTCATCTTTGGTTGAGAGGCTGAGCTGGTACACAGAAGGCCGTCACAATAAAAAACATGGCCCCGTGTCTCAGCAGGGCTGTGGATGTGGGGCTCCTGGAGGAAGAGGGTCGGGAGGGCAGGCAGGTGACAGCTCTAATACCAACTGTCTGTGTTCGTTCGTTCGTTCGTTCATTCATTCATTCATTCATTCATTCATTCAGTAAAGGTTTATTGAGCTTATACTCCACACCAAGTGTTACTACAAGAACTTAGAATCAGATTCTAGGTCCTTTCTTTACAAGTATTACCAGCCTTATAAGGTATGTTACTACCTTTTGCACTTGAGACTGAACCCAGAGAAGATAAGTAACTTGGCCAAGTGACAGACCTGGAACCCAAACCCAGGCAGTCTGATTTCAGGGGCTCTTAACCACTGTGTCTGCCACGTGGGATGATAGATGGATGGGTAGAAGGAAAGATGGACAGACGGACGGATGGAAGAAAAGAAAAGATGGACTGGTGGAGGCATCGAATGTGATGAGTCATCTTAATGAGTTTTCCCTCTAACACCAGGCTCTGCACCTGGAACACAGCAGATCTACAGTAAATAGTTGATAAGTGAATGGCGGCAATTATTGTGGCTTTAGATGATCTTTCCGACTGTTATCTGTTACTGGCCTCATGTTTGTCCCTTTTGACTGAAACAGAAAATCCAAAGGAGGTCCCAAGCAACTGGCTCCTCACCCTAACATCATCCGGGTGTTCCGCGCCTTCACCTCGTCTGTCCCACTGCTGCCAGGGGCCCTGGTCGACTACCCAGATGTGCTGCCTCCACGTCTTCACCCCGAAGGCCTGGGCCACGGGCGGACACTTTTCCTCGTTATGAAGAAGTAAGTGGCAGGAATATGGCAGGACCTGGAGTCAGTGAGAGCTGGTCCCTGCTTCTGTATACCTGGAGCCCCTGGGGTCACAGGGAAGAGGGTCCTCGCCCTTTAGGAAATAAGGCCATGCCAAGGGCAGTTTCCCTGTAAGACGATTTTCCATGAAAACAATCCCATCTTCGTTTAGAACAGACTTTTCTCCCGGTGCCTTTAGTGCATTTGGCTGTTGTCCCTTCTCTATGGCTGCCTTATGTGTGTGTTTAGTTGGTTGGTTGGTTTTTAACACACACAATTCCTCCTCTTCTGTACCCCTAATACTGCTGTAATGGAAATTTTAAGGAAATGAGCATCTGTACTGTTACTTTCAACATGTAAGGCCCTGGCTCTTCCTAATTTCAGGATGGTGGGTGGAAACAAATACTTGGGGCAAAAAAGAAATTTAAAAAGCTCCAGGGGAAAAAAATAAAAGCTCCAGGAAGAAGAGGAAAGGCCACCATCCTAATAGTAAATAGGATGCTAGAGAATGTCAGTGCATGATAGTCAGAGGCCCTGTCACCCTCTCCACCAGCTACCCCTGTACCCTGCGCCAGTACCTTCGGGAGAACACCCCAAGTCCCCGTCTCGCCACCATGATGATCTTGCAGCTCTTGGAAGGAGTAGATCATCTGGTTCAACAGGGTGTCGCACACAGAGACCTAAAATCTGACAACATCCTCGTGGAGCTGGACGCAGGTAGGTGCCTGGCCACACCTCGGAGCTCTCCAGGGGGCAGTAGGCCCGAGGTCTGGGAACATAGGTCCTTTTTGGTTTTTATGTTCTAAGTTGTTGTGTCTAAATTTAGCTCTATACACAAGACATGAGCATTCTCTCCTTAAAAGTGGAGGTTTTTGTTCTCTGTGGGATTTGTGGAATGATAGTTAACACCCCCAAGTTCCTTTCTGATGCCCACTTACAGGATGACCCTAGTGGTGGAAGTTTTATTGAATAAAGGAAAAGAGAGGTAGACTTGAGCCCAACATAAGAAAGAGTTTAAATCTGAAAGCTGTCCAAATGTAAGCCCAGTTGCCTCTGGAAATAATGAGTTCCCCATCACTGAAAGCATTCAAGTAGAAGCTAGATGGTTAGTAGTTTGGGGATATGGTAAAGTAGATTCATACATCTGATCACTTTTGATCTAAATTTAAAATAAACAAACATGGCGCAGCTGGTGTGGCTCACTGGTTGAGTGTCAACCCATGCACCAAGAGGCTACCGGTTCCATTCCCTGTCAGGACATGTGCCTAGGTTGTGGGCCCGATCCCCAGTGGGGAGTGTGCAGGAGGCAGCCAATTGATGTTTCTCTCTCTCTCTCTAAAATAAATGAAGAAAAACATTTTTAAATAAACATGTACCTCCGGCTGGTGGTGCTCAGTGGTTAGAGCATCAGCCCATGCTCTGAAGTCTCAGGTTCGATTCCCAGTCAAGGGCGCATACCTGGGTTGCAGGTTCGTTCCCCTGCCCCAACTATGCAGGAGGTAACCAATCAATGTGTCTCTCACATTGCCCCCCCCCCCAAATCAATGAAGATTAACATCCAAAAAAGTAAACATGCAGTTAAATTACCAGAGGAACTGGCTTTTTAAAGGAAGTCTGTGTAAATCCTTTTACAAATAACTAATTCCTAACACACCGATTTCTTAGGTTTGGATTTGGGGTTTCAAGTTCAAAGAAAAAACTGTTGGGGTATAAGGGTTCTTAGAGTTCACACAACCTGTCGAGTAAATTTAGAGCATTACTTCAGTCTTGGGACAGGTCCAATTACTTCATTATTTACATTGATCCAAACTTTTATCCAGTTTGTTCGGCTTTGTCAGGGAGCCTGTATTTTCCTGAGGCCTTTCTGTATTCGTGTAGCTGGCCTTCCCGTTCAGCTCTCTGAGGAGCCCTCTCTGCTCTCCTGGACCAATGCTGAGTCCCCTTTAGCCCCTCTCACCTGTGTCTTGATGGTGGCTTTAGTGGGGACATAGGAGGGCCTCTCGGAGGAGAGACGGAGAAGCAGTCGCTTACTCTCCTGTCCCTTGCCCAGACGGCTGCCCCTGGCTGGTGATCGCGGACTTCGGCTGCTGCCTGGCTGATGAGCACGTAGGCCTGCAGTTGCCTTTCACCAGCTGCTATGTGGATCGGGGCGGAAACGGCTGCCTGATGGCTCCCGAGGTGAGCCCCGCTGAGATGTCATGCGCCTGAGCACCATCAGCAGACTCAGTGTTTCCACTGACAGAACAAGACCTGACACCTCATGATTTTCTCAACTCCTCCATCTTTTATGACCCGTAATTTGGCTGCAGTCCCTCCCTGCCACTTTGCTTTAATCTGGATCTCCCTCATGTTCCCAGGAGGAGATGCAGGTTTTGTCAGCACAAAGTCGACAGCCTAAGCAGATTCTTCTGGGTCTGAGCTACAACTCACTCCAATTCTGGGTTCCTTGGGACAGAGTTCAGATTAGCCCATGAGTCAGGTGGCATGCAGAAGCACGAATAGCTTAGAAACACCAGCAACATGACTGCTCACCCATTGTTTTCCGAGCAGGTGTCCACAGCCTGCCCTGGCCCCAGGGTGGTGATTGACTACAGCAAGGCTGACACCTGGGCAGTGGGAGCGCTTGCCTACGAAATCTTCGGCCTCCCCAATCCTTTTTATGGCCAGGACGGAGCCCACCTTGAAAGCCGAAGTTACCAAGAGGCTCAGCTGCCTGCACTGCCTGAGTCAGTGCCTCTACACGTGAGACAGCTGGTGAGGTCACTGCTGCGGCGGCAGGCCAGCAAGGTGAGGCCGTCCCCAGGTTTTGCAGGGGTTATACAGGTAGAAACCTCAGAGTAAAGATCAGGTTTGGGCAAGCACTAGAGTGACAGATGGCTCCTCTTACGAAGAGTAAAAGGTCAAGTACAGGAGGACCGGATAGAGTTTAATATGAATTGGATAGGGGAGCTAGCCACCAAATTAGTCAGAATTCCAGCAATTCAACTCTTCTTGGCTTTAGTTAAGTTACATAGAAGGGAAAAGATGCATTTTTAAGAAATGCCTAATGGAAATGTCATTTATGGAAACAACTGAGATCTGATGAGACAACAGACGTGAAAACATGTACGAGAGCAGGTCTGGACATTTTGAAATTACTGTAAAGGGCCCTGCCGGTTTGGCTCAGCGGTTGGAGCATCGGCCTGTGGTCCGGAGAGACCCGGGTTCGGTTCCCGCTAAGGGCATGTACCTCGGTTGCAGTTTGTCCCCGGCCCTGGTTGGTTGTGTGGGTGGCGACCACTCGATGTGTCCCTTTCACGTTGATGTTTCTCTCTCTCTCTGTTCCTCTCTCTCCCTCCCGCTCTACCTGAACAAAAACTGGAAAAATGTCCTCGGGTGAGGATGATAAAAAAAAAAAAAAAAAAAGATATTACTGTAAAGGAATCTAAAGGCTCACACATGTGAAGGCACAGTTGGTTGTGGCAGGTCCAGTTCAGGTGGCATGCTTAGTGGAAAGAGCAGAGGCAGACCAGGTTCAGATTCTCGTTCTTGCACTCACCTCTCACCATGCACAGTGCTGTCAGGGTCACAGCAGCTCGCTGCTCTCGGTTACTGAGAGATGCAGCTCCTCACTCCAGACAGTGCTCTCAGGGGGAAGCAGAACATGGGCCTTTCGTGACGGGGCGGCCCACTGGGAACACGCTGCCTCCAGGCAGATCTGTATACAAGGAAAAGCCTGGAGCATGGGTAGAGAGCAGCCAGTATGTGTCAGGAGAGTGAACGGTTTGGGAGGAGAGAGAAGGGTGGAGAAGAATTTGGTTGGGACCAGAGCAGGGAAGAGCCTGAAATGAGGATTCCTTACTACAGAGGGTTGTGGGCTGAACACTTGGTCACAGATGTTCTAAGCCTCAGCTTCCCTTCTTGTTGCAGAGACCATCTGCCCGAGTAGCTGCTAACGTGCTTCACTTAAGCCTCTGGGGTGAACATACTCTAGCCCTGAAGAATCTGAAACTAGACAAGATGATTGGCTGGCTCCTCCAGCAATCAGCGGCCACTCTGCTGGCCAACAGCCTTACAGAGGAGAGCTGTGTGGAAACAAAAATGAAGATGTTATTTCTGGCCAACCTGGAATATGAGGCTCTGTGGCAGGCAGCCCTCCTCCTCTGCTCCTGGAGGGCAGCCCTGTGATGGCTGATGTGGCTGACAAATTACTAAAAGAACTTGGCAGCATCTATGTCGTGATGGTCTGTGAATGCTGACAGAGGGGTTCTGAGGTGTGAGGGGAGGAGTCAGGAGAAAAGATGGCACAGAGAGGGCTGGTTAGCAGAAGAAAAGGCTTCTGGTTTGGCAAATGAGAGGAACAAGTTGAGTGAAGCTCACAGTCTATAGCTTTTAACTCCAGCTGTGTGATTTGGTTGCATCATATAACCTGTGTGGTCTAAATTTCTCTTACCTATAAAATGAAGAAACCACTCTAACCGGGAGTGGGCACACTTCCTCTAGAGCGCCCAATAGCAAATACCCAGGCTGTTGCAGACACTCACCATTCCTGTTGTAGCACAAAAGCAGCCTTAAATATGGAGACGAACAAGCGTGGCGGTGCCAGTAGTACAGTGTTAGTTATGGACACTGAAACCTGAGTCACTTAAATGCTCTTTTAAAAAATCATTTAAAAACGTAAAAACCATTTTTTGCTTGCAGGCAATACCAAAAATAGGCAGCAGGTTGGATTGGCCCACAGGCCAGTTTGCCAACCCCTGGTCTAGATGAATTCAAAGGACCTAACTCTAAAATGCACTAATCACTAGGCCCCTGTGTATGGATACTAAAACTGGTAAGATCTTTGCCTACAAATCCAAAGGGATGAGTTCTCTGCACCAGGCGACAAGATACACTCAGGTGTTAACTGCTGACCACAAAGCCCTACCTTATGCTCATGTTCTGTCTTCACAGACTTCTGAAGAGTAGATGGCTGGGCTGGGCTGTCATGAGGCTGGGCTGAGGAGGGTCCAGGCCAAGGCAGTGCTGTTAGTGGCACGGTTCCTGAGCCAAGGCAAACATGCACAGGTCAGTGTATTCAGACATCGGGATGAAGGGATGCAGGCCTGGAAGGTAGAGAGCCTTGCACTGCTGCTACAGAACTGAGTCTAGCAGAGCTAAAACGACCGATGGAATGAAGTAGAGATTAACAGCATAGTGTTTTAAACATGCCGATCTCCTCCTGACTCGCATTTTTTACAGGAATTGTGAAGAATTAAACGTGCATTTACAACTGCAGAATATGTATGTGCCTTGAATTATTTGGCTTTAAGACTGAATTTTTATACCACAAAGACACATTTTGGGGGCAGAGATCAACAATAGGGAAGGGATTTTGCATATAATTTTACACATGCTTTTAGAAACACAGCTGTTGCCTAAAGCAAGTGACCAACTAAGTTTCCTTAGAAAACCAAACAGTTCTATGTCTGTTATAAAGATAAGTGCTATTACCTTAGATTTTCCATTTCAGTGATTCCCCACTGGCCTCAGTGTTATTATTAACCTTATTTTATCCCTTGAGAAGTTTGGAAACACTATCATTTCATAGTTAAAATACAGTCTAGTCTGAGGCAAAATTAAAAGAGGCCACTTACTGTTTTGTATCCACTCATTACTGAACAACATCCCTCCATCAGCAAAGCACAGTGGGGGCTGGATGAAGTTTGAAGGCAATGTTTCTCTTTATTTTAGAAATGACTGAGTGCACATTTGAAAAATACCACTTAGCATGAGGTGGAAAAACTTACATAAAAATCATCCCCTAACCCCACCCCTTGGTACTCAATGCCGCATCTCCCACTGAGGTAAGGCTATGCCACTGTCCCACGGCTTTATTAAAAAAAAAAAAAAAAAAAATGAAGGGAAAGAAAAACCAATCCTAGTCAAAGCCCTTCGTGTCCACGTGTAAGGAGTCCCAGGGCTCTGGCCCTCAGTCGGACTTCTCCTTCTCCTCCTTCATGTGTAAGAAGACGATGCTGAAGATGAAGAGTCCCGCCATCATGGAGAAGGCACTGGCGTAGTAGGGATAGGCCGAGGGGATGAAGCGCTCATACTGTGTGTGCTGCAGTGGCCTCACGGACACCTGCAACAGGACAGAAGTGACAGGCCCCGGCACTCAGAAGCCCAGGTGGGGCACACACTGGCTGAAATGGACTGTGTGGCCTGTGCTTACCTGAGTGGAAGAATACAAGTGCGTGTAGCCTAGCCGATTGTAATCCACTTTAAACTGGAACACACCGTACACGTCTGGCAACTTGAACTGGACGCTGTACTTGCCACCTGGGGAAGATCAACACACATGACCAGGAGGGTTTCCTGAAGTGTTTCTGTTAGCCTCCTGAGAGCAGGTCCGAGGCAGGGACTGTCTTCCTACAGCTTCTTTGAGAGCTGCTTTTACCTTTCTTCTTCAGGAAGGTCCTCACAAAAGGATCGATGCGGACAAACTCCAGCTGAATGTCATCCCCATCAAAGGGGACCCACCTGCCGTTAGAGAGCTGCTCGATCACGACGCTGTACTCCTGAGAGGAAAGGCCAGTTAGCCAGGGGGCCGGTAACTGGAGGGATGCTGCCACCCGCAGAGCTGCGCTGAAACCCCACTCGTGATCCGGCAAGAACTCCCAGGAACTGTGAAACCCAGGGCAAGCCCTACCACCCAACCCTGGGCAGTGACTGAAATACCACCTGGCAGGCTAACCCCTCTGATTGCATCCTCACCCCTTCACAGGCCAGTGCAAGTCTGCAAGCAAACCACGCTCCCCCCTGGAGCCTGCCAGGCTCTCTCGGGCATCCCTGCTTCCATATTCACTGCACTCTTGTTGACAAATTCAGCCGCAAACCCAACTCCAATGGCATTTCTCTTGTGAGCCCTTTCAGCGGAGTCAGCAAAGCCCCTCCCGTTCCGCACTCCCACAGCAAAACCAGACCTTTCCACAAGGTCTCCATCAGGATCTCGGTTTCTCTGCATCAAAACTGACTTTCTTCAGGGGAGAGGTTAACTTACTCCTCATTTAGGCCTCACAGGCCCAACATAGAAGTGCTGCATAAATGCTTTTGAGCTGGGTCACTTTGGCTAAAACCTCAAGGCCCTCCCACTCCAAGCTCTTACCACCAGGTCAGTGACAGTGTAGGCATTGGGTGGAGCCGTCTCGCCCACCCGATGATGGGACACAGGCCCCACACGGAGGACACCCTCCTCTTTGAACACCCAGCGGGAGAGGGCCACAGCTAGCTCGTAGTTGCCTGTCTGGGAATACCTGCAAAGGGAAATCAGGAGAGGCTGGAGCACCAGAACCAACTTCTTTTCAGTGGGAATATAAAAAAATGAAAAGATGTAAGGTTGTGTCGCTTTGGGTGTCACCTGCACAATGAGTACACAATTTTCTAAATGTCTCCAGAGAAGCCATTGCTAGAAAAGTTTGGAGTGCCAACACCAGCAATACAGCAACAAAGTCAAGTCTTCCAACTTGAACACAGCTAAATATACTTAGCCTCTGACATTTTTAGCCAAAAGGCGGTCTTCCTCCCCATCTGAGTCCTCCCCCTCTGCGATGACCCCACCACCCAGACCACATGCCTCTAAGTACCCTGGCATCTACCTCTGGGAGCCAGGTGTGGCCTTCTGCACTGCTGAGTTGAAGAAGGCATCACTGAAGAAGTCGAGGGAGCCACTGAAGATGACCCGGGCATTGTTCCTGGCCTGGAGCCCAGCAATCAGGAGGGTGTTCTTCCCCACTGCATGGGGATACTAGGAACAACATGAGGCGGTCATCCCAGAGAGCCAGGGCAAAAGACAAGCTCCTGGGCCTCCAGTGCAGAGGACAGCAGGCTAGACCTGAACAACCGAAGCCCTACCCGAGGGCGGAACCTGAGACACCCCTGCTTCTGCCCACTTCCCTGCTCCACCACTTCTCATAGTTCATCAGCAACGTGTGCTTTCCTGCTTAGTTCTCCTCTTCAATAAAAAAGCACTTTGCTCCTGGGCCCAGGAGCTGGAGTCTCAAGGCTGCAAAGGCCTCTCACCTGGGTGATAGGTTTATCTGGGAAGAAGGAGTACGAGGTAGAAGAGCCTGTCAGGATGTCCAACACCAAAGGGTTGTCAGGATCAGCTACCATCCTGGAGAAGAAAAAGAGAACCCCCCAACTCGGACCCCAAGAACTGAGCCCAAAGGACCTGGGGTCACCTAAGGGCCATTTCTTCACAGGAATGAATCCTACTTTCTTAATAGGCAAACACTTAGCTTTCCTCTTGCTGTAGCTATGAAGTTTGACTCTTAATGTCATGAATTAATCTCATCTGCAACCTCTGGAGGAGGGAATACTCCCAAATAATGACAAATTTGATTGGTTTCCTGACAAAATTAGAGTGATCCCCTCTTCCCCCAGGCTTATCTCTTTGCTCACTCACCCAACACCCCGAAAGAGGATGGGATTTAGAGACGATTTCCCCACAATGGTCGGGGCCTTCAGCAGGTTCTCAGTGTCAGCCACAATGAGTGTATGCTGCAACAGCAGAGGAGAGGACAGTGGTCAGGAAAAGGTGCCCCCAAGCCAGGGGTCCCTCCCAAACCCCTCATGGTTTTTGGCTGAGCTCTGTTACGGGGAACTGAAACCTGGACGGTGACAGGCCTGATTACCTGGCCAAGGTCTGAGACGTCGTAGTTGTGATGGTCAATGACAGCCGTTTTCTCCTCATCGAACTCAATCCCACACTCACTGCCCAGCTCTCGAAGAGGGTCCCCTACACAGACACAAGAGGTGCTTGGCTGAGCCTTAGGGGTGGGCCCTAGGCCAAGCTATGCTACCTGTCCTGGCTTCCTCATGACTTACTGTTCCAGTTATCCCCAGGGCTCTGTGCTCCTGGACCCTGGACAACAGCATGGCAAAAGACGTGAGTTCTAAATGTGAACTGGGCCCTGGCCAGTTTGGCTCAGCGGTTAGAGCGTTGGCCTGCGGTCCGGAGAGACCCGGGTTCGGTTCCCGCTAAGGGCACGTACTTCGGTTGCAGTTTGTCCCCGGCCCTGGTTGGTCATGCGGGTGGCAGCCACTCGATGTGTCCCTTCACATCGATGTTTCTCTCTCTCTCTCCCTTCCTCTCTCTCCCTCCCACTCTATCTGTACAAAAAATGGAAAAATATCCTCGGGTGAGGATAAAAAAAAAAAAACAATAAATGTGAACTGGTACAACAAAAGACACCTTGCCTTCTCCCTCCACAAATACAGTGACCTTGGTTCTGCACAAAAAGCCCCTTTGAAGCCAAGCAACACCTCAGCAAACGACCTGGATGAGCCCCAGCTTACAAGGTTTCTCCCCCATCACCTCACCAAGAACCCTACCCAATACAGTTTTTAAAAGCTTGTCAATGCTGGGGGGGGGGGGGGGGGGATTGGCCAGGTGTTGTTCACAGTTCTTCTTACTTCTAAGTATCTTTAAAATTTTCCAAAATAGGAAAAAAAACAAAACAAAATAAAAACCTGTCCAATGCTTTGGGCTCCACCCAATCAGCCTCCCCCTACTTGTCTCCTCTTCTGAAGGAAAGAACCACCAAAACAAAGGGAAGTAAAACCCAGCATTCCCAGCCCTTAAAAGAACCATAAACCATGAACCAGAACCTCGGTGGTTCTGGTCACAGGAAAGGAGGGACTGAATGGCTCCGTGGTTCCCTCGCTCACTCCCTGGCCAGGACCACCTGGTGAAGGACGACTTGGCAGCTTCCATTTGCAGAGCTCTCCAGCTTCCTGGAGAAACGGTGGAAAGCCCCAGACTCACCAATGTCTGAGCTGGCAGCCACCAGGACACTGCCTCCACCGTCAATAAAGGTACTGATGGTCTCCACGTTGATGTTGCCTCCAAAATCTGAAAGAAGCACAGACTCAGCGAGTCAGAAGGTTCCTCTCACTGCTCCTGACATCTGGGCGGGGGAAGGTGGGCATGGGACCAGCCACAGTCGGCAACAGAATATCGCCCTCCGGAAGCCCAAAACCAGAGGGACGTTTAGCATCTATGCCCCGATACAGGGCAATTCTCCCATTTTCGCAATGTGATGATCCAGAAATAAAGACTCAAATTCATAAACTTTTAGAAGTATAAATTAAAAAGTCAAACACCCACCAATTATAGTTGTCAAGTTATTTATAAGCACTTCAAGTTACATACAAAATCTATGTTTAGAAATGCTACACTTTCCCCTACATCGTGAAAGTTCACATTCATCACCTGCACCTTTAGAGCCACTTTCGGGGTCACCTAACGGTTTTCAAGAGCCTGCTGACTTCACTTCCGTCTGAGTTGTCTGAGGAAGAGCACTTTTGACTCTACGGGTGATGCTGTCTGTCACTAAGACTAGTACTTGCTTGCCCAACATGAGTAGGGTGTTTTCCTAGTAATCCTACGGGTTTATAGCCATAGTAGCCATAACAGAACCACTTCATAGACTATGCTTAAAAAAAAAAGAGCGATCACTGAAAAGGCTCATTTCCAACATCTGTAATTGTGAAATCATACCCTTTTTTGGTCAGTTTAGTCAGGTGACTGCCATAATATCCAAAACTAACTGTAAAGATCAACATGAGAATGACCCTCCTTTCGTTAGTAATTTTTACAAAAAAAACAACAACACTTGAAGACCTTTCCTCCAGGCCCAGACAGAACACCTTGTATCAGCAGACCCAACCTCTCAAACTACACTTACAAAGTCATCTTCCACTCTCCTACAGAGACCGGGCAGAATCTTAGACAATTCAAAAACAGCTTCTTGATATAGTACAGTGGTCCCCTTAGGGGCAATATCTGAAGACATTTCTAGTTGTGACAAGGGACGTAGCTACTGCCATCTAGTGGGTAGAGGCCGGGAATGCCGCTACACATCCTACAGTCCACACACGCTTATCCCGTCCAAAATGTCAAGGGTGCTGCCATTGAAGTGGAGACTCCGGGCTTAAATCTAGGCATCCCTTCACCTTTCTACGTCCATTTCCCTATCTACAAAAAGGGACCCAGATTTTTCTGGGTGAGAGGACATGCTATGGATCCTCCTTCTCTAGCCATTACTTGACCAAATGCGATGGGAGCTTCCTGATCCCAGAGAGGGCAAAGAACCCACTCACACACGGCGAAGGAAGCCAGGCCAGCCTTCTCACACCTGAGGGCTAACGGTGGCCACACTACCATAGAATTTCCTTGGAGCAGGGGCCAAACCCTTACCCTGACCCGACCCCCCCCCCAGCGGATACGTACAAGCCTTCTCCCCAGGAGTGCCCGAAGGAACCACGGCAGCGTTTCCCGAAGCGTGGAACCCACTCCACCAGGGGCAGAAAAGGTGACATGGTGATGTGAGGCAGGGCTTTAAAGCACGCTGAATCTCAGAGCTCCTCCGGCAGAGAGAATGTCTGAGTTTGCTACTGGTCTTGACCATTTCCCTCATATCTGCGAGTCTCCTCTTGTAAGAGGAAACCTCGGGCTCAACACCTTCTGCGGGGACAGAATCTGGCTAGAACTGTACTTACTCTACTTATAGTTACTTTCTACTGACTTTCCATTCTCCATGGCGATACTGGGTTGATTACTGGGTTCCTTTTAAAATATTTCAGTTTTTAAAAAGCAATTCGGTTTAAAGAAAAATACGAATTAGCACAGGTGATATGGAATGTGGTAAAAATCATGAAGGAGGTACAGAAAGTCAACTAACATTTGGGAAACACTGTCCCGGGCTGTCTGCTGTTTCTCCCACTTATCTTCTCAACTTCTCCGTCTCATCCACCGCTTCGTTTAAGCGACATGCCCCTCCTGCCTCCCGAGCACAACTCAGACGGTTCCTCCCCTCCACTGCAAACACCCCACACAGGGTTTGGCAACTCATTCCAAGTCCTTAGTCTTATCTCCTCAAAGACGACTGAAAGAGCAGGCTCTCTGTCACAGTCAGATCGTATTTCGGAGTCCCAAACACAGCAGCAACTTGGCAAATGCCAATTTAACCTGCCGAAGGCTCCATTCACCTGCCCAGTGACCTGAAGACTCCAACTTGTACAACCTGGGGTCTCTTCCACCCAACTACACTTGCCTCCAAAAAGCCAGTTCCAAAGGCACATTTTGCAGGGGAGTTGGGGAGTAACATGATAAGTGTTGGGAGCCTAGAGAAAAATACTTCAGGAATTTAACTGAACCCAGTCTCATATGAACCACAGAGAATAAAGTAGATGCCAATGAAGGGAAAGACTTCCCAAGCATCAACTGAAGGAGAGGCAGTCCTGTCTCACCCCAGCCAGGGACACCCTGAGTCCTCTGAGAAAAAGACAAAGTGAAGCCACTAAAGAAGAGGATGACTAGATGCTCACCAAAAAAAAACTCGACAAAGAGGAACAGCCAAAGGAACTGGGGGTATTTAGTTTGGAGAAGAAACAGCTGAACAGGCTATGACTGTGAAGTGCCAAGCAAAGTAAGCATCAGATTTATTCTCCACAGCTGTGAGGAGTATAAGAAACCCCTTCCACCTCTCCCCAACCCCAAATAAACAAAGTAGGAAATCGGAGACAAACTCCAGTTTAATATAAGAACTTAAGAGTTTTCCAGTGATGGAGGTGACTGCCTCATAATAAGCTCTCTGTCACAGGAACACTGAAGTATGAATTGAATAATCTAGTAAAGATATTCATTCTGTTCAATTCCCCAGCCCTCTCGTAGACCCCGGACATAGCCATCCTGCCTCAAACAGGGGGCTGGGCTAGATCATCACCAAGGTTCTATTTCAGCCTGAGAACCATGAATCCACCTGAACTCTTCAACTGCTACACACCTCTTTACAGCACATCATATTAATAGCATGCCATTTCCTCCTTCCACCCAGGTCAACACAACTAGGGGGTTCTCTATCTTTCCTATCGGTGGCTTTACAGAGAAAATTCACTTCTCAGATTAGCAGGGCCCCAGGCTCCATGGTCTGTGGCTACACTTGACCCTACGATCCTCAGCTGTGTCTTGCGGAAAGGCGATGTGCTGCTCCGCCCATTGGAAGTTAGCACGCTCCTCTTCACCGGCAGCAGCTGCGGCCAGGGCTAGCGACCCACCCCGTGACCCAGAACCCGACCAAGATCCAGAAGAAAGCGACACATCAGTCCTGAGCCTCGAATCCCGGTTCTGGGGGTGACGTGCTGCTCTTACCTTCTACCGAGGGGGAGAAGATGATGAGATTGTCATACAGGAACTCCCCGTACTTAATAAGCGATAGGCTGGGCTCATCTGCGGTCTTGAATGTGAGTTCAAAGCCCCGATCTAGATAAGAATAAAACAGGGACCTGAGGCAGGCAGGACGCAAAGGGAAACCACCAACGCAGAGATCGCGACCGCCCTCGCCTCACCAAGCGGCAGGCCAGACCTGGACGGCCCGCTCGTGGAAAATGAGTGGGAGGGAGGGTAGCCGTTGCTCTCGGGCTCGGGGACCTTTCCAAACCCAGACTCTCACCCGCCGCCCCCTCGGACCCCTGTCTCACCCTTAAGACTCCGGAAGAAAAGCGAATGCGTCTCCCGCAGGTTGAGGTTGTCCAGCAGCACTAAGGTGCGGGGGCCGCTGGCGCAGACCTGGCCGAGCGAGGACAGCTGCAGCAGCCACAACAGGGTCCAAACACGGGCCGCGACACGATGCTCCATCTTTCTACTCCTGCCCAAGAACCCAAGCACCTGCACACCGGAAGTACCGTCTACGGTTAGCCAATCGCGGCTCGGGGTCGTGGAGTTCCACCCGGAAGCGATCTGAGAACGCCGCGGCCGGGCGGCCGGGCGCCGGGCGCCGACTGTGGGAGGTTAGGAGCCAGGAGCACCACCATCGGAAGTGCCTCGGGTGCAGGCGGAGCCTCGGAACCCTATTGGCGGGAGGGGCGCGCGGCTCCGCCTCCCCAAAGAAAACGGTTCAATCCTAGAGAGACAGCTCTGCAGCCGCGACCAATCAGCAGGACTCTTCATCAGAGCGGTCCCGGTGGGCTCGGTCTGCACGGTCGCCGGCCCGAGCGGAGCTGGAGTGGCGGTGGGGGCCGCTCCGCACCACCTCGTGGGACCTCACCGGTCCTGGACCGACTCGGGAGTGGGAACCGGGCCCAATTCCACCCTCTCCAGAGAGGAAGGAGCCGCAGGGCCCCTGGCCCGCGTGGAAGGGCGGTGGGCTGGCCTCCCCAGGAAAAGGCTTAGCTGGGTTCTTTCCAAGCCCCGTCCTTCACTAGCCCTTTTACCCTGGGATTTCACGTCTCTGCAGGCCTAGGCTGGAAGTAAAATAGCCAGCAGCATCTCCTACTCACCGTGTGCCTTTGGAACAGCCCGGCTCCTGGGAGGACGAGCAGGTGTTAGGCGCCAGGGCAGGGCTGGGCCGAGCAGCCACTGGGTGATGGTAGCTCCCACCTCTTCCAAATTGACCCAGGGGGAGGGCTCATCCCAGACCTGCCTCAGCCCCGTCACGTCTAAGCTAAAGCGACCACAAGCAGCGGCAAGACTTCAGTCCACCTCTAACTGACCCGGTGCCAGACCGTTGCTTAGGGACCCCGAGAGGCTCTTCCCTCTCAGGTCTCCACTTAAACTCATCTCGGCAGCCTCACCCTCCTCTTAGTCCCCGCTCCCGGCTTGCCTGCAACAGGTCTCCAACATTTAACATGCCCTCAGCTTCCCCACCTCCTGCCTTTTGCTCACACAGCTTCCTCCACCTGGAGCACCTCCCCACAGTCCCATCTTTTTTTTTTTTTTTTTTATCCTCACCCGAGGACGTTTTTCCATTTTTTGTTCAGATAGAGTGGGAGGGAGAGAGAAACATCGACATGAAAGGGACACATCGAGTGGCTGCCTCTCACACCACCCAAACAGGGCCGGGGACAAACTGCAACCGAGGCACATACCCTTAGGGGGAACCGAACCCGGGTCTCTCCGCACCGCAGGCCAACGCTCTAACCGCTGGGCCAAACCGGCCAGGGCCCATATTCCCATCTTAAACCTCCCCAGATATTCTCCATCCAGTACCACTACCACCCAATGCTCCTCCCTTCACCAAGAGTATTGTGTTCCCATGAAGACCTGATCTTGCTTCCTCTTACTCAAAGTACATACTGCAGCCTGCCTCAGACTAGACTAAACTCCATAGTTACCTAAGCACCCTCCACCCCACCCCAGCTTCTCCAGGGTGTGAGCTGCTTGGTCCAGTCATTAATTACTACAGTAATGAATCTAAAATACAGAGGAGGGGGGGAGATGGACTGACACGGAGCACCTGCCATGCACCGGCACCTTAGATATTACCTCATTTTACCTTCACTTTAACTCTAGGACGTGGGTGTTCTCCCCCTGTCACAGATGAGGCTCAGGCCACCACCAAAGGCCAAACCTCTTCCCTCTCATTGTGAGCCCCTCCCACGGGGGGCGGGCCTGGGCTACAATGGGCAAGGGGAGGGGTGTGTCTTACGTTGCTGGGGTGGCTTGGACTTGGTTCTGGCCATGTCAGGACACCCAGTTCCAGCACAGCCCTTGAGGGCTGACAGAACCTGGGGCTTCTCTGGGTCTCAGCATGACACAGCTTCTGTTTTCCAAAACAAGGACTCTGCTTTCCTGGGTCCCAGAGCCTTTGAGAAACTAATGACAGTTCCGATGCTTTCCCCAGAAAAAAGCACTTGTACCCACTTTGGAGCCTGTTTGTCCTAAGGGCTTCAGCTATTTAAGAACCTTACTTCAGCGGCTGGAGCATCAGCCTGCAGTCCAGAGAGACCTGGGTTCGGTTCCCGCTAAGGGCACGTACCTCAGTTGCAGTTTGTCCCCGGCCCTGGTTGGGTTGTGTGGCTGGCAACCACTCGATGTTTCTCTCTCTCTCTCCCTCCCACTCTATCTGAACAAAAAATGGAAAAATGTCCTCAGGTAAGGATTAAAAAAAAAGGAACCTTATTTCAGAGAGATCTTCCCCATGGAGACCAGGCAGGGAGGGGCCCTGGTGCCGCTGTCAGAGAATCAGGGAAGGGGAGCTTGTAGGTAAAAGACAGTTTATTGGGGCAGCTCAGTGTGGAGTGGCCTCCTTGGGCCACAGAGCAGCCGGGAGTGGACAGGCCTCGAGCACCGGTCCTGCGGGGCTTCCCCCAGGAAGTGGGGCCAACTGCACAGAGGCACGATTTTCAGTCACCAGCACGTTGAACTCGATCCACGGGGAAGCTGCTGCCTGCTGCCGGGGCTGCTGGTGAAGGCCTCGAGGCCACGCTGAGGCTCCTGAGCCCATCGGGGCACTGAACAGTGGTGGGCCCAGGTGGCAGGCTCTGTGACAGGTGACCAGATGGCAATACTGGCGTGGCATTGGGAGCTGGAGTGGGCCTTTCCAAGGATGGTCCAGCTTCTGAGGGGCCCCCGCCCCGGGCAGAAGTGGGCTCTCTGGGGAACAGGGAAGGGGATTTGTCTTCCGAGGGTGAGGGACCTCTCGGGCCCCCTCAAGCTCCCCTGCACTGTGGGGGCAGGAGGGAGATGACCCAGCTGGGGCTGCCCTGGGAGGGCCTGGCAATCTTACAGAAGCCCAAGCAGGGCAGCAGGCAGCTGTGTTCACAGAGGCTCACTGCCAAAGTTGCTTTTGCTTTTCTTACGCTTGGCCTTGGTAAAGGGGATGTCAAGGGACTCGAGGCGGAAGGGCCGGGGCTGGGGCATTTCCAGGGCCTGGGTGGGTGGGATGGCAGAGCTGTTGCTGAGTGGGGAGCTGAGTCCTGGTGGTGAGCTGTGACGTGCTGTGGAGAAGAGGCACAGAGGGTGCTGGTGAGCCGGGGTGCAGGGATGAAGAGAAAACACTGTGTGGGTGGAGAGCCTGGCCCAGCCCCCACCCAGCCAGAGGCCCTGGTCCCACAGCCAGGACCCCAAGGACCCCAAGCTCTAAGACGCTGCTCTGGTGGAGGCCTCAGACCCAGCACTATGTCTGCATCCAGAGGGTCTGGGCTGGGACGCAGCCTGGGATCCCAAGCCAGACAAGCCTGGGTTCAAAGCCCAGCTCCACCACTCCTACAAGTACGGCCTCACTTGGAGCTAAAAGCACTCTGACCAGTACAACCCTTTAGTGGTCCCAGGTTAAGAATGGTTTTTTCAGAACAATTTTCCCTTTTTTACAAAGTTAAGCTATCAAAAGCAGCCAGTCACCAGTGTGGCTCTCTGGTTGAGCGTCGACCCATGCACCAAATGGTCACCAGTTCGATTCCCAGTCAGGGCACATGCCCAGGCTGTGAGCCTGATCCCCAGTGGGGGGATCAGGCCAATCGATGTTCTCTCTCATCGATGTTTCCCTCTCCCTCTCCCTCTCCCTTCCTCTTTCTCTAAAATCAATAAAGAAAAAAATTCTTTTAAGCAGCCGATCAGAGCTTGCAGACACCCTGAGCTCAGCCAGAAATGCCTCAGTTTTCCCATCTGCAGGATGGGCACAGTGCCAGTTCTCAACTGATGTTAGTTTATTTCCTGTCCAACTTTTCCCTCCTTATTTCTCAACTCCACCCACTCTGTCTCTTAAATAACCTCAATATAGAACTGAGATGTGCTTTTTATTGATTTTAAAGGGGCATACTTTTTAAAATATGTTTTTATTGATTTATAGAGAGAGAGGAAGTGTGAGGGAGAGACAGAGAAACATGGACGTGAGAAAATTGACTGGTTGCCTCCCACATACCCCCCAACCAGAGAATAACTGGGGATCGAACCCACAACATGGGCATGTGCCCTGACCAGGAACCAAACAGGTGACCTTTCAGTGCCTGGGATGACACTCAACCAAATAAGCCACACTGGCCCGGGCTTCACTGGTATTATTGAAAGGTCTGTGACCTTTTAGTTTTAAAAAGAAGAATGAAATTATTTTCAATTCTTGCTTTTGAAAGTGTTTTGCCTTTCTGGTCTTGTCTGCCCCGCTTGGCTCAGGGCAAAGCCACAACACTGGCCTCTGAGGAAGCTGGCGAGTGACTGACCCAGAGCCGTGGGACCCCACAGGGGCCCCGAGCGGTACTGGGGTGTGTGACCCCACCCGGGGCCCCGAGCGGTACTGGGGCGTGCGACCCCACGGGGGCCCCGAGCGGTACTGGGGCGTACTGCGTGTCCAGGGAGGCAGAGGAGTCAAACCGCGTCTCCCCAGGGGCTGGAGAGAGAGGAAAGGGGAGACTGTGTACTGAGCACCCCTGGGCAGGGCCGGTTCCCCGTTTCATTTCACCTAACTCTAAGAAGTAGGTGTATCCCCCTCACTTAACAGCTGAGGAAACAGGCTCTCCATGGGAGAGGAAAAGGGGCTTTTAGCCCAGGCCCGTCTGACTCCAAATCCACCCCGCCGTGCCCCTCCCAGTTGGCAAAGAGCCTGCAGGGCTCCTGGGAGGGTCTGGAGGACGAGAGGTGGGCGGGGCACTCACTGAGGCTCTTCATGGGATCCGTGCTGAGGATCTGGTTGGCCCGCTTCGGCCGGAAGTAGTTACTGGCAATATTTTCACTGTCGCTTCGACTGAGCATCAGCTTGTAGCGGTCTTCTTCCTGCTGAGATGCCAAATCCTCCTGGGTAAGACCCCTTATTTGTGCAGTTCTTATGGGGCCCTCAGCCAGGGCTCAGCAGCCTCCACAACCTGGTGGCGTGGGGCTTCCCTGAGCTCACTGCCTGCCCTGGCATACCCTGCTACAGCCCGGCCTCCTGCGTGGGATCCAGGCAGCCCAGGGCAGGGCAGTCTGTCTCCAGCCAAGCCCACACACCCCTCCCCCTTCCTTGGGAATGGGAAGTGCCTCCCTCAAAAGAGGGCATCCTGCCAGCTCCATCAGGGGCAAAGACAATACTACACACCCAAACCCATTATGGCACAGTCACGGAACAGGTGATACAGTAATTAGCTCATGGGCACATTTATGATCATTAGGCCCGGAGCCCCAATCTTTTTATCACCAAGAGCTATTATTTTTCACCACTGTCATGGACTTGTTTTCTTCACCCTGAATCTCTTCCTCCCGGAAAGAGACTGACGTCATCCTGGTGGGGTGTTCATTCATGGTGCCCTAATACCACCACTCCTGCCCACCTACCCTCTTGCTCCACAGCTGGACATGTGACCCAGACTGGACCAACCACAGAACTCCATCCTCTGGACACAGTCATTGGTCCAAGAGTAGGTCCATGACCAGGCGGAATAGATCAGACTCTCTCCACAAGCATTGGTTTGGGGATGCTCTAAGCCACTGGTCTTCCTTCCTGTTGGCTCACTAACGGCCAGCAGCCATCTTTCCCGCCACGCGGAGAAAGCCTGCCTGAGCCCAAAGCTAGGACAGGAAGGGAAGCAGAACCCTGAGTGTGTGAGCCCCTAGATCCAGCCATGCCTGAAACATGCACTTAACCTGCACCAGTAAGTTCCCCATTTCGCTTATGATTGCTTGCTTTGGGTGGCCATCACCGGGAAGTAAAAGCATTCTGACTACAATAACCCCTTAGTGGCCCCAGGCTAAGAATGGTGTTTGTTTTGATTTTTTTTTTCCTCACCCGAGGATATTTTTCCATTTTTTGTACAGATAGAGTGGGAGGGAGAGAGAGGAAGGGAGAGAGAGAGAGAAACATCGATGCGAAGGGACACATCGAGTGGCTGCCACCCACACGACCAACCAGGGCCGGGGACAAACTGCAACCGAGGTACGTGCCCTTAGCGGGAACCGAACCCCGGTCTCTCAGGACCGCAGGCCGACGCTCTAACCACTGAGCCAAACTGGCCAGGGCCTAAGAATGGTGTTTTCAAGAACTTTCCCTTTCTTGCAAAGTTAAGGTATCAGAAGCAGCCCATCAGAGCCTTAGACCAGCCTGAGACGTTCCTTGCAGCCACCGATCTCTGGCTGGAATTCATTACAAGTGGCCTTATCATGACTGCAAAGGTGTGTTCTATGTGAGTTTTCTGAAATATTGGCAATGGTTTAAGGCAGGGATCAGCAAGTACAGTCCACGGGCCACATCTGGCCCACAGACTATTTTTGTAACGTTTGATGGGAACACTGCCATGGCAGAGCTGAGCAGTTGTGACAGAGACCACAGGCCTGAAGTATTTACTGTCTGGTCCTTCACAGGAAAGGCTGTGACCTCTGCTTGAAGGACACATATTCCTGTTGTAATACAAAATGTGGGAGGTGTGAAAATAAAGTCACTTTAGAATCCCAGTTACTGTTTATGGAATCTCTGAGGATCCTTTTGGTCCCGGGATACCCGTGGGGCCCAGGGAGCCAGACTGTACTGCTGGCCTCGGGGGTTCAAGCTGACGCTTCTGTCCTTTGCCGGCAGGACAGGCTGACTTGAACCATCTATTTCTGGTCTTTATGACCCTACGTGACTTCAAATGAGGGCCAGAGGGGTTGAGGGTGTAGGTGCCAACAGCGTTACACAGAAAGGACCCAGGCCCAGCCCTCTGCTTGAATCCTCAGGGCGGATGAAAGTAGCAGTCGGGTTCCCTCGGGCAAAGCAGACCCAGTGCACCGTGTGGCCAAGCCCCGCCAGCCCCCACCTCCGGAGGCCCTACCATGCCTGGTTCGCCGTTGTCTGCTCCGGAGGTTTTGCGGACTGGTTTGTTCTGTGGCCCTGTTGAAACTGCTATGAGAAAACAAAAGGTGAAGTCTCTGCTGCCTGGTATGGGGGCCCAAGGGGCAGGCTGGGCTGCAGCCCTCTCCGGGTGGGGGTCAGGCCTGGTGCAGGCTTGGAGCCGAGAGAGGACACGTCCCAGCCCACAGCGCACGCAAAGGGATGGCTTTGGGAAACACAACAGGAGGGCCCAGATGCCAAAGAAGCCATTCCCCTGCCTCCCGGCAAAGTAGCAGGTTGGTGGGGGCAGGGAGGATGGTGGCTGCTGCCTGGAGTTTCAGCAGCAAAGTGTCAGTGGCCATAAACACAGAGATGTGGGACCTGGATAAATACTTGGACCAGGGAGAACTGGTGGGGGCCTGTGGGGTGTAACAGCCTACTGCTCTCTGAATGGGCAGAGCCAGCCAAGTAGCTGCAGAAAGAGCCTTTTGTAAGTCTGGCCATACTCTGAGGCTCCCTGGAGGTAGAGGGGCCTTCAAGATTATCGTATCCAGCCCTTTCTAAGCACCAAAACCCAGAGAGGGACAGTGACCATCATAAGGTCACACAGGAGGTCAATGCAAAAGCAGAAGTTGAACCAGGCCTGCAACTGAACAGCTCGTTTCCACACCTGGCCCTGCACCTCACTGCTGTGATTGTGACCAAGGCACTTATACTCTCTGAGATGCCACCTCCTCATACGTAAAATAGGTATAATGCTCCTTGTCCGTCACAGGGTGGTTGGAGGAGAAATAACAGTGATGATCATAATAATGATCAAATGCACCATGCAAGGCGTGCCAGGCATGGCTCTAAGGGGTTTACGTGTATTAACGTATCTTAAGCATTCTTTAAGGAAGGTGCCGTTATTAATCCCCATTTCACAGATGAGGACACTGAGTCCCAAAGAGGTCACACAGGGATTGGTGGAGCCACATCTGTCTGACTCAGAACACACCATTCTCTCAGGTCCCCATGTTTTGGACTCTCAGGGTCATGTGTCTGATTCACCCACAGCCAGCAGGGGGAGGCCCCCGGCTCCCTGTGAGTCTGCAGGGTGGCAAAGTGTGGAGGAGGGGAGGGAGGGCCGAGGGGGCAGCCAGGCTCTGACCTACTGGGAGGCTGGTTTTTATGATGACCGGCTCGGGGATCTTCCAGAAGCCATTGTCCTCGTCCCAGGAGGACTCTCGCCTAATCCTCTCCAGGTTGCTGTAGTTACAGTCCCGGCGAATCAGGGGCTGCACCTGCTCCAGGAGCTGCTGAAACAGCATGAAGTCACGTTCCTGCCGGCGGATGGTGGCCAAATAATCGATTTTCTCGAGCTCAAATTCTGATTGCAGATCTCTGATCTCCACCTCCGCCGCCCGAAGCTGAAAACAAAGCGTGACAAGCCATGAGCAGGAAAGACACCAAAACATTTCACCATCCATCCAACCTCCTATCCACTAACTGCCTGTCCAGCCAGCCACTCACCATCTGTTCGTGGATGCTCATCCATCCATTCTTATCTCCACCATCTGTCCACCATCCTTCCATCCCATCCATCCACTCACCCACCGGCCTCTCCACCCAGCACCTAAATGAGCACCTACTATGTCCATGGCCCTGCAGAGAGCAGGAAAAGAAGTTCATCAACCCCACTGCCAACCCTTGGTCACTATCCCACACTCATACATTTTATTCAGAAGCCTTTTAGCAGGCTCCACACAACACTATAGTCACCTCGGCCCTCAAAGATCTCAAAGAATTGTACAAATTCTCATTTATTTATTTATTTCAGATAGAGCGGGAGGGACAGAGGGAGGAAGAGAGAGAGAGAAACATTGATGTGAGAGAGACACATCGAGTGGTTGCCACCCACACGACCCCACCTGAGGTGGGGACAAACTGCAACTGAGGTACATACCCTTAGCGGGAACCAAACCTGGGTCTCTCTGGTCCGCAGGCCAACACTCTAACTGCTGAGCCACACCAGCCAGGGCAACAAATTTTTTTTTTATCCTCACCCGGGGACATTTTTTCCATTTTTTGTTTAGATAGAGTGGGAGGGAGAGAGAAACATTGACGTGAAAGGGACACATCGAGTGGCTGCCACCCGCACGACCAACCAGGGCCGGGGAAACTGCAACCGAGGTACGTGCCCTTAGCGGGAACCGAACCCGGGTCTCTCGGGACCGCAGGTCGACGCTCTAACCGCTGAGCCAAACCAGCCAGGGCTCTAAGGGGAGCAACAGGCATAGACTCTCAGACTCAGCCACCCCTGCTTTCCCACTGCCAGTCCTGTTGTGATGTGACGAGCACTGGACCAGAGTCAGAGCCACCTTGATTTGATCGTGGATTCGAGAGTGTTTGATCTCCTGCCCAGGTCTGCCAGACGGGCCCTCCATTTGCTGATCCTAAGCACAGGCGACTCCTAACTCCAACCACAACCATGCTCCCCTGAGTCTCGAGACTCGTTGGTTCACAGGCTATTTCCTCAAAGAGCAGGTAAAGAAGGTTTTTAATTCATAGGAATGAAAATCACATGTAATCAGTTGAGAACAGAGGCCACCTGGTAGGACACGAAGTTGTCAGGGAAGGGCAGGTACGCAAGGGTTTCCACTAAATGAAAATGCTCCATGTCCCAAGCTGGGTAGCAGATACATGGGGTTCATAGTCATAATCTTTATATACATTTGTACATCTGGAATCATTTGCAAGGATTTTTACAACAGCTTTGAGATATAGTTCACATGTCTTACATTCACCCATGTAAAGTGTGCAATTCAGCCCTTGCTGGTTGCTCAGTGGTTAGAGCATTGGCCCACGGACCAGAGAGACCTGGGCTCGGTTCCCGCTAAGGGCACGTACCTCGGTTGCAGTTTGTCCCCGGCCCTGGTTGGGGTCATGGGGGTGGTAGCCAGTCGATGTGTTTCTCTCACATCACTGTTTCTCTCTCCCTCTCTCCCTCCCACTCTATCTGAAGATAAATGCAAAAATGTTCTCGGGTGAGGATAAAAGATAAATAAATAAAGTGTACAATTCAGTGGTTTTTGGTACATTCCAACTTGTGCAACCAAGATCCCAATGGATTTTAGAACATTTCATCACCCAAAGAGAGACCCCATACTCATTAGTCAATCCCCATTTCTCCCCAAACCCCAGCCCTAGCAACCACCAACCTACTCTCTGTCTATAGATTGGTTTGTTCTGGACATTTCGTATAAATGGAGTCACACACTATGTGGTCTTTTGTGTCTGGCTTCTCTCACGTAACATAGTGTTTTCAAGGTTCGTTGTGTTGTATCATGTATCAGTACTTCAATCTTTCCTACTGCCGAATAATGTCCCATCGGGGGAACAGGCCACATTGCTTTCACTTTGGGCTACAATGAGTAATTGCCGCTCTGCCAAGGCCTTGAGTTCAGCCTTGTGGGCTTCTAAGCAGAGGAACCATCCATACTGCGCCCGAACTTGGACCTACAGAACCGTAAAATAATAAATCCATGTTGGATTAGGCAACTAAATGTGTGGTGATTTGTTACAGCAGCAACAGGAAACTAATACTGCAAGACTGGATCACTGTGTTCACAGAGAAGGGTGCCGCTGACTGAAGAAACCTGGTAGCCAGCCAGACCTTCACCTCCACATTCAGTAACCACTGGACGTGCAGAAAACCAAGACATTATAAATAAGCAAGAGAACAGATGTATCTCACCAAAGCTACAAGAAACAGAAAATGAAAATCAATGCATTTCAGAAGAAAATCCCCCCAAAGCACAAACCCAAAGAACCAAACATTAAAAAGGTAACCCAACACCACAGTGTGAATAAAATTTCCTTCAACAGCTAGTCACAGACATGACTTGAGATCAGACACCCCAAACCTGAAATGGACAGGAATGAAGACGGCGTGAAATGGGACATTCTCCAAACTCAGGAAGGTTTTTTAAAAAAACTTAGAGTGTAAACCAAATTAGGAGCCATCTGTGGAAGAATGAATTTGGCTGAAAAACATAAGAGGTACTAAGAAAGGGCATGAAAAAAGCCAAGAAAGTATAAAACTAAAGAGGTTTAGCCCTGGCCGGTTTTCCCAGTGGTTAGAGCGTCGGCCTGCCGTGCTGAGAGACCCGGGTTCGGTTCCTGCTAAGGGCACGTACCTCGGTTGCAGTCTGTCCCCGGCCCTGGTTAGGTCGTGTGGGTGGCGACCACTCGATGTGTCCCTTTCACGTCGATGTTTCTCTCTCTCTCTCTCCCTCCCACTCTGAACAAAAAATGGAAAAATGTCCTAGGGTGAGGATTAAAAAGACGACGACAAGGTAGATAAAAAACAACCAATTAGAGCAGCAAATGGGGAAAAAAAAACCCTAAAGAGGTTTAAAAGAGGAGAAAAACATCACCTTTCTGCTTTGGCAAGATCTTTTGGTTGCCAGTGTTACGTGGGGAAAGGGGGCCAGGAGGAGGAACCCTGCGGGTGGGTAGGGGGACATTGTGAGCCTCCAGGGAAGGTATCTGTCATGGAGGCGAAACCTCACCCTCCCTGCTCCTGCCTCACTCCCTACTCTCAGCCACAGCTGCCTCCTTGCTCCTGGAACCGCTGGCCTCCTTCCCAGCCCCCGCCCCTCTCTGGGCCCAGACGCGCGTCCTCCAGGTCAGCACATGGCCCACTTGCCATTTGTCTTTCAGGTCCCATCTTAGAAGCCGCCACCTCCCTAACAACGTCCCTGTTCCCACACCTAAGGTGGCCCCGGGAACATCTGGGGTTCTGTTAATGCTCTGTTAACCTTATGGGAGCCAGTTTCATGGTGCACTCACTTTGTGGAAATGAACTGAGTGGTACATTTGTCCTTCAGTAGAAGTAGAGAAATAAAGCAGCGTCCCCTCCCCGGCACCTCCATGGTGCTCCGCCCCATGCTCCGCTGCGTGCTCTCTGTCGTGTTACTGGTACGCACACCGGGAAAGCAAGCTCCGGGACAGCAGACGCACAGCTGTCCCTGTGACTGCTTCAACACCCGGGCCGGCACACAGTGGGCACGTAACAGATGCTTGTGTGAAGAATGAATGAGTGTCCGCTAGTGCAGTGGGGGGGCCTCACCTTCCTCTGCACCTTCTCCAGCAGCTTGCTCTTGGCCCTCACTTCCTCCTGGATGGAGTCGTAGACATTGAGCAGCACCCAGTCCCCGCTGTCCTCGTCCGAGTTCTGCAGGGCCGCCACCAGCTGCTTTCTGCGCTCGTCTGCGTAGCATTTCCGCCGCTTGTGCTTCTCCTTCAGGTCCTTGTTCTTGGCCTGCTCCCCGCCAACCACCTGCTGCTCCAGCAGCTGCAAACTGCCCGTGTGGGCGAGAAAGCACGCATGACGCTGTCTGCCTGTCCACCTGTCCTGAGCACTCGCTGCCCGGCATGACCCCATTGAATCTTTCCAACAACCTCACTGTACAGAGGTGTAAACAGGCTCAGAGAGCTGAGGCCGCTGCTTCAGACAGAACCGAGGTTTCTGTGCCCAACAGGAAGGACGAGAATCTTCCTGTGCCCAGCGCTGCCCCAGCCACCGCCGCCTCCCAGTGCTGATGGTCAGCAGCAGAGCCGGCTGCTGCATGACTGGGATGCAGCGTGGCTGTGGAAACGTGCCGCGCGCTCAGTGTGCTCGAGGGTGTGTGCCGAGTGAAATACGTCAGACAGAGAAAGACAAATACGTCTGCTCTCACATGTGTAATCTCAAAAGCAAAGAAACCCGTCAACCAAGCTCACAGACAGTGAACAGATCAGGGGCTGCCAGAGGTGGGGTGTGTGGAGTTGGCCAGATGGGGGAAGGTGGTCAAAAAGGTACCAACCTTCAATTATATATATATATATTTTTTTTTATCCTCATCCGAGGACATTTTTCCATTTTTTGTACAGACAGAGTGGGAGGGAGAGAGACGAAGAGAGAGAGAGGGAAACATCGATGTGAAAGGGACACATCGAGTGGCTGCCACCCGCACGACCAACCAGGGCCGGGGACAAACCGCAACCGAGGTACATGCCCTTAGCGGGAACCGAACCCGGGCCTCTCCGGACCACAGGTGGACGCTCTAACCGCTGAGCCAAACCGGCCAGGGCCCAACCTTCAATTATAGAATAAGTCCCAGGCATGTCATGTACAGCATAGAGGCTATAGTGAAAAATACTGTAGAGTAGCCCTGGCTGGTCTGGCTCAGCGGTTAGAGCCTCGGCCCGTGGACCAGAGAATCCCGGGTTCAGTTCCCACTAAGGGCACGTACCTCGGTTGCAGTTTGTCCCTGGCCCTGGTTGGGGTCGTGTGGGTGGCAACCACTTGATGTGTCTCTCACATTGATGTTTCTCTCTCTCTCCCTCCCTCTCTTCCATCCACTCTATCTGAAGAAAAAATGCAAAAATGTCCTCAGATGAGTATAAATATATATATGTACACACACACACACACACTGTATGGCAGCTCGGCCAGTGCATGGCTCAGTGGTTGAGCGTCGACCCATGCACCAAGAGGTCTCTGGTTTGATTCCCAGTCAGGGCACATGCCCAGGTTGTGGGCCTGATCCCCAGTGGGGGGCATGCAGGAGGCAGCCAATCAATGTTCTCTCTCATCGATGTTTCTATCTCTCTCTCCCTCTCCCTTCCTCTCTCTCTCAAATCAATAAAAACAAAGATTTTTAAAATAATGTATGGCATATTGGAAAGTTGTTAAGAAAATTAATCTTAAAAGTCCCCATCACAAGTAAAACATTTTTTGTAACTATGTACAATGATCGATGTTGACTAGACTTACAGTGGTGATCATTTTGCAGTGTACACAAGTGTGGAATCGCTATGTAGCACACCTGAAACTAATATTGTATGGCCAATACACCTCAATTTTTAAAATGCAAAAAAATCCAGTTTTTAATGTTTAATCAGGCAGGGACACGTATAATACATTTAAAAAATATTTATATCCAAAATGTTAAAAAATGTTTAGCTTTCTGCCCTTTAAAGGTACAGGTTTTAAATAACCACAAAGAGCCCTGGCCGGTTTGGCTCAGCGGTTAGATCATCGGCCTGTGGTCCGGAGAGACCCGGGTTCGGTTCCCGCTAAGGGCATGTACCTCGGTTGCAGTTTGTCCCCAGCCCTGGTTGGGTCGTGTGGGTGGCAGCCACTCGATGTATCCCTTTCACATTGATGTTTCTCTCTCTCTCTTTTCCTCCCACTCTATTTCAACAAAATGTTGAATAATGTCCTCTGGTGAGGATTAAAAAAATAATAATAATAAAATAAATAAGTAACCACAAAGAAGGGCTTATCTGTAACTCCTTACTGTCTACTAAAGCGCCACCCGAGTGTTTTAGATGCTGCCTCGTTCCAAGGGACACGGGCTTATAAGCTGGACAGGGACTCCCAGCAGGGCTCAGCCGAGCTCAAGGGAAAGACAGGACTGCAAACCGGGCAGCTGGGCACGGACTCGACCTCAGGCTCGGTGCGAAGCTGGATGGCAGGGCAGAGGGGAGCCATGTCCCAGCCACTGCTCTGTTTCAAGTCAGTCCTCATGGGGTCCCCCCCAGGATGAAGCCCAAGCCCCCAGGGGCACACAGGGCCTCTGTCTCACCTCCCTCTGCCCCTACCACTCCTAACTCACTCTGGCTTTAACAAGCTGCTGTCTCCTCCCTGTGTACCTTGGGCCACCTTGACGGTGCCCAAGGCACCGGTCTTGCAAACCTTATTCAGGTGTCCCCTCTCCTGTGCAGCCGTCACTGCCCACATGCCAGACCTCCTCGTGACAACTGCCACAACACATGCCCGACCCCGGGCTGCCCCTCTGCAGGAACCGTCTCATGGGACCCTCACAGCAGTTTCTCAAGCTGGAAGCCGTATGTCACCCACTTTGAAGATGAGAAGCTGAGGTACAGAGAGGTTTGAGTGGCCCCAGTGGAAGAACTGGGTAGTGGTGGAGGCCGACAGAACCCAGGCCGCCCACGGCACGGCCCACTCACTGAGCTGCTGCAGAACCCAGCCCTCCTGCACCTGCCTCCACTGGACCATGAGCCCTTTGGAGGACAAGGTGGCATCCCTTCCATCCTCACATCCCTGTGCCCAGCACACAGTAGCTGCTCAGTTAACGTGGACTGCGGGGCTGGGAGGAAGCTGACTCCGGCCATGGGGCTGATTTAGTCATAGTGGTGGGCCTGACATTCCTCTCCTTTACCGCAGGGCAAACCAGGGCTCAGAAATGTTAAGTGACTTACACAAAGCTGCACAGCCCGCGAGGAAAGCCCATATCCCCAGGTGGCCCCAGAGGGCGTTTGGGGGTGGCTTGGCCCCAGGGGGAGCACGTTTTCCATCAGGGAGGGCACTGGGACCTGAGGGAAGCCGGTGTCCCTGCCCTGGGATTCTGGGAACCTAAAGGCCAGGCCCGGAAAGCCAGGTGGGCAAAGTGCACCTTTCCCAGAGCAGGCACCTGAGTAGACCTGGGGCACCTGCAGCGCAGAGCCCCGCGCACCTGGCCACAGCCCCTGGAGAGAGGATCAGGCCCCCCAGCCACATCCGGAGGGAGAGCCCGGCGGGGCCCAGTGGAGGCGGGAAGAATCTGTGGGCACTCCTACACCGGGCACAGCTCCGAGGGGCCCCGCCAGCCCCAAGCCGCGCGCTCACCGGGCAAGCACCTGCTGCTGGTCCACGATGGACATCGGGTCGTCGGTCCGCACTGCTGCCTCCACGGCCACACTGTCCCTTCTAGAACTTGCCATGGCCATCAAGGTCTGGGCCACGGCCTCGGTCTCCACGCCAGGCTCCGCCACCAACACCACGTCTTTGTCCACCTCGAGGCCCAGGTCAGTCTCCTGAGCACCGAGAGAAACCTCAGTGGAGGCGGGAAGGCAGCCCCTGCACAGAAGCTCCCGGCGGCCTCCATCCCACACAGCACATCACGGCCCTCGCATCTGGGTGGGTCGCATCTGGCTCGGAGACATGCAGCAATCGAGTTCCTCGTCCCAGTTTCCACCAGCACCTGCCAGTGGTACCCGGGCAGCCAGGGCAATGCCTCCAAGTACAGACCGACCACAGCCTTTCCTCATTAGAGCCCTCCATGGACGCCCACAGCCTGCGCAGGAACATCCTCCTTCTCGCACGGCCTGCCCCCCACCTGTCCACCTGCTGCCTCTCGGGCCTCACTTTCCGTTGCTGAGAAAGTCCAGACCTTTCCAGCCACAGGACTTTGGCACTCGCTCGTCCCCGGGCCCTTTTCCCTCCTTGGGTCCCATTTCAATGTCACCTGTGGCCAGGGCTTCCCTCTCTCACCTGCCGAACATGCCTTCTCCCAGCTCCTACCCAGTCATCGGGCCCAGAGGTCGGCAGGTAGTTTTCTCTCTCCAAAAAGGTGAGTAGATTTAAAGACTTCCTCTCGTTTCCTGTGGCCTGTTGCGCTTCCTTAAGCAGTAAAGGGTGGAGTCTCAGAGCAGCAGCGTTCAAAATGCCTCCCTTACCCTCGGTGGGGTCCCTGACAGCACCCCGGGGCCCCCACCCACCACGCAAACTCGGCGTCTACGCCTCAGACAAGGGCTCCAAGGCAGAGGGAAGTTTGAGGGTCACTGCAGAACAGTGGCCTCTGGTTAACATCGATAGAGGTATAACGGGCCTCCGATTTGTATACTGCTTTGCAATGGCCATCTCTGACCAGCTGGGGCGGGCTGGGGTGGCTGTCCCTGCTTTATGAGGAAACTGAGGCCCGGAGAGGGAGGAGACAAGGAGTGTCACAGGAAGTACCAGGCCCCTGGAAGCCCTCCCTCACACAGAGGGCCTGCCCAGGGAACTCACAGTCCTGGGCAGGAGGTCGCCCTCTGCCTCAGCTTCAGCCCTGAGGTCACTGGGCTCCAGGCCATCTGTCGGGGAGGGGTGCTTGCGGAGAGCGGGTGGGAGAGAAAGAGGGCCGGTTGGGCCAGAATCAGCCTCTGCTACTCTGCCCCTGGCCTCCCCTTCAGCTCCCCAAACCCACCACCTCCTTCTGCCTGTCACTGTGAAGAGAAGGGGCAGGAGGGAGGGTCACGAGAGGAAGGGAGAGGACAGGGAACAGAGGGAGCGGGAGAGCGGAGAGGCCGCATGTTCTGAGCACCTGCTGTGTCCCAGGAGCACCACCAGCATTGCCTCATGCGAAGCATGCGTCAGCCCATTGTACAGACGAGGAAACCGAGGCCCAGAAAGTGACCCCCCCAAGGTCACACAACTGAGTAGTTCAGCCGGGACCTGAACCCAGTTCTGATTCAAAGGCCTGTGCTCTGCATGCACGCGCGCGCGCACACACACACACACACACACACACACATACGTGCACACGTGCACGGAAAGGAAAGCAAAGGGAGGAAAAGAACAAAGGAAATCAAAAAGAAAAAAAAATGTCCAACAAAAAAAGAGGGTTGAAAAGTGAGCAGATGACGGGCAGGACGGAGGAGGAGCAGCGTGGCAGGGTCCCCGGGTGGTCCCCGGAAGGTAGCTGGATCCCCGCAGACCCCAGCCCGCTGCTCCAGGCCTGTGAGAACATGAGGGCCGACCAAGGCCTCCGCCAGCTCTCAGGCCTGGAGCTCGGCGTAACCATGGCAACTCAGCAAACTCCCCTGCAGGTGCCCTCCACCAGGAGAACAGGTGCCCACCTGGCATAGCCTTGTATCTCGGTCCTAACTTTCCCACTGATTCACAGAGCATGACACAGAGCTGGTCTTTCTCAGACCCCTGAACAGTAGCGCCCTGAGCCGGTCACCAAGCCAGAGCCACCACCGAGATGACGGAGTCGGAGCTGGAGCCACAGAGATGGGGCTGTCCATCTGTGTGCGCCCAATGACCCCCGTGCCCCCAGCTGAGCTCCGTCTGCTGACCTCCTGCCCGGCATCCTGCATGGCATCACCTACCTGCGTGAGGACCTGGGGTACGTCGGCCGGGGGCGCATCGGCCTGGGCCACAGTGGAGGAAAGGCTGGCCAGCTTGGCTTCCACCGCGGCAAACGGGTCGTGCAGGGCTGGTAGCAGCTCCAGGGGCATCAGCTGGGGCTCCTCTCCCTGGAGGAAGGGCTCCTCCTCCAGCAGGGCCCCCCGGCTGAACTCATCCAGGAAGTACTTGCTCTTGGCCTCCACCTCAGGCACAGTGGAGGGCTCCAGGCTGGCGGGCTCCCTGAGCCCAGGGAAGGCCTCGGACACGGACGTTTCTTTGCATGTGAATGACTCATCAGACCCCAAAGAAATCTCATGCTTGGAGGTCCGCACCTTGATCAGGTCCTCAGACCGGGCTGGAAGCCCAGGCTTGGACTCAGCCTCCCTGGGAGGGTCGGCTCTGGAGCAGACCTCGGGGCTCACAGCCATCTCATACTGAAAAGCAGGCGGGTACTCAGTCATGTTGGCAAACTCGGCCCTGGATGTGACTTCGGACTTGAAGAGGACTTCGGCCTTCAGCACAGCCTCTGCAGGTGGAGACCTTCCTTTAGCTCTTCAAAGGTTACAACGAGGGGGGCCTTCCCTGGAAGCTGGCCCCAACCCATTGTCTCTGAGAGACCACCGAAGAGTCAGTCTCCCAGAACCCGAGACAGTGGGTCCCATCCCTGCCCCGCTGCCCTCTCCCCCATCAGAACTCAAACCCTGTCTCCTTCCACCTCTTCCAGGAGGCCTTCCCTGACCAGCCCCAGGGCCTTTCCATTCTCTGACCTCCCCAGCTGTTTCAGGGGTGGGGAATGTCCGGCCCACTGGTCGTAGAAGGCCTGCAAAATCAATACCAGCTAACATCACACGCCTCACCAAATTAGCCTGAGCAAACACAGCAGGCTCATTTTTAAGTTAATAATTTTGTATGGCCTGAGAATGTTGTTATAAATATCCAAATGGCCCTATGCAGAAAAAAAGGTTTCCCACATGTGTAAGTACTGGGCTCTTACCACCCTGCCTTGGGATTGCTTCTCTCTTTTTTGTAAGATAGGTTTTTATTGATTTTGGAGAATAAGGAAGGGTGATGGAGAGAGAGAGAAACATCAATCAGCTGCCTCCTGCACGCCCCCTACTGGGGATCTAGCCCACAACCCGGACATGTGCCCCGACCAGGAAGGGACCAGCGACCTTTTGGAGCACGGGACAATGACGCTCCAACCAACTGAGCCACGTGAGCCAGGGCTGGACTGCTTCCAACAAGCAAGCCTGTGGGTCTTACTGCCTCCGAGGGCGAGAGCTGCTGACCAAGACCCCAAGGGGTCCCCGCTGGAGTGCCCAGCTCAAGGCTCTTGCCCACGGGATGAATATGCCAGGTCCACGGGAGTTAAGTGAACACTGCGGATGAATGTCAGAGAGACCGAACAAAATCGGAGACCTAGTGTTCCAACTGGACTAGAGGGGACGCTCTGAAGGACAGAAAACGCTGGAGCCTGCCTCTCCCCTCTGCCTCTGGGTCTCCACCGAGAGTGGCATCTTCCCTCCAGCCTGATCCCACAGGCCTCCTCGGTGCCCAGCTCCTGGGCATTAGCCCACCTCCTCCACATCCCATCCGCTTCCTCGTCGCGTGTGTCCTGGGCTCCCGAGACATTCGGAGGTTCCCCAGCTCAGTGGCCTGAACCTCGCCCAGCCTCAGTCTGGACACTTGAACCTGAGGATTCAGTGAGTCCCACCTCCTGAGGGAGTTCGGCAGTGCACCCACCCAGCACCTGGCACACAGCAATACCCAATAAATGGCACTGATGATGTGCCCAGAGTCATCGTCATCACAAGATGGACTTTACAATCTTTGGGTGAGCACTAGGAAGTCTGGGCTGCTTGGCACCAGGGGTGTTTGGATGATAGTGATGGAGTGGAAAATTCTAGAATGTCAAAAAGAAGACAAAAACTTCCAGGAAGGTTAAAATTCTTACTAATGATTGATGCTTATTATGGAATGTGGTTGCTCTGGTAACAGACGGACTCAAACGTGAGAGAAGACGGCAGAGAATGCAGTAACTCTGGAAGGAGACTCACCCACGAAACACAGGGGTACTTTACAGCTCTAAGCTGACCTCGGGCTGGGGCCCAGCCTGCGGCCAAGGCACCAGGATGCGGTGCTGTGGCTGAGAACACGGGCTCTGAGTCAGACTGCCTGGGTTTGAATCCTGGTTCCACTCTACCTGCTGTGTGACCAGCGGCAAGTCACTTACCCTCTCTGTACCTGTTATAAAATGAGAATCACTGTGGCACCTACCTCGCTGGGCTGCCGTGCTGAGTAACTAGCACTGATCCTGGTACTACAAAGTGTTCTATAAATGTCAGGCAGTCGAGTGAGGAGGAAAGCAGCCCGGCCTCCCCCGACAGCCGACAGCCCGGGGCAGCGCCCACCTGTCTCCTTGCGCAGGCTCTCCTCCAGCGTGGACAGCTTCACATCGTAGGAGTTGCGCATGGCAGTGATGTCCTCCTCCAGCCGGGCCCGGGACTCCTGCTCGGCCTCATAGTCGGCCCGCAGCCGGGCCAGGCGCTCCTCGTACTCCTGGGGGCGGGCACAGAGGGCACCAATTTATCACCATTTCAAAACACAGCTTCAGTATTCCTTTTTTTTTTTTTTTTTGTCATTTACGCAATCCAGAAAATATACATAAGCCAAAAGAACTGAATTAAAATTACCCACCCAACACTGGGATAATTAATGGCTGGTTAAGGCCATACTGAACTTGTCCCTATGCATTAAAATTTTTTTTTTCTTTATTGATTTTTAGAGAGAGAGGAAGGGAGAGGGAGAGAGATAGAAACATCGATGAGAGAGAACATCGACTGGCCGCCTCCTGCACGCCCCCCACTGGGTATCAGGCCCACAACCTGGGCATGTGCCCTGCCCGGGAATCCAACTGGCGACCTCTTGGTGCCTGGGTCCACGCTCAACCACTGAGCCACACGGGGGGGCTCAATATGATTTTTAACAGGTTAATAATATATGTTTGTCATCTATTTTTCCACACAGCAACATATGAACACCTTTCCAAACCAACAGGTAGTTTTAACCAAATGGTCCTCCACCCAGTCCTCCCACTGGCCCCTGCCCCCGTCCCCGGCACAGAGCACCAGCCAGCAGGGACCTCCCGTCCACCTGCGTTCCGCCCGCCGAAAGCCCGGCGTCCTCTGTGACAGTGACCGACTGAGGCTGAGCCGCCCGCTCGAGGGCTGGGCCCTTCTGTGTCCCTTCTGCCTCCCACACCACGGATTCTCCCTGGCTCCGGACCATCCCGGCAGTTTACAAAGCCTGCTCTGTTCCTGCCGATATTAGAAGCAATCAAACCCTGCCAGGCCCATGCGCACCTCCTGCTCCGGTGCCAGGCCTCGTAGGTGCTCAGAAAGTGTTTGTTGGTCACACGGGAGCCGGGTGCGTCCCCACCAGAGACCCCTCCGTGTCCCCCTCTTACAGCAGCGGGAAAGCCGCCGCTGCACCCGGCCCAGAGAGACACAGGCTGCGCGCTGCCTCTTCTCCCTGCGCCGCAGCCACACCTCCAGCCAGCTGGCGGCGCCATCCCTGACCCCGCACCTCTTCACTACACTCGGGCCACCTCCCTTAGCCCGGCCTCCCGGCTGCTTCTGGAATGGAAGGGAGAGAGGACAGGCACCCTCAGCTCTTCCTCTAAGTGTGGCTCGCAGAACAAACTCCAGGGGCAGGAAACAAAGTTGCTGGTGGCGGTCTCAGGTAGCAATGCCCGGTGGGGAGGAGGTGGGCAACCCCTCATTCCCAGGGCAGATGGACCCTTGAGCCCGCAGTGTCTCTTCTCCCAGTTGACCACTAGGGGGCGATGCCTGCCCACCCGATGGGTCTTCCTTGGGGAGGAAGCTTCCATCCTTGTCCCTGGCCAACCCCTTCCCACCCCCAGTTTTGTGACCAATGTCCACCTGTTGCTGTGATTCCAAAACCCACTCTGAACCCCAATGTGTGACTTCTCTCATTCTGTGGGCTCTGGCTTGGCATTACCAAAGGCCGCCTCCTCACCCGGCCCCAGGAGCTCCCAGCAGGAAAAAGGCGGACTGGGCAGCTGAGCTCCCAGACCTTCCACAGGGGCCAGGACAGGGCCATCAGGGCCATAGCCGAGCTTCCCCCTGAGCACCAACAGCCCCTGCCTGTCATGGGCAGCTCTTGGGGACTCTTAGGTCCATTTCTCCCGTCCCTCCAGCCCCCAGGACTGAGGTCTCCAGGCCTTACCTGCTCTGCCACCCCCCCCCCCAGAGGCTGGCCCCAGGCCCCCACAGCCTGACCAGGCCCCGGGGCCTCAGAGCTGGTCCCATCTGAGGTCATAGTTGGGTGGCAAAGGCCCAGCAGCAGACAGTCCAGCCCCTGCAGAGCTGCTGTTGGCATTAGGTCTCCAGCAAGGAAAAGCCAGGGCCCTAGAGGGACTGTCGAATGTCACACCCCACCACATGCTCGGGGCTCAGAATTTGGCCTTTAAATAGCAGGAACCTCTGGAATCCAGCAGAGCCTAGAGTTGGGGGCTGGGAGTTCGGAGGCTCTGGCCACACCTGGCTGTGCTACGTGCCCCCTGGGGATCAGCTCCGCACCTGCCCTGCTGACTCCCGGGGTCCTGGGAGCTCACACAGAGGAGGACCAGGCGCCCCCAGGTGACGGCTTTTTCTGGGAGGCCAACACCCCACTCATCCTTCCATCGAATAGGCACCGAGGGGCTCTCCACCGCCCGCCCCAGCTGCCCCGCTTCTCTAAGCCCAGGCCTCTGGGCACCTGCTTCCACTCCAACCCCTCACCTTTGCACAGGCCGCGTCTATGACCAGGAATGCCTTCTCGGCTTCCATCAATCCACAGCACCCTCTTGCAGCACTGAGGAGCGAGGGTGCGCCAGCAGACGCCCCCACACTCCTTCCTGATCTCCCACCGAAGTGGGGTGGACTGGGCTCGAGTCAGAAACCCGAGTTCAAATCCCAGCTCTGACTCTCCTTAGCTGTGTGACCTTGGGCAGGTCACGGAGCCTCTCTGAGCCTCAGCTTTCTGAGCTCCAAAGGGAGACAGTGGTGCCAACCCCAAGGTGCGAGGGTCTCCTGCCGGACCCCACCTGCCCATCCATTCTCCCACCTGCTCCCGTCTCACCTCCCGGATCAGCTGCTTCTCAGCCTCCGTGTCCTGCTGGACCTCAGGTGGGGGCAGTGGCTTCTCCTCAGTCTGGATGGGGTTTAGGAGCACCTGACTGGACAGCAGGGCTGGGGAGAGACAAAAATGGGGGCTGTAACCAAGGTGCACACCGTCTTCAGGAACTAAGCTGTAATCCGCCAAGACAACCACATGCTCCTGGAAAAAGACTCCAAAGCACTGAACTGATTTGAAGTGTGCCTCTACGTAGCGTGCTGACTTATTCAGCCATTTAAGGAATGTTTCTTGAGCACCACATGCTCTCGGTACCAGGGATGCTGCATTGAACAAACAGGAAGCTCCACGCCCACAAGTTGCATTTTCAATTTGGGGAGAAAGGCAAGCAAAACCCACGAGCCAACGCACGAGATGTTTACAAGGTGACGTGTTGGGAGGAGACAGAAAGCAGGGAGGATGCTCAGGAGTAAGGACCAGGGGAAGGGCTGCCGTCTGAACAGGGAGAGGGACGACCTCTGAGACACGGGAAGAGGAAGGCGGGACCTGGAGGAAGTGAGGGACAGAGGTGAGGCGGGCAGAGATCCTAGCAGACAGCAGGGAGCAGAGGCCCTGCAGGAGGCAGGGGCCGGGGCTGTTCCAGAACAGCCAGGAGCCAACGTGGCTGGAGCCAGGTGAGCAAGGGAGAGTCTGTGTGAAGAGGAGGGAGAGAACGGGGCCAGATCATGGGACCTGGCAGGCTTTGACTCTGGGTTAAAATGGGCCATTGAAGACCTCATGTGGACAGGCTGCTGAGAACATACTGAAGGGACAAGAGCAGACCCCAGGAGACCTACTGGGGCCTCTGCAGTAACTTAGGTGAGAGATGAGGGGGCTCAGGCCAGGGGACAGCAGTGGGCATATCCTGGGCATGCTTAAAGGTCGAGACAACTGGATTGAGAAGCCGAGGCTGAGCCCAGGGGTTCTAGCTTGAACACCAGGAGGCGGTCGTCAACGGGGTGGGGACAGCTGGAGGGCGCGCAGGTTTGCGGAGATCACGAGCCCATTGTTGGACAAGTTTAAAGTGACTGTTAGACAGCTGGGTGCTCAGATCTGCAGTTCAGAGGACACACTATGTCAACCGTTTTTATACATGTTCTGTATTTTATGACACTTGGACATCTTGGTGGACTTTCTAGCCGGGGAGAGACTGCCCCTTCCAGGGCCAGCTAATTCCTAGAGGGAGTGGACAGCTCGTCAGTGAGCCCACCCTATAGAAACCAACCGACCTCGCCCTGGCCGGTTTGGCTCAGCGGTTGGAGCATCGGCCTGCGGACCAGAGTGTCCCGGGTTCAGTTCCCGCTAGGAGCACGTACCAAAAAAAAACAAAAAACAACCACCAACCTCGAGTCCACATCCCCAACCCCTTCTGGATCTAACTCCCACACACCAAGCCAGCCCTTCCCCTGCCCCAAATCGTCCCAGAGTCGGGTACCAGATAAGCATGGACAGCCCCTGGGCCCAAATCTGCCAGAATTATCCCAGCTAGCCAACCCCCAATGGTTCCTCCTGCCCTGCCCTGCCTTTCCCACAGAACCCCACGAAGGCCGAGCCTGCTCCTCTCTGCCCCACCCCACCCCACTCCCCGAGGCCCTGCATGCCCCTTGCTTCTAGAGTAACTGACATTAAACTGTTCTTCCAACAGCATTGACCTCTCATGTCGCCATTCAGTCACCTTTATAAAGACCAGACACAAGTCACACAGCCAGGCGGAGGCCCACCGGTGAGAGCCATGAGACCCGAGTGTCCGGCTCCAGAGGGAGTGCAGGGGAGGAGAGGCCGGGCACCGCCCCGGGACAGCTCTGCCTCGGGAGGTTGGGGAGGGGGCTCCCTGGAGGGGAAGAGAGGCCGAAAGGACAGGGCAGAGTGCCAGGAAGCAAGGGTTTCCCAAGAAGGGAGCGGATCAGCCGAGTGCACTGATGCTGAGAAGGAGGTGACATCTCCCGAGGACAGACCCCTGGATTTACCAGCAGGAGGTCATCCATGACGAGGGCGGGCTCAGCGGGGCGGGACAGACCCCTGGATTTACCAGCAGGAGGTCATCCATGACGAGGGCGGGCTCAGCGGGGCGGGACAGACCCCTGGATTTACCAGCAGGGGGTCATCCATGACGAGGGCGGGCTCAGCGGGGCGGGACAGACCCCTGGATTTACCAGCAGGGGGTCATCCATGACGAGGGCGGGCTCAGCGGGGCGGGACAGACCCCTGGATTTACCACCAGGAGGTCATCCATGACGAGGGCGGGCTCAGCGGGGCGGGACAGACCCCTGGATTTACCAGCAGGAGGTCATCCATGACGAGGGCGGGCTCAGCGGGGCGGGACAGACCCCTGGATTTACCACCAGGAGGTCATCCATGACGAGGGTGGGCTCAGCGGGGCAGGACAAACCCCTGGATTTACCAGCAGGAGGTCATCCATGACGAGGGCGGGCTCAGCGGGGCAGGACAGACCCCTGGATTTACCAGCAGGAGGTCATCCATGACGAGGGCGGGCTCAGCGGGGCAGGACAGACCCCTGGATTTACCAGCAGGAGGTCATCCATGACGAGGGCGGGCTCAGCGGGGCAGGACAGACCCCTGGATTTAACCACCAGGAGGTCATCCATGACGAGGGCGGGCTCAGCGGGAGGGGGGGGGGTGCACAGCCCACATGGACTTGGGCAAGAGAGTGGAAGCAGAGAAACTGAGCCAGTGGAAACAGACAAATGTTTCAGTTTCGCTCTGTGGGGAGAGAGAAGCCTGCCAGTAACCAGAGGGGGAGCTGGGGCGGAGAAAGTGTGGCCAGTCGTGAGGACCGGGTGGAAACCCGTGGAGCTTTGAGTCACACGCCTGGTCTACGCTCCACTACGAAGTTAAAGCACCACGCACGGCCCAGTGAGCCTGCGGTGCTAAGCCCACAGTCCTCCAACAGACGGCGTTGTTATCACCTCCACCTTCCAGATGAGGGGACTGAGGCTCAGAGGCGCTAGGTCACTCGCCCAAGGAGCCAGGGTTGAACTGGCTAGCGCTGGGCCCTGCCCTGCACCAGTCACCTCAGCTTGCTGAGCTGCCTGTTAGCACCCCAGGAGGAGGGGACACTCCGGCCCCTCCCCCACACGGCTGCCATGACAACCTGGGAAGCTGCACCAGTGTTAGCTGCTGGGGCTGGGGAGCCCCGGCTCCTTCCTCCTACCTACCTCTCACCATTCTTCCACCTAGCTTCTCCTTACCAACTTTCGGGGTGATTAGGGTCAGGGGTGGGGGAGTTGGGAAAGAGGAGGAGGGCAGACTGCCCAAGCGGAACCCCGTCGTGGTGCTCAAGGACACCCTTCACCACCCTGGCCCCTGCCAACCCCACCTGGCATCTCCCACCACCCTTTTCAGCAGAAGTACCTGTGGCTCCCCAGATGCACCTTTGCACACACTGGCCACTCTCATCCTGTCTAGCAGGGTGACTTCTCATCCCCAAGACTCTGCTCAGTCGCCTCGTCCCACAGGTGGGCTGCTGGAGTACCCGTCCCCAGGAGACAGGTGCCCGGGGGGCAGGGGCTGGTCTGATTCACCTCTGCGCTCCCAGTGCCCAGCACCGGTCCACACGCGGTGAGCTCTGGCTGGGTGGGTGGAAGGCAGAGGAAAGGACGATGGCAGCGAATGGGGGGGGGGGGTAGGGTCGATGGGTGAGTGGAGAGAATGGGTGAATGAATGCATGAACGGGCAAGTGGGTAAATCGTGGAGTGGGTGCGAGGGGGCAGGTAAATGAAAGGGTGGGTGGAAAATGGGTACCTGAGTGGATGGGTGGATGGACGGATGCGCAGATGAACGGGGCTGTGTGGAATGGACGGGTCGAGAGGAAGGTGGGTGGGAGCTAGATGAACGGAGAGATGCTCCCAGGCTCCTCTGTGCTCCCTCCCCCAAAGGTTTCTCAGATGAGAAGAACCCTGCTCCAGGTATGGATTTCTACCTTCCAGATGACGGCCCAATGCCTGGGCGTGTGCTGCCGGCACAGGTGCCCATCTGGGAGAGGGGGTGGGCCGTGGGGAGTGAGTCACCCCTGCTGAGCAGCACAGAGACAGCGGGCAGACAGGGGGTGAGAACGTGCAGCCTGGAGGGAGGGTGCAGGTGACAGACGCCCCAGCTGATGGGATAGGGTGGACAGACTGGCCTCTTCTTGGGGCATCAGTGAGCAGACACCATCCAGGGCTCGCCCTCACTGTTCCAAAGCGATACTCCCACGAAGCTAAGAGGACGCGGGGCATTGCCTCCATGTCTCCCAGACTCCGCTGGAGGCAGGCAGACCCAAGGACAGGGCCTTTGTCCTGGGTCCCCGGACCCTTCCTGCCGCGCCCCCCTGAGCCGCCCACCTGACAGGTTGCTGGGGCCCATCTGCTGGGCCAGAATCGCCTTGAGCTTCCCGATCTCCTCCTGGTACTCGCGCAGCAGGGCATCCTTGGGGTCTTCGTTGATGTGTGGCTTGTTCTTGATGTTCTTGGCTCGGTTGGCGTAGCGCAGCGTGCTGAGCGTCTCGTCGTAGTTGTTGTCAGCGGGCGACAGGCAGGCCACCATCAGCGTCTTCGTGTTGCCGCCCAGTGAGTCCTGCAGCAGCCGCGTCAGCTTCGAGTCGCGGTAGGGGATGTGTTTACAGCGCCCGTCCACCAGGGCCGAGATGACGTTGCCCAACGCTGACAGCGACAGGTTGATCTTGGTGGCCTCCTTGAGCCGCTCCCCTGTGGCGCCTGTCTTGGACTGCCGCTCGCTGCCCGCCAGGTCCACCAGGTTCAGCTTGCCTGCCCGGAGGTGGTCCTTGCCCCGCTCATCTGCAGACAGACCGGGCCGAGGGGTGAGGGCCGAGGGGTGGCCTCCCGCGGTAAGGAGGGCAGTAGGCCTCGGGCACCGAGTGCTCACCACCCACAAGGGTCTCATTTCAGCCACACAGAAGCGCCACGAAGGAGGTGCTCTTACTGTGCCCCGCTTTAGATGAGGAAACTGAGGCTCAGAAAGGGCATTTGACTTGCCCAAGGCCCCCAGATGGTGGAGCCAAAGATCAGCCCCAGGGCTGTCTGACCCGGACGCAGGGCCAGGAGGCAGACTGCTGTCCGAAGCGGACTTCGATGGCTATCCCAGTGGCTCCTGCGGATTTCTCGAGGCCAAAGATGAGGGGAGGGGGTTGGCCGTGTCATCAGGGGCTTTGGAGACTGCTGGATCCGGTTGCCACCCCAGTCCTCTCTCCTACTTGCTGTGCAGCCTTGGCAGAGCCGCGCACTTCTCTGAGCCTCAATTCTCCTATCGACAAAATGAGACTCACAACGGCCCCCAGCAGGGGTGGTTGCTGAGAGGAGTAAACTGCCAGCACAGTTTTACAGGGTCTACACGGGGCCTGGCCCAGAGCAGACATTCGTCTCTTCTGAGACAAGCCCAGTTCTTCAGTGACGTCAGGCTCTGCAAGCAGGACAGACCCCAAATGCTGAAGGTGACGAGTGCCGGGTACCCTCTGGTTGGTGGCAGGGGCTGAGCACAGATTTTGGAGACACAGACCTGTGGGGGTTCAACCGTGATTCCATCCCTCGGTAGTTGTGAAACTTGGGGAAACAACTTCACTTGGCTCTGAGCCTCAGCCTTTCTCTCCATACAGTGGGAATCAAAGACCCACCCTGCAGGGCTGTTGCGAGGATGACCCACTGGCACATCCGGAAAGAGCTCAGGGTTGTGCTACACTTGCTGATCTTAACACTGTTAACAATTCTTGTCTCCAGACATCACCATACATGGCTCCAAATGAGATAAGACGGGGTGAGGGGGGCAGGGGCAGGGGCTTCCTCCTTAGCTTTTTGCTGGCAAAAACCTGGTTTTGCCCAAGAGCACAGGAGGAGGAGGAGGAGGAGGGGGAGGGGGAGGAGGAGGAGGAGGAATGAGGGACTTGAAACCTCCCTTTAGGAAAGCTCTTTTTACAGACGTGGAAACTATACATTTGCAGAATGTATAGGAACCTTAGGCAGGTTTGTGCCCCCTGCTCCAGGAGGTCGACCCCAGGGAACCTAATGGAAGGAAATGACTCTAAGAGCAGAACAGGTTTTGTGCACAGAGATGTTCATGATGTTGATATTTACACTGAGGAACTGGAACCGGCTACAACACCTGGTAGAGGACTGGTTAGAAAAGGGCCCTGAGTCCTACAGCCCCACCCACAGTCATTCATATGCAGTAAATGCATATAAAATGCATGGCACCCCGGGCTGGTTTGGCTGGGCAGTTAGAGCGTAGGCCCACAGCCCGAAAGGTCCTGGGTTCAATTCTCAGTCAAGGGCACGAACCTGAGTTGCAGGTTCAATCCCTGGCCCTGGTAGGGGTCGTGTGAGAGGTGGCCAATCCATGTGTCTCCCTCACCTCAATGTTTCTCTCTCTCCTTCCTTCCCTTCCACTCTATGTAAAAATTAGTGGGAAGGTGAGGATTAATACAGAAATAAAATGCCCGGCACACAGTAAGTGCTCCTGGGAGCTGCCAGGATTACCGTGGATGCCGCGGTCTGTCCTGGAAACACGGGCCCAGCACAGGAGGGCCTCTTGCCTTCCCACAGGCAGCTCGAGCATCCTTCCGGGTCTCAAGCGGGCACGTGAGGCTCCAAGAGGAGCAGTGTCTTGGCTACGGGGCGCGGGAACCCAGTTCCGGTCGCCAGGGGCCCCACATACCCACAGCGTAGATCTCGATGCTGATGGTGAAGATGGAGTGGGAGCGCGAGGAGTTCTTGTTCATCAGGGTGTAGCCCACCGAGCGGCTCTTCCAGCCCGTCTCCAGGATGCGCTCGCACTGGGCCACGCTGTACACCGTGTGCGTGGAGAGCCCCTTCACGTACACCCCCTTCTCCGGGTGCTCCTTCAGCTGGGGGCAGGAGGCATGGGTCAGGGGCAGGGGCCAGGGATCCCAGAGGCAGGGGCCCAATTTGGACCACCTCTGTCCTCCTGCAGCCCTGATCAGCACCTCAAGTTCTCCAGTAGGCAGAGGGTTTGTTGTAGGTGGAGCCAGCCTCAAACCTACCCCTGCCTCTTACTTGTTGGGCCCGTGACTTAACCTCTCTAAGCCTCAGTTTCCACATCTGTAAAATGGGTATGAGATGCCTATCTCCTAGGGAGATGGCGAGGGTTCAGTGTACTAAGGCCCCTACGATGCTTGGCACGGAGCCTGACACATGGCCAGGACTCCATGAACGCCAGCCGCTGTGCTCCCTGTTGCAGCCAGTGCCACCAGTGTGAAGGTGGGTTTCGGTCTGGGAGTGGTCGCTCCCAGGGCTGGCACTGTAGTCCCCCAGGACTGAGTGCTCCTCCTCTGCCCCGTCACCCCCAGGACTGAGTGCTCCTCTTGGCCTCTCTGCCGTGGCTCCAAAGCAACAGGAATGTTTCTAGAACCGGGATGGTGGCGGTGAAGTGCCCTTTGCTGCCCAGAACTCCCGGCCCACAGCTCCGGTGGGCCCTCGCGCAGTGAGAAACGGATTTCTCTGACGGCTCCTGCTCACCCTCGGCAGCCAAGCTGCTTTGCTGCTGACACAGCTGTGAAATGCACTATTTTTCAAGTGTGAGAAGGAGCAGCACCACTCTGGCAAACAGAGTGAATTGGGACAGAAGTCGCCAGGCTGCTGGTCTGAGTCCCCGGGGCTCAGAGGCTCTGCTCGGGGCAGCGTCAGGACCCCGGGCGGGTGGGGACCTCCTGCGCCGTGGCGGGGAGCAAGCACAGGCTTACCCCACGTGCAGAAGTGTGGGGAAACCGGCTTCATGGTGCGGACAAACAACTGAGGCACAGGGGTTGAGTGACTTGCTGCAGGTCACACAGCTATTAGTGGCAGGGCACCCATGGGGTGACAGACAGCAGAAGAGTCCAAAGCGAAGGCTTGGAGAGAGGCTGCAGCATCTGCAGGAACTAAAGCTTGCAATGACGCAGGGCTGACCGTGACCCGGGAGGCGGTTGTGAGGACAGAGCAGCGGCACAGCACGCGTGGAGGCCGCTGGCCGCCTCTGCAGCACCTGGTGGCTTCACTCACGCCCACCCGCGTGCCCGGGCGCGGCCTTGATCACTGCCACGCTCCCTGGGAGAACCTAGGAGGCTGCCTGGCGCATAGTAGGTCCAGGTGAGTGAGCCGTGGCTCTGGCTGCAGGGAGATGGTAGTTCCTACTTAGTCACACAGGCCTGGGACAGAAACCTGCTTCTGTCGCTTGCTAGTTGGGGAAGTCAGTTTGCCTCTCTCGGCCTCGGTTTCCTCATCTGTGAAACGAGGGTAATAAATCCTATTTCTGCATGACTATTATCAAGAAGAGAATGGAGCTAATAAAACGTTCTTCCCTGGCTTGTTTGGCTCAGTGGTTAGAGTGTCAGCTCACAGACCGAAGGGTCATGGGTTCGATTTCCAGTCAAGGGCACGTACCTGGGTTGCAGGTTCGATTCCCAGCCCCAGTAGGGGGTGTGCAAGAGGCAACCAATTGACACATCTCTTTTACATTGATGTTTCTCTCTCTCCCTCTCCCCCTTCCACTCTATCTAAAAATCAACGGAAAAATATCCTCAGGTGAGGATTAAAAAAAAAAAGTTCTGTGGGTACTGGAGGGCTCCATGAACACAGGTCATGAAGCAGGTGAGGACGACTTGCCTCTCACGAGCAGAAGAGGGGCAGGGAGGCCACCCCTCCTGTAGGGCTCACCCCACCCCATGTTTAGACCCAGGAAGGCTTGCCTCCCACTCCGTGATCCTGGCTCCCTCCATCCCTTCCCTGGTATTCCTGTCCCCACCCACCACAGAGCTGGGGCGGCGCTGAGTGACAGCCACCAGCTGTGCCCTGTTCCTCGGTAACTAACTGTTCCTCCGGCTGCTGGGCCACCCAGTCACCATGACAACCAGCTGGGATGTGACATGCTGGGACTGGCGCACAGGCAGGACATGTCCACCACTGATCTGGAGCCAGGAAACACCCCCATGGAGGAGGGGGTCCCGACACTGCCAGGACGAGGAGGTACCAGACCCATGGAGAGGCCCCCGGGGGCCCACCTCCATCGCCCAGTACTGGGCTGGTTTCCAAGATGGTTCATGGTTTTGGGGGCAGGAGGTGTAACTCTGCTTCCCAATATCTCCTGCTGGCCCTCGCTGACCTAATAACCCCTAACTGCCAAGTGAGCTGGCCCGTGCGTGCTGTGCAGCCTGACCACCGGGCTTTCTGGCTGGGCCCCACCCTTCACTGACTGCGCCTTAGGCTGATCTGACCTGGGCGCACTGAGCCTCAGTTTCCCCTTCTGTAACAAAGGGTATGAGCAGCATCTTCTCTTGAGGCTGTTGTGAGGTTTATGAGAGGCACCAGGCCAAAAGCTCGGTGCACCCTGGGGGAATGTCATGGAGGACATCTGTCCCTGGCACCACCTGGCAGCCTGGTTCACCAAGCGCAGCCTGTGGCCTAGCTGGGGCAAGGGTATGTAGCTGCCAGGCCTTGGTCCCTCAGGGCCTGGGTGACCGAGCCATTCTAGGGGCTGGGGTACTGAGGAAAGGGAGGAGGGCTCAGGTTGGGTTGGCAGGGGACCCTGATCCTGAAGGCTGGCCTTTCAGGGCTGACAGGAGGGAGCAACTCCCTGTGCCTTCCCCCTCTCCCCAGCCCCCTGTCTGGGGCTGAGGTGTGACTCAGCTTCTCCAGCGCCAGGAGAGAGAAGGCAGGAGACTCTGGGCTGGCGCTGGAGGCTCCTGGGGAGAAAGAGCTAAGCACCGCAGTGCTGGGGAGAACCGGCAGGAGGGGCTGGCGGTGGGCCGGGGCCTGGATGGGGACAGGCAGGCAGGGAGCTCACAGCCCTGTGGACCTGCTGCAGCATGTGCCCTGGCACCTGGCACCTGGCACCCAGTGTGTGTTGAATCAATCAATCAACATACTCCTCTCCTAACTAGAACCTCATTTCTGGCTTATTGACCCGGGGATTTCCTATACTGCTGACCCCCAAAAATACTGGGAGGAAAACACCCGACTGCTCAGATCCCCCAAGTTCAGGTACAACACTAGTAGTTTGCCCTGTGACCCTGGCGAGTCCTGGCCTCTCCTTGGGACTCAGCTTCCTCATCTGTGCCAGAACGGGGTTGACTAGCTCTCTCGGGTCTTCCAGCTCCAAGCCTCAAGGACCTTCCCACCGTGTACTGGATGAACAACAGCTGCTGCCTGATGTCTCCCACTGGGCCATGGACTGGTTGCCCGTCAGAGAGGAACCCGTGACCCCTCAAATGTAGCCAGGGCGAGTGGGGGTTCGGGGGCAAGTAGCAGGCTCTGGAGCTGAGCAGAGAAGCAGCGCTTCCCCCAGAGGGGTGGCTTCAGGGTCCTGTCCAATCTAGAGGACAGGGAGGGTCGGAGGGTCCAGAGGGCTCTGCCCCCTCCCCATGACTGTCCAGGCATGTAGCCTGGGGAGATGGAGGCAGTTTGGGTCGCAGAAAATGTCCAACCCCGACTGTGACTTCCTAGCCCGGTGACCCTCTTTCCCAGCCTGGTTTCCTCACCTGTAGAATGGGGTCTCCATAGCAACTTCCCAGGGCTGCTCCTCGTTGATGATGGGCACTCCCCCAACTCGGACACTGACTCCGAAGGAGGTGGGCTGACCCCAGTGCTGGCTGAGGGCCTTTCGGTCCCCACTGGTTGTTTGGTCAGATAAGAAGCACTAGACGTGGGGTGCAACCCTAGCACCTTCCCACACTGGCCTCTCCTCCTGGACCTGCCCAGGCCCCCTCAGCATTTCGTCAGAGAGGACACGTGACCAAAGCCTCCCACTATGGAGAAGGCCCAAGGGCCCCAGACCTGAGGCCAGCCTTGCCACCACCTGTCCAGTCCCGCTCGGTCACTTGACCTCACTGGGCTCCCCAAAGGATCAGCCAAGTTCCGTTTATCTTGATAGACCCTTGAAGCATCTAATGCTGGTCAAGTGCTGGGAAATGATGTTCTTTCTTTCTGGTTCTGGCCTTTTAGAGACTGAGGAGACGTACGTGCCCGTCAGCCCCGACTCCTCCTCCCTGGGTTTCCTCTGTGCGCCCGCCGGTCCCGTCCGCTGTCCTCGGATCCCAGTGGCGTGAGACGGCTCATGCACGCAACACCTGCCCCACCCAGCACCCTGCCAAGCAGCTCACCCTCATTTCCCTCTCGAATCTCACGGCAACCTTATGAGGTCACATCACAGAGCCACCCACACCTGTCAAAGGGAACAAGGTCCCAGAATCTGAGCCCAGCAGTGGCCATAAAATGAGATTTTTGAGATTCAGGGCCTTGAAGCCAGACAGACCTGGGTTCAACTCCGAGTTTGGCCATTTACTGCTGCGGGAAACGGGCAAGTTAATTGACCCTCTAACCCCCTTCCACATCGATGAAGTAGGGGAATGACATCCACCTCACAAAGTTACTAAGTTAAATGGCATAATATGCCTGAAACAGTGAGGGAACAATAAGTCCTGAATAAATGACAACCACGGCCCTGGCCAGTGGCTCAGCTGGTTGGAGCATTATCCTGTACACCAGAAGGTGGCAGGTTCGATTCCTGGTCGGGGCACATACCCAGATTGTGGGTTCTCTCCCCTGTTGGGGCATGTACGGGAGGCAACTGATTGATGTTTCTCTCTTACAAAGATGTTTCTTTCTTTCTTTTTTTTTTTCTCTCTCTCTCTTCTTCCCTCCATCCCTTCCCCTCTCTCTAAAATCCATAAAAATGCCCTGGCCGGTTTGGCTCAGCGGTTAGAGCGTCGGCCTGCGGTCTGGAGAGACCCGGGTTCGGTTCCCGCTAAGGGCACGTACTTCGGTTGCAGTTTGTCCCCGGCCCTGGTTGGTCGTGCGGGTGGCGGCCACTCGGTGTGTCCCTTTCACATCGATGTTTCTCTCTCTCTCTCCTTCCTCTCTCTCCCTCCCACTCTATCTGTACAAAAAATGGAAAATATCCTCGGGTGAGGATAAAAAAAATAAATAAATAAATAAATAAAATAAAATCCATAAAAAAAACATATCCTTGGGTGAGGATTTTTAAAAAGACAGTCATTATTACCTTCTTTTTAGCTTGAAGGGCCCTTAGAGATTTTCAAAATACTCTTTTAGAAGTGGAACCTTTTCAAAATGATATCTATTACAAAACTGCATCTGTTTCAACAGATACAGGTGCACTACCCCAGGTAAGGTGCAGCCCCAGCTCATGTGGTAGAGGTAGGCCCATTAACCCCTCCCGCCATCACGGACACAGACAATACTCTGAAATCCAAGTTCAAAAGTCCCCAGGGCAGCCTGAACCGGCACCCGTGCCCTCGGATTACCGTCCCCGTGTTTCTGAGGGACCACCCCCTGCTGCCACCCTCCCCGCTCCGCCAGCGCCCACCAGCCTGGGCCAGGTCTGCACGCACCTCCAGCTTCTGCTTGGTGTCGGCCCCCAGCAGGTCACGGACGTCTTCATTGTAGATCTCCAGGTACGAGGCCTGGACCAGGAACTTGGTGTTCTCTGCACACTGCAGGGAGTGGGCGGGGAGCAGAGACACACCTGAGCCCCCGCAGCCAGGACATCACAGCAACGCAGGGAGGGGCCAGGCTCCACGGGGTCCCCTGGTTCTCATGCTGCTGTTGTCTAATGTTCTCTCTACGGGCCTCAGCGGAACCGAAATGGGAGAGGACTCCTCATTTTCAGGTAAGGCCTGGACCCAGCACTGTGGCTGAGCTGATCTCTGGTGGCTCTCTGTCCTGCGGGTCACCAGATGAGTCCCAGGTGCAGGCACAGTGGGCTCGGCAGCTGACCAGGGTCCCTGCCCCCACTTTGCCGTTTCCCAGATGCAGGAACCTCTGCACATGTCACCAGGGCACTTCTCACCTGCAGCTGGACACTGGGTGACTGGTTTTGACCCAGCCCATAGGGGCTCCAAGCCTCAGCTTCCCTATCTCGAAAATGGGGATGAGAGTTACTTCCTGGGCCAGGGTGGGGCTTCCGTGGGACAATAAAGCGCTTTGCACAAGGATTGGTCTGGAGCAACTGCTCAATAAAAAGGAAAGCTGATTGTCATGACCAGGTCTCAAGGTCATCGTATCGATGGGAGATGCTAAGCAAAATGTTAAAATCCAAAAATGGTAAGAGAAAAGCATGGAACGGCGAGGTATCATTTTCTCAGTTTTAAGTTCTTCTCCCATCACCTTTTCAGAAACCAGCGCCTGCCTCCGCTTATCCGCGCGGAGCGGAGGCACCCCTCGGTCAGAAGCGCTCTGGGACAATTTGCTACACTTGGGGAGCCCTCAGGCCCTGAGCCCCAGCCCTGGCCCTTCCCTCCGCGAAGCCCATACCTGCACGCTCTCAAAGACATGCTCGAAGGCCCTGGGGATGATGCCCCTCTGGGAGGACGGGTCCGGCAGGCCCTGCATGGTGAAGGACTTCCCGCTGCCCGTCTGGCCGTAGGCGAAGATGGTGCCGTTGTAGCCCTCGGTGACACCCTGCATGGGGGACCAAAACCCCTCTGCTGAGCGGGCCTGCTGTGGGCTGCCTCCAAAGCCGCAGACTCGGGGCCCTTGCTGGGTCTCCCAGCACCATGTCCCTGGGCTGGGGACAGGCAGGTAGAGAGGAATAAGGCACAGCTCTGCCCTCAGGCTCACTGCCTGGAGGGTAGGAGACGGTCCATGTGTGGTTGAGAGCTTGTGCCCTGGAGCCTAGCCCCCTGGGTCCAAACCAGTCTCCCCCTTTACTGACTGTGCCCTTGGACCCTTCTCACCCAGGCACATGGAGCCTCGGCTCCTCTGAAGGACAGGGTCAGGCGGCACCTCCTCCGAGGCTGCTGGGAGGTCTACCCGGGAAGTTCTGCACACACTGGCGGTGGGGTGCGGGAGGTGCTCCCTAGATGTCCCTGGATCTTGGGGGAGTGGTTCCCACACACGGAAAGTGGAGGCGCGAGGAGAGGGATGTGTGTGGGGGTGGCGACAGGGGGACGGGACAGGGTGGGAAGAGCCAGGCACAGCCTCCTGGGTAGGCAGAACTGGGGTATCTGAAAGGGTGGCTTGCATTTTGACAGGTGACAGAAGAGGGAGGCATTCCAGGCTGAGGGACAGCGTGAGCAAAGACAGAGAGGTGAGAGGCTGGGTGAGGGGATGGAAGACGAAGCTGGGGAGGGGTGAACTGGTGGCACCTGAAGCCATTCATTCACTCCATAGGCACTGCCTCCGCTCCCTGTGCGGCCACTGCGCTCTGGCAGGGGCGGAGGGAGGGATGAGGCGACACCCAGTCCCTGCCCTCACACAGGGGGACACAAATTCTGGAACCTAGCGTGAGGACGGGGAATCAGTGTCAGAACATGGCCCAGAGCGCTGCTCCCAGACCCCGAGGGCCCACGTGGCATCTGTGCCCACGTCCACCGCAGAGGCCCAGCCGGCGGACCGACGTGGGCGCGATCAGGGGCTGTAGGGAAGGAAGACCCGAGTCACTGTTCAGTCACCTCATTTGAATGGGCGAATTGGACGAGCACCGCTCCCTTGTCCGCGGAATTCCTGACCATCGTGCAGGTTCCTGCAGCTCGTCAGAGGGCCACGGGCCGCACGGGACGGGTCCCTGCAGTGGGGGAGAGCCCGTGGCTGGGCTCCTCAGAACCAGGGCACACAAAGTCCCAGGGACAACACAGTGCAGCACCCACAGTATCGATGTCACCCAAACCCAGAGACGTGTCTCCATAAAAATAACCACCACTGCGCCATCCGCCAGGGTAGCTACTGGCCACACTAGAAACGCACCTGGTGCAACTGAGACACTGCATTTATTTCTTTCATTTTAATTAAACTACACTTAAAAGCTGAAGCAGCGTGAAACGGTTTTCCACTAAGCAACGTCTTTGGTGCTTCACTTCACCCAGTGACACCGGCACCTGAACCGAGATGACCTGCAGTGCAAAACGGACCACGTTGCAAAGGCTCCGTGTGAAGAATGTGAAACAGCTCACTGATAGTTATGACATGATGAAGATATCTGCTATGTGCTATTGAAATGGCACATGAGATAGAATGCGTTAAATTTAATGTATTATTAAAACGAATTATGCTGGTCTACTAGAAACTTTTTTTTCCACCCTCATCCGAGGACATTTTTGCATTTATCTTCAGATAGAGCGGGAGGAAGAGAGAGAGAGAAACACTGATGTGAGAGAGACACATCGACTGGTTGCCACCCACACGACCTCAACCAGGCCAGGGACAAACTGCAACCGAGGTACGTGCCCTTAGCGGGAACTGAACCTGGGTCTCTCTGGTCTGATGGCTGACGCTGAGCCAAACCAGCCAGGGCTGCTAGAAACATTTTACCTGTGCATGTGGCTCACCTCATATCTGTACTGGAAAGAACTGTGCTCTAGAGCCACTAGCCACATTTTTTTTTTTTTTCAATCCTCACCCGAGAATATTTTTCCATTTATCTTCAGATAGAGTGGGAGGGAGGGAGATACATCAATGCAAAAGGGACACATCAACTGGTTGCCACCCGCACAACCCTGACCAGGGCCGGGGATGAACCGCTACTGAGGTATGTGCCCTTGACTGGAATTAAACCCGCGACTCTTTGGTCCAGAGGCCGATGTTCTAACCCAGAACCAAACGGCCAGGGCTACATGTGGTTATGTACATGTAACTTATTTAACATAAAATAGAATTGAAATTCAGTTCTTCAGTGTCACTAGTCCGTTTGGCTACATACGGGGAGCGGGGAGCTCACTGGACAGCCAGTACAGAACACCTTCACCACCGCAGACAGTGCTTCCGAACAGCGCTGTCCGGAGCGAAGGAGAAAACAGTGTTATACGCATTTTTAGGCAAAACACTGATTTCAAAAAAGTTTCACCCATGAGTGGATACCCGCCAGGGACAAGACCACACATGGAGCAGGTCCTCAATATCAGCCACTCTGTACTTCCTCCCGGGTCCAGCCATGTCCCCCGAACCATTATTTACTAAATGATTTTCATGAAATCAACTGTTATTTGACTCTCTTTTAACCTGGTGTCATCCTCAACAATAATTCCCATAAAACTGCACTATGGGTTGGATGTGCTAAATATTTTTCTACTTCACAGTAAACACTGAAATTGAAATAAAAAGCACTGATCATGCCCTGGTTGGTTTGGCTCAGCGGTTAGAGCGTCGGCCCATGGACCAGAGAGTCCCGGGTTTGGTTCCCACTAAGGGCACGTACCTCAGTTGCAGTTTGTCCCCAGCCCTGGTTGGGGTTGTGTGGGTGGCAACCACTCGATGTGTCTCTCTCACATCGATGTTTCTCTCTCTCTCTTCCTCCCTCTCTCCCTCCCGCTCTATCTGAAGATAAATGCAAAAATATCCTTGGGTGAGGATAAAAAAATACGCATTGATCACAAATTGCCTCATGTCCCTCTCTTTCCCCCTTCAAAATGAACAGCTTTGTGTCCCATCCAGGGGCCAAGTTCTATGGCTTCTACCGCATCAATGGCTCTGGAGTCCAGGCCCACCATCCTCAGTCTGGACATGATAGAAGTCATGGTACCTGGCCCCTGGGTGCGTCATCAGAGGCAACTCTAAGGCCGAGGGTGAGAAGGAAGGAGAGGAGGGATGGCAAGGCCACCAGCTGGGAAGAGCCCACAGACCAGGCAGCAGGCCAGGTGTGGTGGGGAGGAGCTAGAGGTAGGATATGCTGAAGTGGCAGAGGGTGGGTTTGGGGTAGAGTCGAAGATGTCACCCAGTGACAGAGAAGATCAGGAACAGAGCCTAGATTTAAGGGGTTGGAGAAGAAAGGAGAGGGGGAGGGGAAGAGGAAAGGGAAGAAAGGACTGGATTGATGTGACTCGGTTGGCGCATCGCCCAATGCACCAAAAGGTCGTGGGTTTGATTCCTGGGCCAGGCACATGCCTAGGTTGCGGGTTTGATCCCCGGTGGGGAGCATGTGGGAGGCAACCGATTGATGTATCTCTCTCACATGGATGTTTTCATCTCCCCCCACCCCCTGCTCCTCGCCTCTTAAAGTCAATGAAAGAAAAGGAAGGGGCAGAAGGGGGCAGAAGTCCTGGAATCCTGCCCCGGACTCTGCGTAGTCAGAGCCCTGGGAGAGCGGGGTAGGAGCCAGGTACACAGCCAGCCAGCCCGAATGGCGCAGCTGCCCCTGCTCAGAGCCGCCTGACTGTGCTTTGCACGTAATCTGCGTGTTGCTCACGTAATGGCAAACAGCTGCATGGAGCACGGACCCCAGGTACTGTGCTTGGAATCGAAACTGGCCCTAACTTGTTCAGTAAGGCTCCAGGCCTCAGTTTCCCCATCAGGAATGATAACTCCAGCTCTGTACATCCACAGTCTTGAAGATCAAATGCTGGCCTCCACCTGGAAGACCCCTTCCTCCACCTTGCCTCTCACTTAACTAGTGACTGGCTGGACAGCTGGGGAGGGGGTGGTAGGAAGGAAAGAGCCCTTGCTCAGCAGACAGCAGGCTCAGCTCCGGCCCCACTTCTGCCAGAGACCCCGGGGGGAGCTTGGCCAGAATGTGAGTGCCTCCCTGTTATGTTAGGAAGCTAAAGCCGGGAACTGGTGAGATCCCCACCCCCCTCCACAGGATTGTAACTGTGGACACTCCGGAAGTGGGAGGAAGATGAGAGGGGGATGGGGAAGTGGCAGGGGAGGGGAAGGAGACCTGGGTTCTGGAAAGGGGAGGAGGAGGCTGGAGAAAGTGGCCGGAGCGTTTAGACAAGTCCTGAAGCTCTCAGATGAGGGTGGAGGGCAGGTGGCCCTGGGGGCTGGAGTTCTCGTGGGAAAGGGGCAGTAAGGGACGGGAGTGAGGAAGGCCTTGGCACTGCGGTCAGTGGAGACCCGGGCACAGACTCTAGGCAGGTTCCCGCTCTGTCCAACCTGCACCAAAGTCTTCAGACCAACCTGCTGGTGTCCACCTCCGGAAGGGCCTTCCGGCGGCTTGGGCAGTCGTCCCGCAGGACCGCTCAGGGTGGCCCCACGTCCTGCCCAGCCAGTCCTGGAGGCGGCCCCCGGGCGCCCTCACCTCCACCAGTGGGTAAGCGATCTCGTTGTAGATCTGCTCCGTGACGTGGTCCACGTAGTAGGCGCCGTCGAAGGTGAACTGCTTGGGGGGCTCGTCGGCGGCGCCGGGGTTCTGGATGAAGCACTGGCCGCGCGTGGAGTCCACCGTCACCACGGACAGGCAGTTCAGCTCCCGTTCCCGCTGGTTCATGGGGCGGCAGCGCACCGCCACCTTCACCGACTCCGAGGCCATGGTGCCGCGCAGGGTCCCGGGGTGCGGGACAGACGCCGGCCCAGCAGGGGACCCCTGGCCGCCCGGCCCGGGACGAGCCGAGAGCGAGGCGCGGGGGGCGGGGCCTCGCGGCAAGGGCGGGGCTGCGGCGGGGCGCCGGGCGCCCCGAGAGGAGGAAGGGGGCGGCGGGGGTCGCAGGAGCGCAGCCGGGGCCGCCGTCTCCTCCCTCCCACGCCCGGACTCGCCTGTCCCCGAGGCCCGGCCGGGCAAGTGGGATCCGCTGCGGGCGCCGCCGCAGGACCCGCTCGCTCTCTGGCCCCCGCGGCGTTCGCGGTTGCTCGGCAACGCCCGCGGCGTCACAGGTGGCGGCCCCTAAGAACATCTGCGGTTTTCGCTCGCGCGGGGAGTGGCCCCGAGCAGCCCCGGCCTGGAAGCCTGCACACGTGGGCGGTCTTCACGCGGGGCCCGCTGGCTTCGCTGGGGCGTCCGCCTGCTCCTGCCGGCGCTTCTCGCCCAGTTGTCTTCTGCGATACCCACAGCCGCAGTTCAGAGAGGCTAAGCGATTTGCCCGAGGCTGCCCAGCCGAGTCGGCCTCACGAGGGGGTTAAAGACCTACTGAGAAAGGCAACCAGGACCTTGCTTTTCTCACATCCCTGTACCGACGCGGGAGCATTTCACAGTCCCCGGGACAGAGCAAAGCTTCCTGCTAATGCTGCCCTCGTTTTTTCCAAAGACTTAAGATAAAAAACCAAAAACACCTTGAGAGCCAAAGTGTTTAGCTGCAGAGGCTGCCTGGCCTCTCTCCCGGCTCAGCACAAGCCCCTCCAGCCGGAACAGCCTCCTCTAGGCTCCACTTTGCCCAGAAACACTGTCAGCCACCTGCCAGGCATTGTGATAGGTGCTTGGAAACAGCTCAATCCCTGCCCTCCTGGAACCCGTAGTCTAACCGGGTGGGGAAGACTACATCAAAAACAAGTCTCCCCGATACAAAAATCCCATAAATGAACTAGTAATTACGAACTAAAGGCCCAGTTGTATGGAACATCCAACAAGGGGACCTTACCTCCCCGCATCCACACACAAACCCAGGGGAGGGTGGCAGGCTTCCTGAGAGTGACAGGAGCTAAAATGCTAAGGTAAGTTAACCAGGCAAAAGGCGGGGAGGACAAGGAGACCTGTCCAGACTATGCAAAGGTCCTGTGGCATGTTGCAGGAGCAGAAAGAAAGCCCGCGTAGCCACAGCATAAGACTTGAGTCTTTTTCCTATAGAAAATAACCACGGAAAGTTTTAAGCAGGAGAGAGTTGATTTGAAAATACCGATCTGATTCCTTCAGGACATCCTCTGCCTCTAGGACAGGACCCGTCTGGTTTGCCATTCAGCACCATCTGAAGGTACGTTGGCAAAACAAAAACAAAACAGGAAAACTCGCCCTGGCCAGTTTGGCTCAGCGGTTAGAGCATCAGCCTGCGGTCCACAGAGACCCGGGTTCGGTTCCCGCTAAGGGCATGTACCTTGGCTGCAGTTTGTCCCCGGCCCTGGTTGGGTCGTGTGGGTGGCGGCCACTCGATGTGTCCCTTTCACATCGATGTTTCTCTCTCTTCCTCTCTCTCCTTCCTGCTCTATCTGAGTAAAAAATGGAAAAATGTCCTCGGGTGAGGATAAAAACAAAACAAAAAAAAACAAAAACAGGAAAACTGGACAAAGGCCTCGTCTTTCAAAGGAAAAGTCAACACTAGACAATCTGAAGAAACGCATTTTATTCCATGTACATACAGTAAAGAGAACTGGGCTACCCAGAAGGTGCTGGTTGGAACTAAGAGAAAACTGATCTATAATTAAGACAGTGAAGTGTTTGCACACATGGGTCAAAACCTTGCCCTGTTTGTAACCACGTGAGCAATAAACACTGTGTAAAGGAATGTTAAAGTGCTTTGGGAACATCCCTGATACCTTATCCACTCAGGTAATTTGTACAGCAAAACATCCCTCACGGACGCAAGCTCTGGCCTCAGCCTGGGCCACTTCCCAGGTCTTACATGTGTGAGCCCAGTGCTACAACCCTGGGCACTCTATTACCAAATTCCTCTCCTTGCCAGAGAAATAAATGTAGGGCTGGCTACTCCCACCAGGGCCCAGGGCTTTGCCCAGGGAGATGGTGCTGAGAGAAAGGGCTATAACGGGAGTCCTGGGTTCCCATTCACGTGCAGTACAGAATCATGAGCCCCCAAAGGGCAGCTTCCTCCCATCCCTTTTGACAAGAATGACAAGGACCCTAGCCAAGACCATTTCCTGGGCACGGAACTGTAACCTGGGCACCAGTTTCTGAGGACCCGCCCTCCTTTCCCATCTGGCGGGGCTGCCATTCATTCCAGGAGCCAGAAGTCTGTTAACGTTCAAGGCACTGAACAGTCACATCGCACCCCCAGAAGAGGAAGAGGGCAGCCCCCAGACTCATGACTAGGCCTCTGCCTCAAAAACAGAAGCTCATCCAAAGTAAACCTGCTCCCTAACTTGGTAGATTCGTGTCTGTCAAATTCACTTTTAAAGGGGAATACCTGGACGTGCCAGTCAGCGCAGACCGAGGCCTTAAACGTGGGTCCTCTGTCCCCGAGGCAGGGCCCACATCAGTTCTAACTGCGGATGGCTTCCCAAGCGAGGCACTGAGATTCCTTCTCCTGTCTGATGGTTCACGTCCCTTTCTGCACACGGGTGTCCGCCCCGCGCTTGGGCTTGGGGTAGCACGTCCATCCTGCCCTTTCTGCGCCTTCCTAACCCCCACTCCTCAGAACTCAAGGGAACTCCCCCTTATCCTCAGATGACTTGAGAAGCAGGCAGCCTGGATGTAGCCCACGAGCTCCACTGCGTCATCTCTGTGCCTCTCAAGGAGAGGGTGGCTCGCCCCCAGGCCTCCGCCCAAAGTAAGAGCTCACTCCTGCCTCCCCACGCAGCTTGCCCCAGCATCCAGCTGCCCGTCAAGAGCTCTCTGGAGGCTCCCAGTCAGGGCCCCGGAGCCTGGCCTCCTCCGGAGAGGGCCGCACCTCCACTGCGAATGAGCCTTCCCTTCATCCCAGAAAGCGCCAGTGGGGCCCAGAGAGGACAAGCATCCAGAGGCACCAGCAAGTTCACCGAGGCCTGGAGATCTGCCTACCCCTCCTGCAATCTCCCGGGGCCACATGTCATGTGAGGAGCCATTGGCAATCCTCAGTCTCAGGGTCCGCCACACAGTCAGTGAGGGGACGGAACACTGGGCCAAGGGGCAGAGTGACTGACCAGTGGGGTGGAAGAAGGGCAGAGTGGCCTGCTGAGGCCCAGGGGCCAGGGTGAGGGAGGGCCTGGGGGTGCGGCCAGGCTTCCTAGCCCAGGCCCTGCAGTTCTGCCTCGGACTTGGCATGGCCCAGGGGCCGGAGTGTCCGGGGCGGCCTGCCCTCGGGCCCACAGTCCTGCTCCTCGTAGCCGGGGTTCAGGCGGCCCATGTCGAGCGAGCAGAAGAGGCTGCGCTCGGTCCCAGCGTGGTGCTCCACCAGGGCCTCCAGGCTGGGGAACGCGGTTGGCAGGTGCTGGGGGAGGAAGGGGCTTCAGTTCCAACTTCCCCTCCCCACGGCTGGTGCTGGGCCCCGACCACCCCCTTGCATGGATCCTGTCCCACTTGAGAGAGGAGGAAATTCGAGCTCAGGGAGGAAATTTGAGCTCAGGGCGGTCACTGTCCTGCTGACAGCAAAGCCAAACAGCATTTCCTCTTTCTCTCCTCCCAGGACAGGACTGAGACCCTGGGCTCACATTTAAACAGCCTCCGCCCATCCCAGGCCCTGGAAACCTGTAACCAGCCAAGACTCCAGATCTGGAGGCTCGGGCTGTCAGAGCTGGAGCAAGGCCCACCCCAGTCAGCTTCCGCCTCTGCTAGGAGACGGGGGAGGGTGTGGGAAGGCGGACTTCTCCAAGCCGATTCCCACAGAAAGGTGAGGCACGGCTACCCCGACTCTGCTGGTGGTAGGTACCCTCGGAAAGCCTCTAGACGCCCGAGGATGGAGCCCAGAGGTGAGGGGGGGTGAGGGGGCCAGTGGGCAGAGCCAGCAGGGGCACCCAGAAGGGGAAAGGTGGAGTTAAATAAAGGGTGGGCAGAGAGAGCCAATGGGGACTAGGAGGAGGGTGAGGCGGACTCAGTTGTGAACGGGAAGGGCCCAAGGGCAAGGGGCGGGCGGCCGCCGACCCTACCTCCACGAAGTAGCGGCCCAGGTGGTTCCGGAAGACTTGGTGGGGCACCACGCCGCACTGCGTCCGCACCGACAGGCACCACTGGCCGCTGGCCCCCGGCTCCGGCCACAGCAGGAAGGCCCCGAGCACGTCTCTCCGCAGCAGGGCCAGGGCGCTGGGCCTGGGAAGGCAGAGGAACAGGCTGAAGGCGGACCTCTGGTGCGGCCCCAGCCTCAGGCTGCTGCCGGGCACTGCCCCAGGGCGTGGGAAACACAGGGCCTGTGCCGGAGGAGGCCCCGACGACAGGAAACGTCAGGCGACCCTTCTGTAAGGTTTCTATGACAACTTCAAGACCAAGCAGGAGAGTTTTAAAGACCTGGCATTTAGGGAGCTGTCCCCCGGAGCTGAGTCTTGACTCATCTGAATGACCTCACTTGACCCTCCCACAGCCCTGAGACGAAGGCCTTTTCTTATCCCCACTCACACTTGAGAAAACGGAGGCTCAAGAGGCTGCCCTTGTAGGGGAACGTGCGCCTACATGGCAGGTCCTGGGAGGGGATGAGTGACCTATTTCTCTGCTAACCCCAAGGGGCTGGGAATTCAGCCAGGCCGGGCCCGCCTACCTGGAGATGCCAGCAAAGGCCCACGTGTTCTCGGTCAGGCTGCCTTCACTCTCCACCAGGCACGGGGGGCCACTGGGACCCCGGGGCCACGCCTCCCATGCAGCAGGAACTATGGAAACCAGCCAGGGGTCAGAGGGAGAGAGACGGTCTCATCCTAACCAGCCCACCCCACCCCCACAGACCCATGACCCCACCCTGTCTCCTTGCCGAGCCTCCCCTCCCCGTGACAGGCACACATCCACACACAAGCTCACGCCCACTCACCAGTGTAAGCACACACACAGCTATACAGTCACCTATGCGAGCCCCGGGCACGCACACCGGACGCACGCTCTCGGGTGGACCGATGCGTACTCCGGCGGCACAGCACAGGCATCTGCTCGGAGAGCCGTCACGGCCTTGCAGAGACAGACACCAGGCCCACCCACTCCGACACACGCAGGTGCAAAGGCCTGTGCCCAGGTATGCAGGGGGCAGGTGTGTTCCTGCTACTCACAGGCCTCCCGGGCCGACAGCTGCAGCTGGGTCTCGTAGGTGCAGCCGCGGTAGGCCCCCGAGCGGATCACCTTGCTACGGATGGCCTTCTTGCGCACCAGGGTGGGGGAGCAGCAGGGGTTCCCCAGCTGGGCATGGCGGGCACCCCCACGGCCTTCCCAGTCCAGCAACTCCTTCTAGGGGCCCAGAGGGTGGGCAATCAGGTCTAGCCAAGTCAGGTCAGGCAAAGCCCCTCCCTCTGACGTCCAGCAACCACTCCCACATAACCCCCAAACCCTCACCCAGTTCCCTGTCCACTGCCCACTCCCTGGCTGGGCTTGGGGTGCTGCGTACCCCACTGCCCACGGGCCCCTCTGCTGACAGGCGCCGGAAGGAGACCAGAGCATGAACGTTCTGTGAGAGCTGGTCACGGCCGAAGGGCTCCCGCACTAGGCCAGGGGGCCTCCCAGGGCTGGACAGTGGCTGCAGGGGCCCATCCCCTGCGGGCCCCCGGCCGGGCTCCGGCTGTGCCCGCGCCTCAGGGTGCTGCAGGAGGTAAGCCAGCTGGAAGGAGCGGCAGAGCAGCAGATGCAGGATCTGAACCTGCAGAGGAGGGAGGGGCTCGGTTGAGGGAGGTTTCCTGGGGAGCACCTTGGGCATCAACCCACTTACCATAAGGGCATGCCATCCTATGGTGGGAAACCGCCTACTTACCCTCAAAAGCTCACCACCATGCAGCCTCCCCTGCCTGAGCATCTACCCTATCCGGCCTCATGCTGGGAACACCTGGGCCGAATGCATTCCTCTCCCGGTCTACCACCCATCTTGTGCATTGGGTTAGTACCCTCGGGAGGACTGGCGAAGAACCCGGGTCCTGGGGTCACAGAACCTGGCATCCAATCCTGGCTCTCACTCAGGAGCTGCTGTGTGACCCTGGGCAGAGCATGGCACCTCTGTCCTCAGCTTCCTCCCCCCACTGCCCTGTGCTCCTTTAGAGAAACGGGGCACGGAAGTTCCCCGGCGTAGGCCCAGCGCTGTCCCCCACACACCCCATTCCAGCACCCTGGAACCGCGAGCTCCAGGTCCGGCCATGTCACTCCAGCCGCCAGCCAGGGCTGCCCTTCGGGGCTGGTGGCAAGTGCCAGTGGTGGGATGAAACCAGACCCAGCCTCTGCGGGCGAAGTCGGCTGCCAAGGCTCTGTGTTCACGGCGCGCACCGGCTTTGCCTTCCGGGATCTACCCGCCGCCTCGCTGCACGGGCCGCACACGGGACCCTGGACCCAGCCCCTACTCGTGTCTGTAATCAGGGACAGACCTAATACAGAGTGTGGTTCATGGCACAGGACCAGAAGGGAGTGGCGTCTACAGGAGTCACAGAGGGCTTCACAGACACACGGGCTCAGCCTTGGAGGACACGGTGGAATTGGCCAGGATGAGAAGGTGAAGGCAGAGAACAGCAGGAGCCACCGTGCGGCAGAGTGACCCTCCAACCCCCGAGTGCATGGCCCAGTCCTCGCGGCACACGGACCTGCTTCTGTGGCGTCCTCAGTGGGCAGAGCACAGAGGCCCCTGTGTGGCAGGGAGTGCAGCCCGGAGCGGGCTCGAGCCAGCGTGGCCAAGCCCTCCAAGGCTCTCGGTCGGATCCCATGCTAGCGCATGGCCCTCCACCCCAGCCCGTGATGCCCCTGCCCAGGCCCCAGATACCTCTCCAGGCTGGCTGCCCACAAAAAGGTGACAGAAGAGCTTGCTGGCCGGGCTCCGGGGGTTCCGGGCCACAAAGGCAAACTGGCAGTCGGCTGGGCACCAGGTGGAGTAGAGAATTCGCCTCAGGGCATGTGCCATCAGGAGCACCTGGGGGGCAGCGAGCATGACAGACTCCATCAGACCCACCACCGGGCCTACAGCTGCCAGCCCTGCGGGCCCCACACACCTGCTGGCAGGCCTCCTGGGCCTGCTCTCCAGCCCGCGTGCCCAGTCTAGGGCCTACCCAGCTCCTGGGGTGAAGAACTCTTCCCGCCTTCCAGTCCCCCCCAAACCCTGCTTCAAATCCATGTAGTGGAGCCGAGGGGCAGGGCACGGGCGGCTGCAGGGTCACAGAGGCAGCGGGGGCAGGCCCTGGGGTTGCACTCCTGGTCTCTGGGGTCAGGTGGCCAGGGTTTGAATTCTAGCCCTGCCACTTGGTCTCTCTCTGTACGTCTTGGGCAGGTGAGTATTGCCCTGTGAGCCCTTGTTGTGACAAGTGTTAAGATGTGACAGTACCCCTGTGATGGGGCTGTTGGTGGGGTCAGTGAGACCTCATGCAAGTAGCACAGGACCTGACCCCAGGGCCCCTCGATGCACAGCTCTGGGACACCATTAGCAACAGTCTTAGGTAAATGGCGCCCAGAGTCCTGCGCATACTGTTGGGCGTGCAGTTAGCAGTCAACGAACGTTGGCTTGCACCAGGAAGGGAGTGTGGGCCATGAGGCAGGGGCTCCCCACTGGCCTCCAGCCTGAGTCTGGCCACAGCCCACTGGCCAGCGCTGGTCAGGCTACAGAGAGGCTCGGAGATTTGCAAAACCTCATGGGGCTGGACGGTCCTGATGGCGCAGGCCAGGAGGTATTGCCTGGAGGAGAGTTTGGGGGCTGGAATGGGGGGGCTGGATGAGAGACTGTTGCCTGCTGAGCTTGCCTTGGGGGGAGGCTCCTGGGAGAGAGGACTCCAAAGGACCTGAGCAGGCTGGGAAGCTGGGAGGCTCAAGGGGCAGTGCAGGGCCTGGTGGAGGCAAGCACCTGTCCTGTCCTGTCCAGCCTTCACCTGCACCCACACGGGCTCCTACCTCACCCTCCCCGCTGTAGATCTTGAGGCCCTGAAGGCTGAATTTCAGGATGATGGCCCGGCGTCGTGGACAGTCCTGGGTGGGAGAGAGTTGGTGGGAGGCAGGTATTACCTCTCAGGCCCTGCCGGCCCAGCCCAGCCTCAGTACCAGTCACTGCGGGCTGGTCAGCCAAGTCCCTCCACCTGCCAGGGGACTGAGCCCTGGACAACAGACCCCCAGGAGCCATGGAAGTGTGAATGACTCCTGGCAGACACCTCCCCAGCCAGGGCCACCCCGCATCTCCCACCTGTGGCTTCCACCCTTGGGGCACAGGTGCCAGCTGCCTAAGGGACTCCCCTGGGCGTAGGGGACATGGCCCCGGGGAGCCTGGGTGTGGTCTGGCGGGGCCCAGTGCTCAGATTGGCTTTGGTCCCCTCCCTGGGCCTCACTGGCTCCACCTCTAGGACTGGGGGCAGGTGGAGCAGATGGTCTGGGGTCCCCAGCAGGGAAGTGCCCTCCCCAGCTCACCTACCCTCAGTGCCCACAGCTCTTGTTGCACCAGCCACACGCTCTCCTGGGTGTCCAGGTCATCCACGGAGAAGGAACCCACGTACTGCTTGGGGGAGGGGTGGGGTAGGAGGGAGGCAGGGAATTCAAGCGCATGGCTCCTGACCCCCATCCTCCAAATTGCCCCCAAACACACACTCTGCTTTGTTGGGTAAGCTGTGGACAGTGACCGCTCTGAACCCGGAGTCCAGGCTGCTCCTGTCCCAGCAGGTGGCCTTGGTCAAGCACCCAGCCCCGAGGCCCCGTGCCCTCATGTTTCCATGCACACAGTCCCCAGCCTGGTCCGGGAGGGAAGACACAGAAACAGGTCCTCCCCACAGCTCCTCCCCGCCCGCCAGAGCACACGTGGGGAGGGACCCACCTGGGCGAACCTGGTGATGCACCTGGGCCGGTGGGGGGCAGGGCCACAGTCAGAGGCCCTTCGGCCCCTTGCCCCAGCTTTCTGCATGGCCCCCAGCGTGCCCAGCTTCAAGCCCCACAGGGAGCAGTCTGCAAGGCAAGGGAGAAGCGTTGGTTCCCAGGCAGCCGAGCCGGGCCACGTGCTTCCATCAGACGAGCCCCTACCGAGCATGTGCAGTGTGCCAGGCAGTGCACCAGCACTGGGACCCGGCACACAGAGACCTGTGCCAAATGGCAACGCCCTCCTGCCCTCAGGGAGCCAACATTCTCGTCGAGGAGAAAGACATTAAACAAGTGAGACATGGAACACGCTAGATGGTGACAAGCAGAGGCGGCTATGAAATGCAGGCTGGGGTTGACTGCGGCTGGGAAGGCCCCCCCAAGGAGTGAGGTTTGGGAAACAGCTGAAGGAAGGGGTGTGGCAGTCCACACCCTGGGTCCGCACTGACCCCTCTGCTCCGGCACCTGCGAGGAAGGGGGTGACAGCAGGGAGGCCAGTCCGCAAAGGCACAGAGCAGTGAAGGTGGCTGCGGCCCTCAGACCTTTCCAGAGCAGCAGGCAGAGCCCGGCATTGGGATCAGCCTTCAATGTCACACCAGGGAATTTAGGCTCTGCCCTGGGGGCAGTGGGGAGCCATAGCAGGTGCCAGGACAGGACTCCGCAGCCTCCGGGGCCGGCCCATGGGCTGGATGGCTAGAGCTGCCTCGCTCGCTCGCAGCCCCTGGCTTCTTCAGCTCAGCCTGACTCCAGCCCCCGCCCGAAGCCCCAACCACAGAGCACTGATGATGAGTCAGGAGGCAGGGAAGGTGGACAATTGCCCCAGGTGCTAAGGAGCCCCACAAGCCAGCCCTGGTTCTGGTCTTTCCTGGGGTCCCTCTCCCAGATCCACTAGTGGAAGACAGGAGGAAACCCCCTCGCTGGACAGTCCTCAAGGGCAGGGAGAGGGTGGACTGCCCACCAGAGCTCAGGACCACAGCTGGTGCCCAATGAACGTAGAATAAAGGCACCATGGGAAAGCATGGCTGACTGCCTCTGCCTGGGTCCCCGAGGACGCAGCCCCTCAGTTTCTCCAGGGACACTCGCCTCCACCCCCCGTCCCAGCTGGCTCCGTCTCACCAGCCTGCCTGTAATCACTGCGCTGGGGATCAGAGTGATCTGGGTCCACATCCTGTGCCTTTGGGCAAGCCTCCTCACCTCTCCCCACGCCTGGAATAAAGTGAGGAGTCAATGAGGACCGAAAGGAGGCGCAGGGACCCAGCATGATGCCAGTCAGGCTCGGAGCTGATGCTCAGCAAACAGGGTCTCACCGGATGGGGAATCCCACAGCCTGACTTCGGAGGGAGCTTGGGAGAGTGAGATGGGGCCACTTTCAGCGGCCTCCTTGCACTGGCCACACTGATGGGGACCATCCAGTCTGCAGGAGGAGAGGCCAGGAGCAAGCAGGGCCCAGACAGGGCCTGAGCAGGAAAGGGGCGCGTCCTGGGTGTGCTCTACGAGCCGCAGGAGTCCTTGGAGAAGGCGGCACTGGGTGCTTTGGACCTGCCGTGGACACTCAGTGCCAGGAGCCCAGGAACAGCCCCCCCCGACTACCCACGACCTGCAGCCCCAGGCTCAGGATGGGTGGAAGCAACAACAGCAATCTGCTTTCCTGAGCAGCCCACCAGGGAAAAGCTAGAACACACAGGCTGCGCCGCCCCCTGGAAGCCTCCCGGATTCCTCCCTCCTGCACCCGCTCCTTTCCTGCTTTTCCGGGTCCTCACATCCTCATGCTTTTTTTTTTATCCTCACTTGAGGACATTTTCCCATTTTTTTATTCAGACAGAGCGGGAGGGAGAGAGAGGAAGAGAGAGAGAGAGAAACATCGATGTGAAAACGACCCAACCAGGGCCGGGGACAAACTGCAACCAAAGTACTTGCCCTTAGCGGGAACTGAACCCGGGTCTCTCTGGACCGCAGGCCGACGCTCTAACCACTGAGCCAAACCAGCCAGGGCCCTCATACTTTTTTATCCTGATCATTTTTCATAACCTGTCAATTACCTCTTGTTTCTTTTATGTTTAAATAAAGCAACGTTACACGTGTAATGGGTACAAAAGCGATGTGTCCCCAGTCCAGGTATGGAGATAGGGGCTCCAGTAAACTTCCCTTTCAATGTCATAATCACACCATGGGCTGGACGCCCTGTGCCCGAAGGCGTGAGGACCAGGACAGGCAAAGACAAAACCAAACCGGGGTGAAAGGAGAGAGAGAAAGAACAGAAAATGGAAAAGGCTGCTACAGAAGTGGAGTGAGGGATAAGAAAGACAAACGGAGAGATAAAGTCCCTGGCCAGTTTTCTCAGTGGTTAGAGAGTATTGGCCTGCAGACCAAAGGGTCTTGGGTTCCCCCGTCAAAGGCATGTACCCAGGTTGCACGTTCGATCCCCAGCCCCAGCCGGGGTTGTGTAGGAGGCAATTGATTGATGTGTCTCTCTTGTGTGATGTTTCTCTCTCTCTCTTCTCCCCTTTCTCCCTCCCTCTCTAAAATAAATAAATAAAAATAAAATAAAAAGAAGAGATAAAGGAGAAATGGGAGAAGGGAGAGATAAAGAGTATGCCTCTCACCCTGGCCGGGTTGGCTCAGCGGTTGGAGCGTCAGCCTGCGGTCCAGAGAGGCCCAGGATTGGTTCCCGCTAAGGGCACGTACCTCGGTTGCAGTTTGTCCCCGGCCCCTGATGGGGTTGTGTGGGTGGCAGCCACTCAATGTGTCTCTGTCGCATGAATGTTTCTCTCCCTCTTCCTCCCTCTCTCCCTCCCACTCTGTCTGAACATAAATGCAAAAATGTCCTCGGGTGAGGATAAAAAACAACAAAACAAGAGCATGCTTCTCATTCTGCCTGTGTTGACAGAGCCCCTCAGACACTGAGTGTAAGATGGAATGGAGCCACATGGGCTGACACACGCGCTCCGAGACAGCTGTGTCTAGGGCTGTGCACAGCCTCTTCCCTCCAGATCCAGAGTGTGGCTTTCTTGGGGATGCCCAGGCAGTGGGGGTGGGGAGGCCACTGGCTCTCTTATGAGCCCCACCCCATCCATTATCACCTGATCCTCTCCCTCACTCCCAAGCCGAGAGGCACTTCAGCCCCAGGCCTGGAGCTGGGACTGCCCAGGGGACCAGGGAGGGCACAGGCTCACCCTGACCTGCACAGCAGACCGGAATATCCATTCCAGGCACAAACACCTTCTAATCCCTTTGGACCAGACTTGTTTTTCCGAGGTTTTGCATAGGAGCCTGGTGAGGCCAGCACCTCCCCAAGGGGACACGTATGGAATGAGAAGGGGCTCTTTTGCATCTCCGAGGTTTTCCAGGTGGCCCTGCTTAGAGACAGGGGCTGGATGGGTTGAGTTGCCTGAAGGGTTCACGGTCAGAGGCACTGTTCCACAGCTGACTGGAGTCATGGGAAGGGCCAACCTTTCCAGCTTCCTGGGCTTAGCAAAGGGGAGCTCAGGGGGGTGAAGTCACTTGCCTAAGGTCACTTGGCATAAGGAGGTAGCAAGTCTGGAAGCAAACCCAGACTCTTCCTTAAGGCCACTGCAGTGCTCTTCTCCGAGACTCCCCTCCACCAGGGGGTGTCCACCTTCAGAATTTGGTGGGTCCCAGCCGATCCAGCTGCTGGAACACCTCAGGTGCTGGGGCCTGATCTGATCAGCAGAACAGCAGCTTTGTCTCTCTGGCTGCCAGATGGTCTGGGGCTGCCAGCCCACCTCGGTCACTTGCTTCATCCCCACTGCCTGAGCTCAGCTCAGACAGCCCCCTGCCTGTCACCCCCACCTGCCCTAGGCCACCAGCGGAGAAAAGAAAACCCCGCAGCCAAGGACCAGGGGCCGAGACCTTGGACAGAGGTCCCACGAGGTTGACTGACTGACCTTGGGCAAGTCCCTTAACCTCCGCCTCCATTTCTTCATCTGTAAATCGGGGAGAATAATAGCAGCTACCTCCTGGGGTGCATTTGTTTTTCTCTGAGACTATTTCCTAGTGGGACTAGGAGCCAGACGAGCAAAACCAAGTCCCAGCCCTGGCGGAGCGCTCAGGCCGGGTTGGGAGACCCTGCGAAACCAACAACATTATGGGGCGGGGGTGTCCCTGGTTTAGAGAGAAATGCAGCAGGGAGGAGGATATGAGTGTGGGGGGTGCTATCTAACTCAGGGGGGCGAGGACGGCCTCTCCAAACAGGGCGCTGAGTGGAACGCGCGGTTTCGGGAGTAAGTGGGGCCGAAGCCACGCGCGGCCAGCGCCGGCGATGCAGGGCGCTCCGCGGCGGGTGGTTATTCCTGCGGCTGGATTCCTGGGGGCGCTGCCAGGGCTCCCAGCTGGCAGCCCCTGGCCCCGGGGGAGAACCTCCCCGGACCCACCGAGGGGCGAGCGAGGCAGGACGCTGGAGGCGGGATGGCGGAGGCGACGGATGGGGACGGCGACGGAGGGAGTGGGCAGAGGCGAGGTGACGTGGAGGTGATGGATGGGGACGGCGATGGAGGAAGAGGGCAGAGGTGCTCTCGCCATCCGAGACCCTACCCCGTCTCTGCGCTTGAGGACCGAGCCGCTACCGCCGACCCAGCCCCTGCCCGGCGCCCGGCTCCCGGCGCCCGGCCCGGCGCCCGGCGCGCACTCACCGCGGCCGCCGCGTCTCGAGTCCCGTCGCAGCTGCCCCGCGGTCTCCGCGCCCCCCGCCGCCCCCCGCAGGCCCCACGTGGCCGCGGGCACCAGCGCTCGAGATCACCGGGCGCCGGAGCCTGGCCCTCGCCCACCAACCGGCGCCCGTGCAGCGCCTCCGCTTGGCCGCGCCGCCCAATCAGCGGCCGCGAGGGGCCCTGGCACTGCCCCTTCGGCTCGCTCGCAGGCGCTCCGCCTTGAAGGACTGGGGGGAGGGGCGGTGTCCCCGCCCACCCGCCGTGGGCACCTCTTCCCGGGCTGGGGTCCCGGAGGGCCCAGAGCCTCGCGGACGGCGCCGTCCTCCCGGAGAGCCCTTCCCCTCCCGCCCCCGAGCTCCTCCTCGTCCGCCAAGCAGCTCCAGCACTCCTCCTCCGAGAAGCCTTCCCTGACCACCAGAGAGGGACTCCTCCGCCCACTGCAAAGCCCTCACCACGCCTGCTGGTCTTCTCACTCTCACTAGAGTGCAAGCGGCTTACGAGACTCCATCCCCAGTGCGCAGGACAGAGCCTGGCTCGCGTGGGCAAGTCTTGACCAGCGGAATGAATGAGGTCAGGATGCCCTCTGGAACCGGCCAGTCTCTCCCTACTCTCCCTCACCTGGGGTGGGAGTAGGGGTTGTCGCTCATCCTCTTCCTCCGGCCCTTCCCAGAGGAGGATTATCTGAGCCTGCCAAGCTCAGGGCCTGCACCAAGGAGTCTCCTCGTGAACACTGATCATTGTACACGGACCGTGACCCTGTCCTTCGGGTTCCGCGGAGATCCACTTAGATGGGGGACACGGCTGGGCAAATGTAGCCAGACGTGTCAGTGATGGCTTCATTCCCATCGAGCCAGACATTCTCCTCTGTGTGCGCCAAAACACAGATCTCAAACCTTCGGTGTGTGTTTAACCTGACATCTGCAGAGGAAACACCAGCAACTGCCCGAGGCCACACCTCAGAAAAGCCAGGACACAGGTGCTCAGGTCCAGTGAGGTGAGCACCCTGGCCGGAGAGAAACCTGGCCTGTGTCGGCGGACCTCCAAGGAGTTCCGGAAAGAGGCAGGTTTGAGCCACGCCTGGGTATCTGGCATTCCCTTTGTGTCCCCCTGGGCGTCTGGATGCTTTCCAGAGGAAGCAGTGAGGTGTACTGGTTACAGGCTTGATCCCAAGTCTGGGCGCTTCACATTCACCAAAGGTGAAACCTTAGGCAAACACTTTGATCCGCTAGTACCGCATCTGTGTTACTAACACCTGACTCACAGGGACGGGAGGATTCCAATGAGTTAATGTGGGCAAAGTGCTTGGCACAATACCTGACCCACAGTAAGTGAAGCGCTCAGTAAATATTAGCTGGTATTAGACTTTGTGTTTATTCTTTCTTGAGTGTCTTTTCTACGTGATTGAATGGCAAGTGTTGAGTTCCACGTGCCAGGTTCTGGGAAACCCTCCGGTGAGAAGGCCCTGTGACAGCCTGGCGTCCAGGAATGAGAAGGACCAAGAAGGTTTACAAGTTGGTCCTGCTCTCCCCAAACCCCAATTCGGGAAGCTCAGGGTACACAAAGGATGAAGGGTTAATTCTTACTAGCTTCCTAAAACATCATGTCGACTTTAAATAGAGGACTTGTCAATTACTAGATCCACAGACTATGTTGAGAGATTCAGAGAAAACAACACAAGCCACAACTCTGTTGACTCCTGGCTCTAACAAGTGTCTGATGCATATAATTCAGCCTGAGGCATGCAATTTTTAAAATAGCGACAGGCATTTGTTTCAGGTCAAAATGAAAAAAAAAAAAAAGACGGAAAAATTAAATTCAGATAGTAAAACAATTCAAACCAAAAGAGTCATTTTACCTTCTAAATCTTTCTCAGGAAAAGGAGACAGAGGATCAAGAGCTTAGTGGCAGCTACTGTGCTAGGTCCCGGGGATACAGAGATTTACAAAAAAACACACAAAACACCATGAAAAACATCTGGAAAGGTAAATATGTGAAAGAGGTGTGTGACATTCCCTCCTGACTACAAACCTCAAGGATCCCTTTTTTAATTTTTAATTTTTATTATTTTTTATCCTCACCCAAGGATATCTTTTCATTTTTTTGTTCAGCTAGAGCGGGAGGGAGAGAGAAGGAGAGAGAGGGAGAAAAACATCGACGTGAAAGGGACACATCGAGTGGCTGCCACCCGCACGACCCAACCAGGGCCAGGGACAAACTGCAACTGAGGTACGTGCCCTTAGCGGGAACCGAATCTGGGTCTCTCTGGACCGCAGGCTGACGCTCTAACCACTGAGCCAAACCGGCCAGGGCCCTTTTTTAATTTTTTATTATTTTTTTGTTAATCCTCACCCAAGGATATTTTTAGATAGAGTAGAAAGAAGGGAGAGAAAGAGGGAGGAAGAAATATCGATGTGAGAGAGACATGGATTGGTTGCCTCCCACACAACCCTGACTGGGGCCAGGGATTGAACCTGCAACCCAGGTACATGCCCTTGACCAGGAATCAAACCTGCGACCCTTCTGTCCGCGGGCCAACGCTCCAACCGCTAAGTCAGACCGGCCAGGGCAAGGATCCTATTTTTATTGGTCTTCACTCCCACACAGGAATACAGTGTTTTTAAAACCAAATGCATTTATACATTTGAAGTTTATCCCTTCAGTTTTATTTCTGTATCAGAGTATGTAACTGCCCACGTGAGCTGTTCCCCCAGCTTACCAAATTCTATTGATCTAATTCCACTACAAGCACAGAAACTCCAAGCTTCTACCATGCACGTGCTCTCACTAAAGAGACATTAGATGTGCGCATTTAGAGGTTTGCATCAGAGGAAACAAACTTCAGTGGGTGTCAGCCATCTCCTGGGCCAGCCAACCTAATCCCACTCAGGACTGCCCCTATAACAGCCCTCACTGCATCCTCTGCCCCACTGGTCCAGTGCTACATTCATGACAACACAGCTCTCCACAGTCACCAGGAATAGACAACTCACTTTTGCAGGAAGCCCAAAGGAGTCACCTAAATTAAGCAGGAGAGGAAGTGACAAAAAAAGGCAAGCTGGGGGGTGGGGTTGCGATCCCTGAACATGTTAGGACACCGGGCCATGTCATGGTATTTCCAGATGAGTCACTGACGATGACTAAATAACACAGGTGTGAGCTTGCTATCACAATTTTCCCTTTTCTCTGAAATCCCAGAATCAGGCACTGGGGTTGCCAGCTGACAAATGTGAGTGGGATGTATCATTTCAAAGCCAGTATCCTACAATAGGACTGAAAACTAGAGCCAAGCCAGGGAGCTTGGAGCGGGCCTGGGCGCAGCGTCCCCCGCACCTGGCTTTACACTCGTCCACCCATTTCCTCGGTAACACCTTCCCATGTTGACAGTTACTTTCGACCTTGAGCCCACTGTTCCATGCTCTCAGGTTTGTTCTCACGGCTGTCCCTGCAAAATTGCACCCCCAAAATGAGTGACCTAGAATGGAAATTTTTTTAAAAATTCTAAGCCCGGCTGGTGTGGCTCAGTGCATTGAGCCTCGTCCCAGGACTGAGATCCTGGTTCAGTTTCTAGTCAGGGCACATGCGCAGGTTGTGGGCTTGATCCCCAGTAGGGGGCGTGCAGGAGGCAGCCAATCCTTGTTTCTCTCTCACATTGATGTTTGTTTTTTTTGGTACGAGCCCCTAGCTAGCGGGAACCAAACCCAGGACTCTCTGATCCGCAGGCCGACGCTTCAACCGCTGAGCCAAACTGGCCAGGGCTCACATTGCTGTTTCTTTCTTCCCCCACCGCCAAAATATCAATTTAAAAAAATTTAAGATGTGTAATGGGTGGATTTGTGCCCCCACCTCCCCAAACAATATGTTGAAGTCCTAACATATTGTGACTGCATTTGGAGATGGGGTCTGTAAAAAGGTACATTTAAATGAGGTTATTAGCGTGGGCCTCAATCCAGTGTGACTGGTGTCCTTGTAAGAGGAAATTGGGACACACAGCTACAGAGGGAAGACGACGTGAAGACACAGGGAGAAGACGGCCATCCACAGGCCAAGGGCGGCAGCCTGGAACAGACACGCCTGCTGACACCTTGATCTCGGACTTGAAGACCCCAGAACTGCGAGAGAAGATCGCTGTTGTTTAAGCCACCCGGGCCGTGGTACTTGGTTACAGCAGCGAGCCGACTGATACAGTGGTTACAGTAAGATTCCCTTTCATTCGTGCGTAAAGCAGGTCACACAGCTAGTAAGTGACACAGCACTGGAGGGCCAGCTCCCGCTTCCTGGGGTATTCTGGTTGGTGGGTGTGGAGGTTACAGGATCCCATTTGGGAAGCAGTTGCGCTGTTCGTTCTCAAGGGGACACAGGCCGAAGGCGCCTGCACTCAGGGTCGCGGCAGGGCGGTGGTCCCCTCCTCCTGAGTGACTGTGCACGCCCCAGGGAGCACCTGGTCCGGCCTGAAGTGCCGCTGCTGCACTTCCAGGAAGGAGTTAAGCGTGTGGTCCCTGCCCTCTTCCATTCGGTTCAGGGTGACTGTTAACATAATGGCATTCCTTGCCCCATTACTTTGGAATACAACGGGTGCCTCCGAAATTGGCACTATGTTGTCTCGTTGCAACCTGTTCCCCATTTGGGGAACAAGGAACGGGTCCTAGTACTTCCCCAACTGAAGAGTTCAGGTGTGAAGAGGATCCCTCCTTAGAAACACTTGTCAGAGACTTCGTTGTCAGAGACAAATGGAACACGGGTCCAGGACATTTCAGACAGGAAAGGCAGGCAGCTGATATCCAGTACTATCTCCAATGACGCCTGTGTTTTCTGTGCAGGCCCCTCTCCATCCATAGCCAGCCACGCCCTCGGTCTGGCCCAGGTGGCAGCTGGTGGCACTCCTGTGGCTCACCCACCTGGCTTCTCTCCTGCTCCCTGGCATTTGAAACATAACGCTGTATCCACTTCTTTTTTCTTTCTCACCTTTCAACAAGAAGGCTCCTAGCGGTTTGAAACCTCACTTTAAAATCTATTAATTAAAAAAACCCAAAGTCTGCTCACCATGGCGTGTGATTGTACCGTTCCACCCTCCTGTAACTTGTTGCCGGAAGCCCCGCTACCTGTAACCTCTACGGGTGTGGGGGAAGGGTGCTCACCCCAGTGCAGGCCCAACTCCATCACTATTACGTGTTCGATTTGGGGAAAACAGCTCAATTGATTTGCTTCTGAAAATTGGGGGTAATGCCACATGTCTTTGTATTTGTGAGGATCCGAGATAGAGTGATCAATGAGCCTGGCAACAGGAAACTACAGTTAAGTGCTAGTTTAAACAAAACTGAACCCTCGAGAAATCGGATGTTCTGGCTCATTTGTTTTTAAAAAATCATTTTTACCCTAAAATCCTAAAATGCCTTAGTAACCCGAGTGTAGTGAACATGATTCAATCTTTGATACTTCATAATCTCATTACCTCTGGGTGGCTACTCTAAAAAAATTATTGTGGCCTCAAACCTCCCTTGTTTTACAGGGGAGGAAATCAAGGTTCAGGGAGATTAAGAGGCCTGGCCAAGGTCACAGCTGGTAAGTGACAGCCCCCAAGGATCACTGTGTAGGACCAGAGCTAGATGTCAGGGTACTGGGTGGGCTGAGTGGTGTATCTGAACGAGGATTCAATCTCAATTTGAAATCGGTGAAAACTTCTCTACACACCACACCAGCACATTGAAATGACATAAACAAGTAGCATAAGGGATTTAGGTTTGACATGAGAAGAATTTCCTCAGAACAAAAGTTCTGAATCAGTAAAATGAACGAGCAAGGATGTTGTGTAACTCTGTGGGTCTTAGGAAAAGAATATCCTTTGGTACCGCAAACAAAGAAGAGAGGAGAGAACGGATGAGTAAGGTTTCTTTCGGAGACATGAGTATACGAGCAAAGATTTCTAATATTCCAGCTCATGATTACTAAACAGGTATCATGTCCAAAAAATTCAGTTGTCAGACAATCCTACTGGAATTTCTCTTTTAGGCCTCCTAAGTACGAGTTCACAGTTTATCAAGAGTAAGAAAGCTGCTCACTTAGCAACATAAAAGTTCTGATAGAAGCTGTGGAACTTGGCAAGCATCCCTGTGAATTAAAAAAATTTGCCTGTGATCAACTGTGCGGAAGCCAAAGTGTTCCAAGGCTAGGATTTGAGGGTGAACAAGCACCTGTGCAGTGTCCCCCCAAAAAACTTGGGGCTGCCTAATAATCCAAGATCTAATTCTAATAGTTCTTACCAAACTTTATATACACACACACACACACACGTATATATAAATTTTTCTTTTATTGATTTTAGGGAGGGAGGACGGGATAGGGAGAGAGAGAAACATCGATGAGAGAGAACATCAACTGGCTGCCTCCTGCATGCCCCCCACTGGGGATCGGGCCAACAACCCTGGCATGTGCCCTGACCGGGAATCGAACTGGCGACCTCTTGGTACATGGGTCAATGCTCAACCACTGAGCCACACCGGCCGGGCATTACCAAACTTCTTAAAACAAAAGCCATACGGACTATTAGCAAAGTTAATAATTTCATCTCCTTTTCAAGTCCCCTGCAATCTTAAGTAAGTCCTTTCTTTTCCATGAATATAGCGTGGGAGCCACAGGGCTGCAGGAGGAGGAGGATCCAGAAGCCTGGAAACTGTGAAGGGAGACAGTAGAGCAGAGCAGCTGGAGGCAGCTCTCCATGCCCAGTCCCTGGGTTTCAGTCTGGCTTTGCCACTTATTACAAACCTGTGCCTGTTTTCCGTTCTGTGAAATGGGTATAAGAAACAGTGACCATCTCATAGGGGTGCTTGGATTAAATGAGATAGTATGTCAGAGGTTGACATACAGAAGAAACTCGGTGTTAGCTATTATCATCACAATTATAATTTAACAAAAACTTTAATTATACTTTATCAAACATATTCAAGGCATCATAAAGGTCTCTGCTGAGCGAAGATTTAGCAACAAATAGTTAATTATACATTTATATACAATATCAAGAGAAAGTTGCAATGTTTGAAAATGGCTTGGGAAAGTTCTTTTTGAAGCCTCCTTTGACTTATCAGCTATTGACAAAACAGGAACAGTTAAAACTAAGCTAATAAATTTAAGTAACCAAAGGTAGGAAATTTCTCCAACAGGAAAAAATAAAGCCACTTAAGTTATAAGAACCATGGGGAAAATGATAGAATAGAGTAATAGAGACTGTAGATGCCCAGCTGGTGTGGCTCAGTGGTTGAATGTCCACCCATGCACCAAGAGGTCGCCAGTTTGATTCCTGGTCAGGGCACATGCCCAGGTTGTGGGCCAAATCCCCAGTGGGGGGCATGCAGGAGACGGCCAATGGAGGTTCTCTCTCATCCATGTCTCTCTCTCCTGGCCCCCCAAAAAATAAAGAAACATTTAAAAAAATAAGATGGTGATTTTTTTTAAAAACAGGATTTAAATTTTTTTTTTTTCTTCATTGATGTTAGAAAGGGGAAGGGAGATAAAAACATCGATGTGAAACATCAACTGGCCATCTCCTGCGTGCCCCCCACTGGGGATCAGGCCCACAACCCCGGCATGTGCCCTGACTGGGAATCGAACTGGTGACTTCATGGTACATGAGTTGATGATCCACTGAGCCACACCAGCCGGGCTTTCTTTTTAATCATGTTTTTATTCTTTTTCCACCATCCTGGGCCCTGTGGAGGCCTGCTGGGACCAGGACTTTTATAAGGACAAATATGTCTGGGAGGCTGTGGTCCAAGGCCATTTTTGCCGGTTATAAGCAGGGTCTCCGGAACCAGAGGGAGCACACAGCTCTTCTTAAAATTGAAGGTATTTATGCTCGAGATGAAACTGAATTCTCTCTGAGCAAGAGAAGTACTTATGTGTACAAAGCAAAGAACAACACAGTGACTACTCCTGGTGGCAAACCAAACAAAACCAGAGTAATCTGGGGAAAGGTAACTCGTGCACATGGAAATAGTGGCATGGTTCATGATAAATTCCGAAGCAACCTTCCCGCTAAGGCCATTGGACACAGAATCCGTGTAATGCTGTACCCCTCAAGGATTTATATTAAAAAGTAAATAAAATTGATTTGTTAAGAACAAATAAAAATGTTCTTATTGCCCTGGCCAGAGTTGCTCTATCCGGCTCAGTGGCTAGAGCATCAACCCACAGACTGAAGGGTCACAGGTTTGATTCCTGGTCAAAGGCATGTACCTGGGTTACAGGTTCAAGCTCCAGCCCCAGTTGGGGTCATGAGGGAGGCAACCAATCGATGTGTCTCTTTCTGTCTCTCCCTCCTTTTCACTCTATTGATTTTAGAGAGGAAGGGAGAAAAAAAACATCAATGGGAGAAACATCAATTGGCTGCCTCCTGCACGCCCCCTACTGGGGACTGAACCCACAACCTGGGCATGTGCCTGGACTAGGGATCAGAGTGCATGGAAATGACACTAAACCACCTGGGCCACACCAGCCAGGGGAAGATTAATTTCTTAGAAGAGGGGAACTCAGTGCCACTAGGGATACTGCTTATTGATCTCTAATGGCTTCTGAGCCAATTTTTGTTTAGTAGTTCCTTAGCCAAGAGCTCCAACAGTTCTGGTTCTTTAGCTTCAGCTCTGCAGAATTGACTGACCATCTGTTCTACCAGGAAAAGTCAAAAACAACTCTACATGCTGGTAAGTAATGTCTAACAGGGTGGGGAACATGCAGCCCGAGGACCATATATGACCCGAGAAATCAATACCAGCTAACATCATACACCTCACCAAATTAGCTCGACCAAATACAGCAGACTCATTTTTAAGCTGATAATTTGGTATGGCCCTCAAATGATATTGTAAATATCCAAATGGCCCTTGGCAAAAAAAGGTTCCCCATTCCTGGATCAAAACCTCTAGGGGATGTTTCTCTCTCTCCCATTTTTTTCATGTGGGAGGCAACCAAAAATTTTTGGTGGTCTTGCTTCGGGAAAAAAACAAAACAAACAAACAAAAACCTCTAGGGGATTTGTTTAATAATGTGTTTTTCTTCTAATTAAGAATAGAACTTGCCCAGCTGGTGTGGCTCAGTGGTTGAGTGTCAACCCATGCACCAATAAGTTGCTGGTTTGATTCCTGGTCAGGGCACATGCCCAGGTTGTGGGCTAAATCCCCAGTGGGGGACATGCAGGAGGCGGCCAGTAGATGTTCTCTCTCATCGATGCTTCTCTCTCTCTAAAATCAATAAAGAAAAAATAACTTAAAAAAAAAAAAGAGAATAGAATTTCTCTTGCTGGACCGGTGTGGCTCAGTGGATTGAGCATCATCCCATGGGACTGAGGGGTCCCAGTTCAATTCCAGGGTTGTAGGACTGATCCCCACTAGGAGGATGCAGGTGGCAGCCGACTGATGTTTCTCTCTCACACTGATATTTCCATCTTCTCTCCCCCTTCCTCTCTAAAAATTCAATGAAAACATACTTTAAAAAATAGAATTTCTCCTCTCATGGATAAAATTAAGAATTTCTGTTTAACCAAAATAAAAATAAAGTAATTGATGTGATTTTTAAGCTTATAAAAATGGGAAACCTTAACAATGTAACAATGTTCCTAAATTTGTAAAGTTTCTCATAGTTGGCTAAATGCAGTAATTCATGAACTTGCCTGACTTAACTTTTTTTTTATCCTCACCGGAGGACATTCTTCCATTTCTTTTTGTTTTTTTGTTCAGATAGAGTGGGAGGGAGAGAGAAGAAGAAAGAGAAAGAGAAACATGGACGTGAAAGGGACACATCAAGTGGCTGCCTCCCGCATGACCCAACCAGGGCCGGAGACAAACTGCAACTGAGGTATGTGTCCTTAGCTGAAACCGAACCCAGGTCTCTCTGGACTGTATGTAGGCCAACACTCTAACCGCTGAGCCAAATCGACCAGGACGCCTTTCTTAATTTATTTTTTATCCTCACCCAAGGACATTTTTGCATTTATCTTCAGATAGAGTGGGAAGGAGAGAGGGAGGAAGAGTGATGTGAGAGACACATCACCTGGTTACCACCCACACGACCCCAATCGGGCCGGGATCAAACTGCAACCGAGGTACGTGCCCTTAGCAGTAACCAAACCCGGGACTCTCAGGTCCGCAGGCCGACAGCCTAACTGCTGAGCCAAACCGGCCAGGGCTGGCTGGCTTAACCTTTCTGATGTACCAGGATGGCAAAAGGATCTGAGCCTAAGCAAGAAAAATTTCGCAGGTCCTCTAAAGCAGGTATAAACAGGTTAGCAAACTTAGACTAGCACTGCCAAAATTTTTAAGAGAGGAGTAACAAAAAAAAATGTCACAGGTATTAACACATTACCTAGCTCTTTGTTTTCATGTACTCTTAATGTTAATTATACCCAATAAACAATCAAAACATGCACCTGGTTTTCTAAGATTTATACTGGACCAGGCTTCCTGCAATTAAGTCTGTGTGGATGGTAAGATGGGGGGCCTGTGTGGAATGCTTCTGTCACATTACTAATGAGAGGTCTCCACATTTTTCTGCAAACTATCCCTTCTCTCTCACTTTGTAGGTTAAGAAGCTGACAATCTCTCTCCCAGCACTTTCTGAAATGCATTTACCAAAGGCAGTTTGTAGGCGGTTTAAGAGTTGATGAAACACTGTAATTCAACTTACTAGGCCACTAAGTGAGAATACTGAAGCTATTGATCCATACTAGAAATTGCTGGGATTATCTCTCAGGTTTGTTGTCTTCCTTTCTATACCAAGAGAGTAAAAAGATTTATGTGTCCTGCTCCTTCAGAATGCCTGAAGAGAAAACCAAACGTTTCTTGTCTCAGCGTGAGGTGCACATCTTGGACAACTGGCTGTTTTCAATGGAGGAGTGCAATGGTCCTCTGTCCCTTTCCTTTCCATGGTGCTGAAGCCAGAATGGTTTTGTCCTTACCTGAACTTCGTGGCGTTAACAGGGTTGGAAGGGACCTTAAATAATCTAAACTTCTCACTCTATACTGAAGCACCTGATGGACAATGTAGTCACCAGGTGAGGTGACTGTTCAGGACATATTTTTAAAATATCATTAGACAGAGAATTCTTAACACAGGTACTTAACACTTTTAGAATTAGTACCTGCTAAACAGTGTAAGAGAATTTAGGATTACTTCCAAGAATTAGGTCTTAGTTATGTTTTTTTTTTAACTAGTCCAAGGACCTACCTGAATGTTAAGCATGATAAAAAACTGGAATCTATGATCTTAAAAACAAAGACCTTGCCCTGGCCGGTTTGGCTCAGCGGTTAGAGCGTCGGCCTGCGGTCCCGAGAGACCCGGGTTCGGTTCCCGCTAAGGGCGCGTACCTCGGTTGCAGTTTGTCCCCGGCCCTGGTTGGTCGTGCAGGTGGCAGCCACTCGATGTGTCCCTTCACATCGATGTTTCTCTCTCTCTCTGTTCCTCTCTCTCCCTCCCTCTCCATCTGAACAAAAAATGGAAAAATGTCCTCGGGCGAGGAAGAAAAAAAACAAAAACAAAGACCTTAATAAAATACAAAATGATTTTTAAATCTTATTCATTAAATGATCAAGATCGATTTATCTGGAAAAATCATTTACCATCCATATAAGAATTAAAAAGTGCATAAACTAGAGGCTGTATTTAAAAAGGAAATGGATGGCCCGTGTTGATGTGGCTCAGTTGCTTGGGCACTGTCCCATGCACCAAAAGGTTTCAGCTTCACAGGGCACATGCCTGGGTTTTAGGCTCGATCCCTGGTGGGGAGTGTGCAGAAGGCAGCTGATCGATGCTCCACTCTCATATTGATGTTTCTCCCTCTTCCTTCCTCTCTAAAATTCATTAAAAATAGTTAAAAAATAAAAAATCAATTAAAATATATAATTAAATGAAAATTTAAAAAAGGAAATGTATGGCAGCTATTACAAGGAGTAGAAAAGATTCAAAGGAGGGTAACATTCAGCTACTTCCGAGGTTATACTAGAAACTTTTAAATATAAGCTACAGTTCAGCAGCTTTTAAAATTTCATGTTTATTCATATTTTTCAAAATATATGTACATAAAAAAAGGAAGATTTACAACAGGAAAGATTGCCTTACATGCAACACAAATTCCAATGAACTCATGATGGGATCACACATAATTATGAATCTAATTCAAGCCAACCTTCTCAAGTCCATTTCCCAGCCACACTTCAGGCTGCAGATGGGATCCCAGGAGACAATGCAAGTGGAATGGATAAACAAACATCTTTGCTTCTGGCAGCACTCGGGCCAGAAGAGGTACACCAAAAAGGTTAAGACAATTAAAATGTCAAGTGCCACAGGGAGGATAAATGGTAACTGGAAATATATGTTTCTCAAATAGAAAGCCAATACTATTTAACACAACTTCACAATACCAAAACAAATACAAGTAAGAGGTTAGGTAGTTGGGCTTCATTTAACTTTAAAAAACAAAACAAAAAAAACCTCAAAAAGGAAGCCACTTGGCTTGATATTGAAAGTGCTGTGGAAAGAAAGGAGGGAAAAAGAACCCACAGATGAATCTGGAATCTAGTTTATTTTTGCAAATTGTGTTTTTCCACTTAACATTTCTAAATTAGCAACGATGTTAACTCTCCAACATTTTCTTATAGAAAAGGCAAACAAGAAATGAGAATTCATGCTCCAAATATTAAAAAATATATTTAAACATTTGATCAAGATTTTATGTTTTGATTTTTGCTAACACAGGTGACACCAGAAACCACAAATCCAATATATTCTTATATTTCCCCTTCAGTCAAAAAATCCAAATGCTGGAGAGAACTTGTGCTTGCTTGCTGTTAAGGGAATGCAATGCCCCGGGCCAGTGAAAGATAACTGGAAATGATCAACGTGAACAGTGGCCCAAAGGAGTCATGCGTCTTCAGAATCTAATGAGATCATGTTTTTGGCTTATTCCCAAAGCTAAGACGTATCTTTGTTTATAAGAGAGAAAGGGCTAGTGGAGTGGTTTCATAAATAAGATTAATTATTATAGTTATAACTGGAGTCTCCAGGCAGGAGGCTTTACAATTCAGTCAGTGCTGTGCTGCCTCCTTTTCAT